CATAATTAAAGCGAGGGGGTGTAAGTTGTGGCGTGGAGGCCCGCACGCAAAAAGTCCCTCACGGCCAAGCCGACACTGGGCCGAGAGAGGGAATACGAAGTAAACACAAGAGGGTCCCTAGCCCGAATGAAATGAGCGAGAGCTTTCGTAGGTGGAAAAAATATAGATAACAGAGAGAAAATATCAAAGGAAAAGAAAGAATTTATATTTTAGAAAAAAAGGGGGAAAATATAATACTATAACGTTAATACTGGTTATATTTACTTAATACTTAGTTAATGGGCTATTGTTAGGCTTGTAACACTCTGGACGACATCAATCTTGAAATTGCTCTAGAAACGTCAATTCTGAGCTGCTCCTGAAGACGTCAATTTAGACTTATGCTAATGTTCCTTTTGGATAGGGTCGGGGATTACTAGTGGGGAGCGGCTATAGAAGAACCTCGATTTTCAAGGAGTAACTGATGATGCACATTAGAGTGATTAAAGAGTCGGGAGGAGGTATTCACAGTCGGTTAGTTCAAGTGAGCTGAGGTATTAGTGTGCTGTCAAAGAATGGAGCCTCAGTCCCAGTCGTGGTCAAGGGTTGCTAGTATCACAGTATTGGAATTATTTTATGTTTTGGATTTCCAAGAAGTAGTTAATCTTGACGACACGGGTGGTGCAGGATGGTTACTGTCCCTGTTGCCCTCGCTGTCCTTGCCGTCCCTGCCGTCCCTGCCGTCCCCGCCCCGCCTGCTGATTGCCATCTGCATTACCACCGCCGGCCTGCTCGTTATCATTTCTACCATCTCCAGCCACTACGAACCCTTCTTCATCCTGGTTCTGCGTCATGTCGCCGTTCTTCCGGTTCGGAGAGGTCGACGGCCCAGATCCCGCCTCAGCGACGACCTCAAATTTAGTACAGTCGTCCTGAGCTCCGCGCTGGGCCACGGGCATGGCAACCGGCTGGTGGTTCTGAGCCGCGATCATAGTGCAGACGCGGTACACACCGGGAGGAAGCCCGCCTTCAACCACTGCTTGCAAGAGGCCCCGGCCGTTACCGGCGTCGTCGATGCCCTTGAAGAAAGCAAACTTGCTCGGGTCGGGCGGAGTAGTCGAGTCTAGCGAACCAATATCCTGGACCGTGACATGGCAGTGGCCAATGATATCTCCGTTGTTATCAAGATCCTGAGGTGCCGTGTAGTAATTGGTGGTGGGATTGACGAAATTGCCCGCCTTGAGATGAGCAGTCTGGACTGAAATGTTGAAAGTAGTGTCGGCGGGTATCTTGCTTCCCAATTTGGGGTTGGTGATCATCGCCGAGATCATATTAGCTACTGCGGGGATTCTGCCCATAGGGATGCCGTTGCATGAACCTGTGGTGATTTGCTTTCCATTGGTGAGCTCCTGATTTCGGCAAAAGTTGATGAAGTTATTCTCATCCCTAGAGTATGTAGGTTAATAAAAAGAAAACCGCGACTATTGAGGGGGATGGTGCTGAGAAAGGGGGCTTCCCTACGTGGCGGATTCGGCCTGGCCTGGCTTGATGCCATCGGTCCCGGGCTCTTGGCCTGTCAGGGCACTGGCACTTTGGATCAAGTTTGCATCCAAGCATGTCTGCTGGTCCTTCCTTTTAAAGATGTGGGAGACGAGGTTATTCCTTTGGTCAAGTGCAGCACCCTCGATTAGACCAGCTAACACAAGGAAAACAAATGTAAGAAAATAGTGAAGAAACATCCTGGGGATCTGCAAAATGTACAATACTTGCTAAGGGAATAGAAGAGAAGCGAATGAAAAGACCAGCTAATATTAAAAACCAGCGAGTGGAGAGAACCGAGGAACTGAAGAATAAAGGAGGGAGGAAGCAATCTACAAGGCAGCCAGCATCATATTTATTTCAATTTTTTTTTTTCTCTATGGCGAGTTCATGGATTTGCTCAGTCCTCAGAGCGTCCAAGGAATTACCTAAACAGGAAACTATGAATACTCATCGCATGAAACAGCAGGGTCCTGGATTCTGGAACATACAAGGGGCCGCTGGAACCAGAGAAAGAGGACCAGCATACTTCGTAGACCCTGCACACATTGGACGGGGTCTAATGTGACGCAAAGACCTGTCCTCGCTCCCGCCGACGCACTCCCAATAGCAGTATCTTTTGCGTTTGCAAAACGGAAAATTGTTAGTTCAGCGAAAAGGGAGATCATAATCATGAGGCATGTGGACGTTTGGAGGAAGAAAACACTAAGTTCTTCACGTCCGAGCCGAGCACCCGACCAGAGCATTCACCAAGTGAGCATACTATTATTATATATACTCGACTTGGGCTACTCACGCGCTGGCAATCAGGAGGACGGCTTGGCGACTGTCCCCTTTATCAAATTCAAAAGCACTAGATATGCTAGTGCCTGCGTCGGATGTATGCACGGGGAGGAAGGCCAGTTGAACAATCTTCGCGCCGGCCGGTCAAAGAGGTCATCACAATCCGCGTCGGAAACAGCATGGGGCATAGCGTCTTTCTCGGGCACTTGGCAGCCAGCGTGGGGAAGGACCGACCTTCATTCCTCGGCGCATTCAAGGAGAATAGTATTTTGTGTAGGAGCTGAAGCTTTGTTTGGTGAAATTTCGGCAGATTTTATTTTTGGTAGAAGACTGTTTAACATGTTCCGCCGCCACCGCATCCTCTCCTACCTCTATTACCTTAGCTCGAAATGTCCTCCGCCAAACTTGTCTACTTTCCTAGAGTCCAGTTCGGGTTAAAGGCACATCACCCGCTGCGACAACTTATGTGTAGCGTAACGGACATTCAAGGTCACCCTCCTCAGTCGAGTCGACAAAGTGGCGGGTTTTTGATGGTTCCTTCATGTGGTCACAGAACAGTAGGCTGGAAGGAACATCGATTTCATTTTCGAAAAGACGAACATCGTCGTTCGAGATAGGAGTGAGCGGAATTTTTCTATCTGGAAGTACTTGGTCGGATAGAAGCACTTTAGGAGGCGTTAAGATGTACTGGTCGCCGGGTCTGATACTTGGCGGGCACACCAACATAATTCATCCAGCCTAGCCCTTGGTAAGACGAGTCTAGCTGAAACAATTCGACACGAGTTTCCCTGTCACGCACGGCCGCACAGTGAATCGCAGGGGTTTTCCTCCAGGTGTGGAATCGATGTTTCCTAATTCGGCTTACGTAGTAGCTGCATGGGTCGGCGATCTTCAATCGTTCCAACACTTTGGGAGTTATGTCACGTTTGCCTTTGTACCTCAGTACGCTCAGCATTCAGGCATATCGCAAGGCCCGAGCGGCACTGAGGAAAGAACCAACGAGATTGGATGATAGATCACCGTTTCCTTGTCGGGTAACAGATGACACCTTCATCCCGCCATTCACTCGCTCGTATTTACCGATCCCGGTTTCTTCCTGTCTGTGGCTTCCTTCTCGCCTGCAAACCCAAGTCCAACCAAACCACTGATGGAAACTATCCTAAGACAATGGAGCACCGGCAAGCTTATCAATAGGACAAGATCCTTCCCGCGATATGAATATGCCACAAACTTATGGGGTCGGAGATCTCTCCGGAAAGTTATATCAAGATCGACGGCCCCAATGGTTCTGAGATGGATACTGCACCTGGTACAAACGAAGCTGGCCTGTATTCATGTCCTGAAGTAGATTGCGAGTAGCTTCACTAATGATCATGTAGAGCTCGAGCCCAATGCGAACGCATATTCTTTTTTCTGAAACTAGATCATGCATCGCTATCCATTCCTCAAACTCAACACGCCTCGCCCTGTGCAAATTTCAGGGTGGCCATGACGATGACCCAAGGAGATGGGTGACATGGCAGGCAAGTAACGACGGGGATCTCTCACATGAAAGTTCCATACCAACACTAATAGCGAGACTACAAGCAGTCGGCTGCAACAAAAGTCGGTTTCGTAATGCATGGCCCCCTTTGCTTCTTATGATGGCCTTCTAGGCGGTCTAACCTTAATTTCCTTGATCACAAAATATGCACAAGCTGCCGGTCGTAGGGCTCTGGCTTCGCCAACGAAGCGTTATTCAGTCATCTTATGTTGCACCTAAATCACATTCCCATGATTTGGTAACTTGGTCGTGACGCGACGTTCTCCGCTGCCTTCAACCACAGTTGAAGAGGTCTGTCTCCGTATAAACAGGGCTTGGAACAGTAGTCTGAAGTGAGATCAATGTAGATCACGGGCCATGAATTATGGAATCTTTCAATTCACCCACTGAACAGGAGAACGTACATCCGCTAATGTTTTATTTCTTCGGGCGATCATCGTCGAGTATTGTGCTGCGGCCAATGTTCTCCTTTCACGCCTATATCGGAGCTCGGTTAGTGCTTAGAACAGGTATTCAAGTGCGAAAATGGCAGACAGACGGTAAATATCGCCATGTCTGACACGAAGGCGAGAGGGCACTGCGACTGTTGAATTCGGGGTTTCATCTGATGCGGGTTCCCCTCCATACAGTATAGGCGACAGCAAAGTGACCCCGAGGGACCCATCTTTGCTACTCATTAACCAAAGTGGGAAATCTCGATTAGCGCATACCTGTGGTTTGTCCCAGGGACGATGTTTTAGGTACCTGCACGATTCATATTATCTTCGCTTACACTAACACCGACAATATATGCAGGGCGTATTACATAGAAAGCTCGAGATGATGCTGATGAAAATTTCTGCTCATATTAAACCAGAACATTTCCTTCCTCCAACACGACGAATAACAATAGTATTATCTACAGTCATTACGAGCGCACAAACCCCCAACCTCTCAACATTTTCTGCTTTCGCATCCTTCATTACTTCCTTCGGCCTTGCAAGTTAGACAAAGTGACGCCGCTAGTCCAAGGAGACGAAGGGCAGTCCGCCATGAAGCGGACTCTGATCATCCTGCTTCTTTCCGCGGCCATAGTTGTCACAGTCTTGTTCCCATCTCAGTGGTATTTGTAAGGGCATCAAATGACAAAACGGACGGCCTTAACGTGCTACGAGAAATGCTCCAGATGAGCCAGGACATGTCAGTTACTCAGGCAAGCGATATCTCGGAAATTGCCATGCCTAGACGTGAGTCCTTCCTTACCGGAGAGGACGGAATGCTCGCCAGTCCTACTAACGGCGGGTCCAGAATCGGCAACGCCGCTTCCGCCTCCCGGTTCCGGTCTAAATCTCAAACGTATCGCGATCGGCCGGGGTACACAGAACTACACGTGCGACCCGATGAATACCACAGCTGTTCCAGCCGCCGTCGGGGCTAAGGCGACATTGTTCGATGCGACTCGTTTCGCAGTTGCATGCCCACAATTACTGGACTCGTTATCCGGAGTTGCTCTGGGATTCCTGCGGGCCGATGAGATCCCAACAAGCCCGGCTGTCCTCGGCTTGCACATCTTTTTGGACAGGGAAACACCATTTTTCGCTCTCGAAACGCCTTTTACACATCTGGGTAAGGTGCTGTGTGCCGGGGATTCCTCAACTCCAGCGCCGAAGGACGCGCCAAAGGGCTTCAATGGCGAACCTGCCGTCGCTTGGCTCAAACTGCGCGCTAAGAACGGCACAACGGGCAACATACGAGAGGTCTATCGGCTGCAGACGGCTGGAGGATCAGCCCTGGAGACACGCAAGGGTATGTCAGCTACATTCGAGCGCCAATATGCTGCTCAGTACGTTTTCTTCTGCCTTACCCTCATTCCTGCGCAAGTTCGGAGATGCTCATTTGCCAATCTCAGGTACTGGTTCTACGGCCTGTAGAACATTTTGTCCACGTAATGTTTGACAAACGATGGGATATTGTATCGGCGCTGGATGAAGTCATTGCTTACCCTCTGAACTCTTGGGCTTTCCTCATCTATCTTTTGCCACTGCCTGCATGATCGGACGACGCTAGTAAGTACGCTGAAGGGTAAACCCATATATTAGATGAAGCGTCATTTCTTTTCCTTTCGAGAAGAACACGTATGACCGATATAAAACAATAAGACGTGAAATGGTCCCTTAGTCGCCCCATCTATAAGTGTGTGTCGAAATTGTATTGTTCACCCAATGACGACGAGGACGGGCTTCATACTTACCCTCATCCGCTGTTGCCGAGATTTTCGAATAGAAGAGGGAGGAGATGCCAAAGTATGGGGGTCGGAGGGAGTTGAGAGGCAATTAAGAAGTGAATTTTAAACTATTCTTCCCATCTATGTTTACTGGTACTCAACGCACTAATACACCAGACGTGTTGCGGGAGGAACGTAAAAGGCGACAGGTTGACGAGGTGGGTCAAGAACTGAACAAAGAACGTAATCCGGGCCCGCGAAGACAACGCGATGACCGAAAGACCCATATAAAGCTAAAAAGCGCAGCTAGGGCTCACTCTTTACCCTGACACCGAGATCTAGATACGTAACTAACCACTTAATCTCGGCGTCTAATCTGCCATTTTCCCGGTAGTTCAGCTCAGCATTGGCTTCTTGGCTTTCTGCATGCTGCACTTGTCCTCATCCACCATCATCATCATCATCATCATAAAGTTAGCGCAGGTGTCGAGTTTGCAGAGTGGATCACAATGCTGTAGTTGCCGAAATAAGCGTCCGAACTAGGCTCGAGAGCGGTATGCACGTTAGCGAAACTGGTCGCAAGTAGAGTTAGAATATATACTAGGTCTGTTAGTTGCATGGCCTAGGATATATAATGGCCTTTTGAGACTTTAGGACCATCAACCTTACCATATTTCCTGGACAGGTCGCCGAGTTAGCAGGTCTGTGATATTTCCACATCGCAGGGCGGATCTTGTCCTTATCTGTGATTGGAACGATAGTTTTGAGATTTATCTTAATGAGAAGAGCAAATCCCGATACTCATACTACACCAACTTGGATCGGCTCAATGGCTTGAGCCTATCTCTAGCCTAAATACGAGACTAGGCGAAGGAAAGCAAATGGAGTGGAGGGTGATCGCTTGGGGAGCATTCATTGAGGATACATTTTATTTGACAAGCTGTCTACCCCCTACAAGTGCTAAGAATTAAGTCAACATTGAAATAATTGCCCGTTTCCAAGTCGTGAATAGCCCGTCAGGGCTGCAGTGGGATGGAGTCGACGATATCAGATAATATGGGTTCTACTTGAATCCACTCTCGTGATGCGTCAAATGCTCATTCTTAGCCAAGCCAGCCCTTCTGGCGCAATGGTAGCGCGTTAGACTTCTAATCTAAAGGTTGCGGGTTCGAGCCCCGCGAGGGGTTCTCCAATTTCTTTTTGTCATCTTCTTCCCTTTTTATTCCCGGTTTCTCTATCTTCACCAACGAGCGTTAATTCCAATTGTCGGTTTTTCCACTTCTTTTTCTTTATATCTTTTCTTTTTTTCTTTTTTTTTTTTTTTTTTTTTTTTTTTTTTTTTTTCTTTTTTTTTTTTTTGGGGGACTTTTTTTCCCGGATTTGGTATCTATTGATGTTACTGCTCTGCGTTTCGCATTGGGGACGGTTGAGGGGAGTAGGGTGGAGTGGAGGAAGCATAAACGAAAGACTCGATCGTTGGCAAGTATAACACAAGAGAGTGCGATGCAGTCATCTTTCTGAATTTATTATAGTCTCGAGTGGAAGCTTAGATAAAGGTTAATTTTCAGTTGATCGAATTAGATGGTCTCTCCCAGGCTGTCCAGGAACAACAGGAGGCTCAGTGCAACAGGAGGCTCAGTGCCAAAGTGGGCTCGTTGGCCCCTGGAGCTGGCGATGCGGTCTCTAGCAGTTCTCCACTCTCGCTTTCTAGTGAGCGAGCGGGGGGAATTGCCGATGTTCGGCATCTCTGACACGGGCAGAGTTGGCTGTTTTTCGTTACCCCCATCGGAATCTATTTTTATCTCCGAAACCCCAAGCCATGACGCCGACAACCACCGACGACACGCTTTGCCCATTGATATCGTCTCCTAATCTTAGGAAATAACGGTCGGAGAATCGGCGCATTGATGGAGAAATCATTAGTGGAAATCTCACAGTGAACTTTTTATCTTTTTTTTTTTTAAATTCACCCATCTTGAGGCTCTATTCCAGGTGTCGTGCTCCAGGATTCGCTCTTGTCAACTCTAAGAGCGAGACGTCTTGGCCCCTTCTTCGTCCTTCGCAGTACCGTACCTCTCTTTTCCTCCAAGTCGACCTCACGCACCTCAGCTCCCTAGCACCATGGGACGAAGGCAACCCGCCATGGTGACCCGCGTTCTCTGGAGCGTCCAGCACTCAATTGCTCACCCTCCCGCGGCGGAGGTGCGACCGCTGCTAGGATTTTGCGTTGGGCGGGGTGGTCTTGCGGTTTGTCGAACATTCACCACCAGCAGAGCGCGGTGGTCGGCCCCGGCGCAGACGGTGAAAGGAGGAGGAGCGTCCAAGGTATTTGACTCGGCCGACTCGGCCGTAGCCGACATTAAGAGCGGCTCGACCATCCTGAGCTCGGGTTTCGGCCTGTGTGGCGTCCCTGGTATGCCCTGCCTCTTTCCCTTCCACTTGTTACCATCCACGATAAAAGCCTGGCCAGATCATCTCCCTTCTAAGAGAGGCATTGGCTGACTATTTAATTTCCCCGATTCGTAACAGAGACCCTAATCGCGGCGATCGAACGCCGTGGCCCATCCCTCCAGTCCCTGACAGCCGTATCGAACAACGCGGGGAAAGAAGGCCTGGGCGGCCTCTCCGTCCTGGTCAAGTCGGGCCAGCTAGAGCGCCTCATCATTTCTTTCCTGGGTAACAACAAGATTCTCGAGAAGAAGTACCTCACCGGTGAGATTGGCGTCGAGCTGTGTCCGCAGGGTACTTTGGCCGAGCGCATCCGGGCCGCGGGTGCTGGCATCCCTGCTTTCTTCACCCCGACGGGAGCCCGTGAGTAGAAACCGAACAATCACTCTCCGCCAGAGCTCACGACGGTTCCAAAACCCCCATGAGTAAAGGGAGTTGCTGAGTTGCTGATTATTATGGTGTTCTTCTTCTCTTTTAGACTCGCTGCTGCAGACCGGCGACATCCCCGTCCGACTCGACGCGACTGGCAAAGTCCTTGAGCGCGGCAGGGAGCGTGAGGCGAGGGAGTTTAATGGCAGGACATACCTCTTGGAAAAGGCCCTACCTGGTGATGTGGCCATCCTACGAGCCTGGAAAGTCGATGAGGCAGGGAACTGCGTGTTCCGGTGCGTTTTGGCAAACAAGGCCCTCCATCCCACGCATGTGACAGAATCACGAACCTAACGGACCTTTTCGCAGATACACGACCAAATCTTTCGGCCCTATCATGGCCAAGGCCGCCAAGCTAACCATCGTCGAGGCGGAAAATATTGTGCCCATAGGATCGATCGAACCAAGCTCCGTCGACCTACCTGGAATCTTCGTCGACCGCATCGTTCCAGCTACCCAACCCAAGCTGATCGAAATTCTCAAGCTAGCTTCCCAATCTTCTTCCTCGCCCTCGTCCACAACAATCAGTGACGCCCAAGGTAAACGCAACCGCATCGCTCGCCGGACAGCGCAAGAGCTGAAAGAAGGCTATTATGTGAACCTGGGCGTTGGTATCCCCACGCTCGCCCCGTCCTTCCTCCCACCCGACAGGAAGGTTTGGCTGCAGTCCGAGAATGGCATCCTGGGAATGGGCCCCTACCCCGCCAGCGAAGCCGAGGCCGACCCCGACATCGTCAACGCTGGCAAGGAGACGGTGACGCTGGTTCCGGGAGCGGCCACCTTCGACTCGTCCGAGTCATTCGGGATGATCCGTGGTGGACATGTTGACGTCTCTGTTCTCGGCGCCCTGCAGGTCAGCGCCGCCGGCGACCTCGCCAACTACATGATCCCCGGCAAGGTCATGAAGGGAATGGGCGGCGCTATGGACCTTATCAGCAACCCCGATGGCACGAAGATCGTCATCGCAACTGAGCATGTGGCCAAGGACGGTAGTCCCAAGATTGTGCAGAAGTGTAACTTGCCTTTGACTGGTGCCAAGGTCGTCAGCACCATCATTACCGATTTGGTATGTACTATTTGTCTTCCTATGACTTTAATTCCTTCCCCGGGCTAACAGGGTATTCGCAGTGTGTATTCCAAGTGGACCGGAAGGCAGGCACTTTGACATTGACCGAGATCGCGCCAGGTGTAAAAGTTGAGGAGGTCAGGGCTAAAACAGAGGCGAACTTTATAGTTGCCAGCGATTTGAAATTGATGGAGTAGAGTTTAAACAATAGACATGTATGTGTAAATATAGATAGCCGTGTTGGTATATACGGCTTGGAGAATCCATCACAATGGTACAGGCATCATTGGCGTAAATGCATATTTCCATATTGAAGTATTTCATCAAATTGAAGTAGTACTTTACAGAGTTATGCTGCCCCCCCCCAAAAAAAATGAACGATACGGTGACTCTGACCGTGTTCTTGTCATATATGGCAATATACCAACAGACATAAATTGATTCAATCTTTCATTTAGCGGACTGCCAATTACAAAACGCAAGAATCTTGGTGCGGGGTCATCCACGTTGCGCTGTCTGATTGGAAAGTTTTGGAAATCCTGTGGTCAGCTCAGCCTGGCCATCGGGATCACGTTAACGCGCGTCTCGGATCTCCCGTTGCTCGATGATATTGATCAGCTTCTTGACTACCCACACATCATCTTTTTGGTATATGAAATTATTGACTCGACGATTTTAATTTCTGTGTTGTATTTATCAGCTTTGACGATGCGCCTCCTTCAACTTGGATCTGGTGGTGAACTGACTCTCACCAAGGACCTTGAGCACCATGATATACCCCCGTATGCCATTCTTTCACACACCTGGGGAGATGAGGAGGATGAAGTAACTTTTCAAGATATTATGGAAAAGAGAGGAAAACAAAAGCCTGGTTACCAAAAGATCCTCTTTTGTGGCAAACAGGCTCGTGATGATAACCTTGATTATTTCTGGGTTGACACTTGTTGTATTGATAAGACGAGCTCTGCCGAACTTCAGAAGTCGATCACTTCGATGTTCCGCTGGTATCAGGATTCGAAGATATGCTATGTCTATCTCGAGGATGTTTCAAAGGACGAGGATGGCCAGACAGAGATATCCCGAGCGGCAGGGCAGCACGCGTTTCGAAGAAGCAGGTGGTTTACTCGCGGCTGGACGTTACAAGAGCTCGTGGCTCCGAGATCAGTCAAGTTCTTTGATAGGAATTACTCACCGCTCGGCGACAAAGAAATCCTGAGGCAGCAGGTTTCCGACATAACAGGCATAGCCGAGAGGGCACTTCTCGGAGATTCACTTGCCGATTTCGGGGTCAGTGAGCGCTATGAGTGGGCGAGAAACCGCCAGACCAAACGCGAAGAGGATTGGGCATACTCTCTCCAGGGAATATTCAACGTATTCCCGTCCCCTTCGTATGGCGAGGGCAGGGCATCGGCTGTTGGCAAACTGGTCAGAGAAATCAAGGAGAACCTGCTTGGTATCGAGGTGCAGGGCGTTATAGTTGGTAAGAACTATGGACGAATATGTATGGATCGCAGTGATTGACAACGATATTTTCTAGATGACGTGGGACAGAGACGATTTATAAACCCGCTCCTGCTCGATATCGCCCTTTTGGAAACCCTGTCCCTGTTCGACAAGGCTAGAGCACAAGCCGAGCGACACAGATCAATCATTCACGAGAGCAGAAGACGTTTTAAGAGAAACAATGTCCTGGTTTCAGATATCACAGCCGTGTTCTTCAAATTTCTTCGCCGGCTTCTGTGGTCTATATTCTCCCCGATAATCCTTCTCGGTACGCTAGAGACGGAGTTGGACCTGAACGCAACGCAACTCCGCAGTGTCATCATTTCTAATAATGACATTGCTTCAAACCTGCGGCGTGAGGAAGAACACAGCCAGAAGACATTGGATGAATTGAAAAGAGCCCAAGATTTCATTCAAACCCAGATGGAACCTTCAACTCAAAAGATTGATGATCAGTCCTCAGTCTTGAGGGAGATAGAGATCCTCAAGAAATATGTAGAGCATACAACGATAGAGATAAAAGAGGAAAAACGACAACAAATGGGCCCTGGACAAACCGGCATGATTGAACGGCAGTACGAGCAATCTGTCCAGCTTAAGAAGCAGTGGCCAAAAGTGGATAAGGAGTGCCGGCAGTGGAACCAAACCCTTGAGGGGACCAAGGAAGAAGGAAACCAAAAACGAACCGAGATCGTGGCAACGGTGAAGAGGCATGAGGAGAAGCTGGAGGAGGCAGAACGAAACCGCCGTGAATGGGAAAACAAAACTTTTTTGGGAAAAGTTTGGGCGTGGCTCATGTGGCTTAGTTCCTGTGGGTCTGGTGACTAGGTATTACCCATCAGGCCTCAGATCCATTTTAACTGTTCAAATCATTACAGCAGAAGACAACTATCTATATAGGCAGATCATCGGCCAAGGGATACAAGGTGCAAATGTATGGAGGAGACAGGACGCCTGTAAGGGATCTTAGCCGGCACGCTCTTTACGCCTTTTCTTTTTCTTCTTTCTTTCTTGTCAGCCCCTTTTCATTTAATAGGTATTTGGCTGGGTAGGCTGTTCAATACATCTGTCTAAGGACATGGCTCAATGAACTTGAGAACTGGTGTTGCCCATCTGGTAATGGGAAATAACATCTATATGTGCTTTCTCCCCCACTGCCTCTTTCACAATAACCTGGCTTTGCGTAGATAGTATAATCAAATGATATCGACATTTACATTGCATTGGAAGTCTAATTGTTTACGGCAGACCTGTTCTCGCCCTCTTTCGGACCACGCGAAGGAACACGCTCATAGTGATACAATGATACGACCCTCTGCCTCAATATACGGCATGCTCCAGAACAATCCACTCACAGCTTGGCCTGGGGATCCTGCGCAAAATTCCCTCCACCGAGTGTCCGAGAAATAGAATCGATCGTCCTCAAGATCCACTCGCTCCCCTCATCAGTCGCCAACCACTCAGCGCCTTCTACAACCTCCTGACCGGGCGCCTTATACGACCCGTCCTCGATAGCCTTGCGTAGACCAAACACGTGGCTTAGCACCTGGGGTCCAACGCCAGTTTGAGAGCGGAGGCAGGCCAGGGCAATGACACTCGTCAGCACGCGACCGGTGGACGCTAGGTTGCCACGCACTTCGGCGTCCGGATCGGATAGAAGCCCCGCGTAGTGGCTGTTGAGGATGTGCACGGGCAAGTCGGGATGCGAAGTCGCCAGCTTAGTCACGAGGGAGTTCTCGAACGGCCGGTACACGCTGTCCCAGAGCGCGCGGCCGCGGGCGATCATGGCCGGCAGGATCTCGGGCGTCGGGGCGCGCGACGACTTCGTCTCGAGCTGGGAGGTGATCTCGGCGGGTAGCGAGGCGTGGAAGGCGTTGAGGCAGTTGATGGAGCGGGGGATGCCGTTGAAGGAGATGCATTTGAGGCCGACTTCGCGGATCAGCTCGGCTACTTGGACGGGAGAGAGAGGCGGCGAGGAGGAGGAGGAATAGTCGGAGGCGACATCTTGGAGGATTGCTAGGGATTCGGGGGAGTTGAGAGTAAAGGTGGCTGCGCTCTGTGATGAGGATGTTTAGCAAAGCTAACCGCGCCGTGGCACGAAAATGCTGCCGCGGGAAGGTGGGTTGGGACTGTGGGATTTCGGGTAAGGGACCACTGAGGAAATACATACGCACAAGACCACCCAAGGCTTGAGGCCGACTTTGCGTCTCGCTGCGTCGCTGGCGATGGCCTGGTAGACGCCACGAATGCGGGCGGGGGCGGGCGTTTGGTTTGGGCGCGCAAAGGGCGCGTTGATGAGGGCCTTGAGGCCGGGCGATAGCTTCGACATGGTCGCTGAGGTCGTGAAAGTCGTGATAATTACTTCTGAGGAGTGGGATGTCGCGTCGGGACGTTTGCAATTGAACCTGCGCTGTCCCTTGGTGGTCCTGATAATGAGGGTTGTCGAAACTGGCCTGCCTCGGTCCTCGGGCCTTAGAACGACACGCACTAAAATTCCCCCAAATCTCGGACGCTAAAACTGGTTCCGAAAAAGAGGTACCTGCCCCATCCCCAACTAACCCTAAGGGTTAGCCACTCCCGTAGACGGCCTGGTGTCTTTTGGAGAGTGGGAGTGGAGGCGAAGTGGGGTGCATTTGGGGATCAATTTACCTTGGTATTAGGGCAGTCTTCGGGCTTGGCCCCGGTCTTGAATTCGGCCGGCTTTTTGCTTCGGCTCCGCGGTTGCGTTCACGTCTGCTAGTACTCCCCCAGCTGTCGATTCAAGCGCTTCAAATACAAGCCAGAGGCACTCCGTACTCCGCAAACAGGCAGACGTTAACTCAATTTTACGGGTTATAACACCGTGAGCCCTGGCGGTTCATTGTGGCTCAAATTAAGCTCTCTAATGACGACACCTACAGTAGGAGGCTCTGGGCGTGCCATAAGTCAAATTGGTAACTGTCTACAACCCAACAGCAACTACTACAAGATGGTAGCGCACCCAGCACTAAATTCAGCCTTAATTTTAGCCATGTATGGTTGGTAGTATAACGCGCTATCACTTGACCACGCCTTGGTTGCTCACGTGGGCATTAAAGGGATGCACTGGTGTCTCATTTCCTACACTTCTTGTTTCCTTCCTCACTTTGCAATACTCGTAGTAGTCGCCTGTGTAGTTTTCAATATATCTTGAGCTAAGATAAAGGTCTAGATTGCACATCACCGTACCTTGTCCTTGTATAGTAGACTTTCTGGCATGTGGCGCTCTCTTCTCACCCACTAGCCTCAATTATCAAGGAATTAGACGACTTGTTGCCACTCCTTTTACTAAAATATGGCCCAGCAAAGGTAGATGACAGCCGCACAGGCTGCTTCGTGGAGCGAGTTTGCTAATAAGATTGATTTCCTTGCCCCATAAATACCAGGTACCCTTCGCACTTGAAAATTTGAGGCCAAAGTACATTCAATGCTAACGCAATACGTTGTTGGCTCAATGATTCTCATTATTCCCCCATACGTGCTAGAGACTCTGCTGCCGCTGCTACATGCCAAAGAAAAACAAGAAAAAGAAAACAAAAGAAAGGCCCAACCCGGCCCGCCAGCCGCTAGTTACTGCATCCGGTGCCTCGGTTCGAGAGGCAGATGGCAGTTGCTTTGCTTTGGCCATAGAGGTGCACATCCTTGACAATTCCAGACTTGCGCTGCCCGAAGATACACGTGTTCCTTAAGTTACTGATGTACGGAAGCAAGTCTCTCGAGTTGCCGACGACGTTGTCGCTCCATGAAACGAAACATGTGCCGCGGCGGAGTGTCCGCGGGCTCGCGGTTTCCAAGTTGGCGTAGACGGTTCCGCTCTCAATGTCGTCGTACAGTCCATTGCAGTCGGCGGGGTTGGAGGGGTAGTGCGACGAGTGACAGGTGAGGGTATCTCGGCGGCCCAGAACCACGGCATCGGAGTCAGGCTTGATAGCAGCAGCAGAGGCCGACCATGCCAGCAGAGGAATGATGCTGTTAAACTTCATGGTAAATTCGGAGAGAGAAAAGTCTGGTATAGAAGCCGACTGTAATAATGTATATTATGCTACTATAAAGAAAGCTTCGTTTTCTGGTACTTTACGGAATAAGGTAACGGTACTAATTTATACTTTCGGTATGGCGCCCCGAAGCTGGGTTTGCCGTCAGAACAAACACCTGCTCTGTCGAAACCTTTTCCGCTTACAGATACGCCGCAAATAATTATCGTCGGCTTATTTTGACCAATGAATCAGCGAGGTGGCCCACTTAACACCACTATCCTTATGATCCTTACGAAGTATACGGGCAACATTTCCCTTCGTTTGCCTCCGGAAAGCCCTTCCCTAAGGTGCCCATCTACATACGCCGGCAAGTTACTACATGCCCTTCGCTTACGTCGTCACTCTAATATTCTTACTTAAAATAGTTCCTCCCGATTGGCTGCTTCCCTGGCGGAAGGCTTTAGCAGGTGTACTACTTCGTATACCTTAACTTGTTGTAGGGTATGGGATGGTGTCACGCGGGACCGTCGTGCCAAGGGACGTGGTGCCAGCAGCGGTATGGGAAAATGCCCCCCCCCGGGACGCCGATGAGAATCGGCAAATTTTGGCCGGCTACAGAGGTCCTTGTAAGCGCACGACTATAATATGTGTGAAGGTCCTTGCGATTGGTGCAAATTTCCCGAGTAAGAATTCGCTGGTGGCTAGCTTGGTGGAAATAACCCGACATCAATGAAGTAACATGAAAATAGTCCGACACAGTTAAACCGAGCAAAACAAGTATCCCATCGATGGAAATGCACCAACTTCATACCGACACATTCAACAGTGCACGGTGGTCATGACTTGTACAGCCTATAAGTAGTACCGTATATCGATTTCATTGTCTACGGCAATCATACCTATCGCAATCTAAAAAGAATCACTTCCTATTCAACTTTACTCGAACAGAAAAAGGGGGAAGAAGACAGACGCTACATTCTCTGGTCTGGTCCTACCTCATATTACCAAATTCCTGAATCTTCTGAACATGCATCCCCGCAACATTGTCTTTGCCTTATTGGTCTGGTCAACTTCCGCGGCTGTTATCGAGCCTGATAGGCGGGCGGACGACCTCGAATGTGACAGAGACCACGCCCCCAACCGCAACGACTGCCAAACTCTGCTGGACCGCATCATCAGCAATCAGTACCAGAAGAATCTGCAGACTAGTCCCAGACACATTCAACACAACAGCTGCTATGTCTCGTGGAGCGACTATGTCGTTGGCTCAGCTCAAGAGTTGGTGCCTTACATCAGCCGGATGATCAGCGCCTGCCAGAATGGCCAGAACCAATCTGGTATCATCAAGAACGTGAGCATTCTGGGACAACAGAAAAAGACTGCGATATGCCTCTCCAACCGAGGTTCGGGTTGTAGCAACTAAGCTGGTTACGTCGACTATTCTACTACATTCAGTCGAGTCACTTGGCCGGTAATGAGCACCGCAGGATGGGCCAAGGATACCTACGGACGCGGAAGTTCGGACAATGGGCTGCGAAGGCTGTGCCAAGACTTAACAGACAACATTGCGCCAACCATTGAGTTAGCAAGATAGTTAGCTTTTTGTATCTCATTACATTTAACTACCATTATTCCATTCTCACCTTGCGCCGTCTAAGTAGCGAACTTGTTAACCCAGTAGTGGCGGATAGTACAGTATCGATGAAATCAGAAGTAGTGAAAAAATGACAGCCAAGATGCTCTATACGTGAGCTCCGGAGGTGGAATTAATGAACCGTCGGCACATTATTATAACTCTCATCCACTGGCAAACTAATTGTCCAAGGGCAGCAGCAATTCTCACAAGAAAAAAAAAAAGCATCACGACCTCATCTCACGGCGACTTAGAAGGTAACTCTTTTATAACAAACACACTAATAAGTGCGTTTCGTCTCATAGTATTATAGGCAGCTTTCCTGAGCTTCACGTTACGGTACTTGGCACTAAGGGTCGGGGATCCGGTGTTGGTGTAGTAAGGGTGAACTACACTCTGCGGAACTCCACTTAGGCGCACAGCAATCGTAACAACGCAAAACTAATCTAACAAACAATCCCCAGTACCATGCCATTTAGCAGCCAGACAAGCAACAGGTGGCAAACGTGGAGCAAAATATCCTTGGGGGGTTGAAGCATCCGGCCCAGTCGAAGGTCTGCGTAATGTACCCGGAGCAGGTTGATCCCGGACCGCAGCCGGAGTTATAGTAGTTGACAATGAAGCGACAGGTTGACCCAGCTGGCGTGAAGGACGACGACCATGCTACCAACGCCCTGTTGTAGACACATCGGTTGAGCGTGACTGGCCTGTCTTGGGCATCGAAGTCGTTGCAATTCGCCAAGTTATAGTAGTTCATGTAATCCGGTGGTCGTTGGCGCTTGTCGAGACCGGCTCCAGCCTCGCTGGTGATGGAATCCGCAGGGACAGAACCCGCAGAGAAGGGGGCCGGCGCGCTGGCCTTGAGGTTGGGAAGGTACTTCCAGTGGGGGGTCTCCGTTCCGTTTGAGTTGGTGATGTACCAATGCTCGTCGCCGGGTGGTGCCTCGAATGCGTACTTAACGCCTCCGAAAATAGTCGTTCCGTGGCCGAGGTCGATGTCGCTAGCCTGAGCATAGATCTTGTCACCTTCGTGGTATCCCAGAGCAGAGCCAATGAAGCCAGCACTGAACAGAAACAGGGCGTTGAGTAGCATTTTCGGTGTATTGATTTGCGTTGACTTGTTGAGTTGTATCGTAAGAATCTTGATGGCAAATTGGAAGGCAAAAGCTAGACCTTTATGTGTTCGGCTGGCCTATTGGGGTTTGATGCAGTACTACCCCCAGTTGAATGCTATAACCACACGGCGCATTACTTACTGGTTTTGTATAACCTAGTTTTATTCCCCGAACCCCGGAGCCGTGACAAGTGGAGTATTAGTTCGTATCAGACTAAATCGGCAACTTTTGGGCCAATCGCATGTATAAAATATATCGCGGCTGCTGGGATGGTCGACTGTGCATCGCCGGCTGGTTTTAGCCAATTAACCCAAGCCCTCGTGGCTTCATCGGCGAGTAAACACGTCCTAAAGACCCATACAATTGACTGATGGTGACAAGAAAGGCTCCGGCGCCTTTGCCCCTTTACGTTTGTCAACAAAAACCGGCATTCTTATTCTTTCCGCCGAAAAAGGTATATTATCGGACACAATATGCAGTCGTGCTAAATTTGGATTAAGACTTAGCAAAGTTGCTCGTCCGTCCGCCTTGCGTTGGATGCTTAATGCTTGCTAACTCATAACAGGTTTCGGAAAGATACATTCACGGGTTAGGGACTATGCACAAACGGAGAAAGAAGACGGCTGCATGAATATTACCCTGCGTGACAGGACGTCTATTTCCTTTGCCTTAAGGCTATCACCGTCGTCAGGTACTCGTCTGTAATTCTTGCCCAGATCATGGAGACGAGAGGATCTTCAAGGCAAAGATTGCACCTCTGCTGCATGGACAGCCCTTGCTGCATAAGTGCTTCTAATTCATGGCACAGAGCGGCACCTTGCTCTGGAGCCGTTTTTTTGCGCATCTTACTTCTATGAAGCAGCAGGTTGATGACCGTAGCTAGGCATGTGCACGGTGATGCAGTACTGCTGCCGCCGTTTGAAGGTTCCGACGCGTTGTCCGTAGGTGCGGCAAGACTTAGGGCTGGAAGCTCGACAGAGCTAGGAGACAAGACGAAATGTGACGGCTCATCGAAACACCAGTCAACTGTAGAGGATGCATCTGTGTCGGTGAGAGGGAGCTTTGTTGGCTGGAATTCGTTGTCCGATGCTTGATGAAGAAACGAGAGATCCAAAGCCATGGCCTTGCCTCGACCGAGCTCGCTGGTCGTGCCGGAATAGGTGTAGAGCGCTGTCGGGTGCAAGTCAGGCTGGATTCCATCGTCGAGCGCGAGAAAAGCAGCAGCCATGCAAGACTCGGAATCTTGGTCATCGATGGAGCGGTCTGGTTGCGGTGATGGCTGTGGTGGTGTGGGTGAGGGGCCACATTGGTTTGGTTTGTCGGGCTCATAAGGCTTAGTGGACTCAGTGGGTTCGCTGTTATCGTTTGGTGGCGTTGAGGCACTGTTGTAGTAGGTTGGCCTCAGCCCGCGTAGGGCGGCAGCTGGCGACGAATACAGTGGCTGAGCGACAGCCCGCAATCGGGCACGTCTAGGAGGTCGGCCAACTGGTTTGGGGGGCGCATACACACACGGAGTTCCTCTTCTACTGCATCGAGCACACTGAGGTCGGTGTCCGTTGCACTTGAGCTTGGCTATGTTACAGGATTGGCAGCTTTTTTTAAGCGGTAACGTCGTGGTGTCAGGAGACATGGCGTCCTGGCGGCTGGTTGGCATCGTGTTCGTGGCTAAGAGACAAGACAGTAAACAGGTGAGCGACGAAAGGAACCTGCTATGATATAGCTAAGATTCTGAGGTACAGTGAATGGAACCTACTTCGGAAGAATCCGTGCAAGTATTTGTGATACATTTATTGCCCTAACGGCGTTGTGAATAATAATCCTTGATCTGCAAATAAATGATACCCTCGTATTGGCGTGCACATACTTCGTAGGTGGGCCAGCGGCAAGCCACATTCCGTTTCCGGATCTTAGCACTGCGTTCTTGCTATTAATTGTCTGAATGACAATCTATCCAGTCAACTTTACGAACGGGGCGTGGCCAGTGTCCCCTCATGACCCAGCCTTGTTAGGCTCACCACTTCGGCAGCGATTGCGGCAAATCTCGACTGAGTCTGAAGAAGCGGGATGCAAGGCAACGTCGGGATGTGACGGCCCTTGGCATAAGCCTGAAAAGGGCATCGGGCCGATCACTGTGCTATTTTCGACCAGCGACAATAAAACCGCGGGGCCAACTGGTAGGTGTGCTTTACTGTCAATGGTGTTGAAATCGAAAAGGTCCTTGCATTATACTGTCGAACCTGCAGTAAGCTGAGTGGCGGAACCACGGGTCATGGTGAAGGTAAGCCACCGCGTTAATGTGGAGCTAGAGCATTGATCTGCAACATTGTTTTCGGTGTCAGTGGCAAAGGAGATTGCACGTGCGAGACCGTGAGCCGACAACTGGGAATAGCGTCACATCATTCCACTGTGAAGCGAAAGGCCGGGGGCCAGGGTTGCCTTTAGGGCTGCACCGTTTGATCCAATGAACGTTGTGGAACCAGAGGGGTCGCCAGCTCCTGGTGAATTAACGATGGCACTGTGGTTCGATGGATTGCAGCGATCTGCACTGCTCCCAGGCCTCGGATTCGGTTGCTTTTCATGTTGTCACTCGATTCCTCAAGGACTTCCCAGGGTCTTCCTCGGAGCAGCTTCGATCGACGTTGCAGACTTCTTTCCACTTGTCGTGGTTCAGTGCCGCTTCTCTCAGGCTTCATGTACCTCCCATGCCAACGTAAAATCCGATGCCCGGAGCAGATTTAGGCAACCATGTACTGCTCAGATCAGGTAAAAAGCTGGAGTCACAAGCCTTAGGTTGGTTCTGAAGATAACCCGAAGCGGAGCCTAGTAGTAGCATCGGGCATATCTGCTGTTGAAAGGGTCGCGGTGCAGCAGTCAACGCGATCCGTATCCTTTGGAAGAGTTCTGCTTTTTCTTTAGGGCTTGCGCAGCCCCATGCGAAAGCGTGCCGCACCATCTCCCGTTGATCGCTGGGAAGTAGATTGAAATCCATTGTTAGGCCTGAGCTTCGAGAACTGCTTCAGGGTGATTTGACGGCCGACTTGATGACTCGTGCACAATGCCTGATGTAAGTATTCGCCAATGGCTAGTGGTCCTTATTTTCGGCCCCCTAAGGCTAAAGGCAAAGCACACCCCGAAATTGAGATATAAGATGTAACAACGAGCGGTGATTTTCTCTTGCGCCGTATTCCTCCGATCATCCAGCTATACCGCTATGGGGGTATTCCGCTAACATTGTCGACGAAGGCTCTTTCCGCTCCCGGCCATATCGTACAATAGATGACCTAGAATACATTCCGGGCCGTAGGCTGGACACTACCGAAGTACATTCCACTTTTCCCTTAAAAGCTATGGGCTAATCGTTCAAATACGTGACGCAGTGCCACGATATCGGAGTGTGGAGAGCCGCAGGCCCCAGTAGAAGCCTAGACAAGCTAAAAGGGCTCGTGAAGGAAGTGGACGATCGAGATCAGAGAAGTGTGCGCATTGACATGGCATTCACCATGGCTGTGTTAGTCGGGAATACGCAAGCGTTAGCGTACTTTTTTTGGCTATGAATGAGAGGGAAAAGTGATAACCGAACTTGAAAGCCCAAATTGGGCCGTGTCCACCGCTTTGGTCGCAGCATGCAGGAGCGGCAACGTTGATGTGGTGAAGCTCCTCCTTGATAAAGCCCTCCGTAGCCGGAAACGGGGCCCCGTCCTCGAGTGCCTCGCCCTATCGACAATCTCCACCCCCTGCGCCTGCGACTCATCCGCCGCCATCCCCACGGTCACAACGAGCTACCCCTGCGGGCCGCGCAGCCGTCCTGTGAACTGCCCTACTGGCTGCGCCACGACTTCGTACGTGTTCGAGACTGAGGGGTGTGGGACCGGTGGTGAGAGCTCCTCCGGTGGCGAGAGCTCATCCGGTGGTGAGGGGTCGACGACTGTGAGGGGGTGTACGCCTACTGTTACTGTCACGGAGTGTGGGTTTCCTTGGACTACGACGCCTCAGTGGTGTTGGTATGATGGTGAGTTTTCTCTTTTCTCTTTTTTTTTCTTATTTGCTGAATGATTGCTAACTTGTGGGTTGTATAGGAATCATTACGCTTCCTTGTGACTGCGACGTGGCTCTCGCGACAGTTACGACGACGGTGACGGACGATAGCTCGAACTGCATGCCTTGTTCTTATGGGTGGATGACTGATATCCCGTGTACTGCCAGCAACTGGTGGGGTTAAGAGAAGAGAGAGAGTAGAGCAGTCGCGGAGAACGATGCTTCCTGCGATTGTAAGAAAATGGGCTCTGGGGTTCGAATGTAGTTCGAACTACGTGATATTCTTACACTTGGCCGAAAATACCAAATCTAGTCTAGAATCTGCGACGCCGTATCCAACATGCTCCTTCTAGTATAAATGCTAAAATATATGCTCACTACGCTATGCTGCGCTAACCTGTAAATGCTACCAACATCTTAAACAACATTCACGGCCCACTTCTTCTTAATCGCCTCCTCCCAATCCTTAATCCGCTTTACCTCAGACCCAACCAGTATCTCTCCACGCCTTAGCGTCGTTCGCAACGGCTCGACGGGGAACCACTCATGATCGACTCGGCATACAAGGTCGGGGTTCCCTCCCACCGTCGTATTCTTCTCCACCTTGATCAGGGTATCCAGACACATCTCGCAAAACGAATCCAGGCTCCTAACACAAATGTAGAACCTCTCGTTCGTCGTCAGCGTGTTGAGACACTGTAAGCACACGAGGGGGTGCGGCCGGCAGTAAGGCAGGAACGGATCGCAATTCCGAGCCTCGCTGGCACTACCTAGGTCCTGCATGCTGGCTGACCCAAGCGAGTCATCGGCGTACCTTCGCATAGACTGGAAGAGCGCGGTAGCTGCTGCAACATCCCCGATAGCGACGAGCGCCCTGGAAAGATTTTCGAGAGCGTGCGAGTCGTTTTGGGGCTCGTCGTCGTTTAAGATCCCAATACTCTCAATGATGATCGCAGAGAGAAGCTTCTGAGCGTCCGCAATCTTTCCCATCTGCGTGTAAAGAAGACCTAGGTATAGCGAGGCGTCGTTCACGTTGATTCCGTTGAGTCGCTGGGGAAGCTCTCTATATTGACCTCTCTTAAGCTGATAATCCTGCAGTTCCTCAAGTTCCTTCAGCAGAGGCTGCGCTGCCGGAGATTTCGCACCCGCTGCGACGATCATCTGCTTGTAAACTTGTGCACGGCTCCGCAGAGACAGCGTGTACAAAGTCCTCACGAGAACGCTGCCCCGGGGATGCCCGCCGATTTTGGCAATCTCGTTTAAGACAGCCATGGCACCGGTATAATCGCGGGAAAAGAACTTGAGACTTGCCAATGATAAGTACAAGTTTAGCTGTGCCGCGATATCCTGCTTGCGTTTAGTAACATCTATGGCAATCTCATACCTTGAGATCATAGTCTCGGTCCTGCCACGGATACAGGCTGTCTTCGGAATGATCCACTCAGAGTCGCTGGTTCCCGAAGCCTGAGCTACGAGGAAGTCCGTTAGACGACTTTCTCCACGATCCTTTCCGGGCTGTCCGTCCATCCAGTCCAGCAGCTTCATTATCAGCTCATGGCAGTTGTGGCCCGCAAGGACTTCAAGGTAAGCTTCTTCAGGCTCAAATTTATCCGGTTCGTATGCGCTGATGATCGCCTTCTGGAAGTACTGTATCGCTTCTTCCACACGGCCGAGTTTGTGGAGGCATTTGGCAATACTAAAACGATTTGTATAAAGCCTCCACTTGCTAAAGTCTCTCTCTCTTGGGGTTGTGAATTTGTTTGTTTCAATCAAGCGTTCCTCCAGCGACTCACACATCAGATGCTTGACCAACGCCCTTTCGTACTGTCGATTTTGCATGTAGCAGTAAGCGATGCGGCCGCAAGTCTGCACCATGTCACCGTCCAATGGCAGGGCCTCGTTGAAGAGCTTGAGCGCCTCATCGTGGAGGCCGAGGTTGATGTACGTGCTTCCCACACGTCGGAGGGAGTGGCCAGACTTAGGTAGGCCGGACCACTGCAGAGCCCTATTCATCCTCGACCGAGGCGGGATGCCAGACCATTTAAAGTCTGAGTCGTTCCAGGTATGGCCCTCTTGGATATAGGCAACACTGTGAACGATTTGAAAACAAGTCATCGTTGGGATGTAGAAGTTAAAGTCAGGGTCAAGCCAAGCATGGGCATAGAGCCGACCGATTCGCTCCACCAGACCGCCAGGCACAGCTGCGGCCTTGATGGCCCAGTCTTGGGATTCCTTGTCCAGGCCACTCAGAACTTCAGTGTCGCTCATCCATCGTTGCAAACAGTCCATGTTGATGTCTGTAAATAGCTTCAGACTCTCTTCCTCCTGGGTCCAGTCAAGAATATTTTTGCGGCGGGTAAGCAGCATGTAGAGGCATCTTCCTACAAACTGTTTGTCTTTCAAGGAAACGCGAGATTTATCCACATTCACAAGGTGTTCCTGCCAGTACCAGGTGGCGTACTGCCACATAGGCCCATTCTCAGGGTTGACCTTGAATGATTTGGGCTCGAGGAGAATGCGAAGACAGGTCTTCAGCACGTGGAGCCTTGCTTCTGCCAAATCGAATCCGATAGCAGGTCCTCCCGTCTTGGCCCTGACGTTGGTGGAAATGTCTTCTCGCAGGAATTCTGTGATGGAAGCATGGAAGAACGTGACAGTCGTCGTTTTCTTGTTAGAGTTGAAGTCAATGATGGAGGGATAGAATAAGTCCGGACTATTTGACAATGCGGCAGGCGATCGAGAGCGTCCTGGGGAATTCGAACCAGCCGGGGGCCGTGATGCATTGCGGGAAGAGGGCCCAGAGTCCAGGTTTTGATCGTTGTGACGCTGGTATAGGTCGGCCGTCGTCTGGCCGTCTTCCCGATCGAGGGTGAAGAAGGAAGAGAACTGCGTACGGAGGGTCTCCTCGAGATTGAAAGCTGGGTCACCGAATTTGAGTTCAAGGATGGTCTCCACCTGCTCCAATGTTAGGGTCTGCTCCGCACAGGTGACCCAGATCAATGTCTCGTTCAAGTCGGCGGCATGTGCCTCGGAAAGTGTCGCCGAGAGCTGCTCCATCATCTTACGCAAAGTACCATTGATCTCTCTGGGGAACTGCCCGAGGCTCTCGAGAATCATCTGGGGGTGGGTCTTGCGGTTCAAGTCGCTAACCATAATCCGCGCGAGAATGAACAGGCCATCCACCTGCTTCGTCATCTTCTCGACGACCTTTTCTCTGAAGCCGGGCACTGCACGTCTCAAGACTCGAGATCGACGCACCTCGTCGATGATGTACATCCGGACATCTTGCGCTAACAGCTCCGGGGTTAGATGAATAGTACGCAATTGTTGTCCGCTCGCGTCCTCGTCGAGGCAGATGGATACAGTCTCGGTAAGAACACTCCTGCCTATTAAGGCTATCTGCACTCTCGTCGTCTGGTACTTCGAGGGGAGTTCGGCTAGGAGAGATAAAAGCTCTTCGGTATCGGTCTTTTCAGCTTCGTCAACGCCATCTAGAAAAATGTAGATGTTTCGAACGCGGGTGTCGGTGGTACAAGGGGTGTTGACGAGAGAACGAACGGCGCTAGGAATCGTCTTGATGTCATCCCGAGACTGCAATCTTCGCAAAATTTCTTTCGCATAAAACGCATCGTCCTCGCTCAGCTGGTAAGCGAGGTCACGTAAACATTGGTTCACAGATCTCGTCTCCGGATTGTTCTCCCGAAAGAAGAAGTATGCGAGAGAGTGCATAGATGAGTCACCAGGCTGGGACAGCAAATCCTCCATCCACGAAATCAATCTTGAAGCAAGATAGGATTTTCCGGTACCTAGAATGAACGTTAGGGTTATGGACACTCAGCGAAACTCCATACCGCTAAGTATGTGCTTACCTGGATTGCCACATATCCACAAGAAAGGGAATTCGCCATCCACCCACGACTTGAAGGATGCATCCTCCACAAGCCAGTCACCGGTTCCAGGGGTGCGGGAATTCTTGAGCGAGTTGTACCGATCTTCCGGATACACGGACGGCTCGAGAATCTCCTTGATCTTCTGGCGGTTCGTGAGGGCCGTCTTTTCCCTCGTCTCTGCGCGTAGGAAATTATCCATTTGATCCATTTTCTCGTCCAGGCGGTGCTGTAGCGAGAGTGTACGCTTGATTGAGGCTAGGGTCTCCGCCATGACAAGTCCTTCCTCGCCCTTGGTCAAGCTCTCCAGCTTTTGGAGAGCCTCAGGGACCTTACTGTCGCGGCCAAAAACTTTGCGGACGTAGGCCTTGAATCGGCCACGGTTCACCTCCTCCGTCGCAATGAGAAGGGTTTCGAAAAGCGCGGCAAGGATCTGGACAACCTTCTCACGTAGCTGGGGTGACATTTCCTCCTTGATGTAGAATTCGAGACGGATGGTAAAATCCTGAGAGGGGAGAGGTAAGTATGAGATGAGGTGAAGAACGTGGAGGGATGCAATGAAGTGAATCACGGCGAAGAGCTTACCTGCAGGCGTGTGAACAGGTCTAGGATAGCATCGTACATTTCGGACACATCCTTTGCGGCACCAATAAGGTACATGACAGCTGAGAATATGTGCTGACCCGGCGGGAAAGCCTCTTCTGCAGCGCCAGCTACGATGCCGCCGATAACCTCGATAGGCTTGAGCAGGGCATCGACGACCTCGAGAATCTTCCCCTCGCGACTACGGAAATTGACAAATTGCTCATTCTGGTCCCTCACCAAGCGAAGCAGAGCATTTGCTGAGGCGATGGGAGGATTGTTGAAGTCCTTCTGGGCATCTTGGGCAGAAGCGAGATATACCTTGTAAGCATCCTCAACAAGCGAAGTGAAGCGACTTTCTAGCTCTCCGCGCTTCTCCGAGAGAGCGCTCATGACGACGACGACAACACTTCTACACAGTAGTAAAGAAAATAAGACAAGATATGCTGGTGATCAGAGCAAACACGTAACGGAAAGAAAAAGGAAAGAAAAGAGACGGAGACTTGGGCTAAACGAAAATATGTTGGCGACAGTTTCAGACGTGGGGTTCATGTTTCTTTATGGCCCCATGAAGCACGAAGTAGGCTCCAGGTTTTGTGACCCAGTCACTGGGATCGGGCCAAGAAGTCGTCGGGTTTGCCCTTTGATCCCGGATATGCGCCCAATTCATTGGCCCAGCTTGGACAGGGGATCGACGCAACACCGCCATAAAAGCCAAGAGTGGGAATGCAGGAGCGTCAGAAGCTGATGACACTGGGCAGAGTAACCATAAGTGTTGGCCAGGCTCTGGTCAATATTATGAGATAACCACTTATCGATTTGAGGGTGCAAGCCACTATCTGGCCAAGGAACCCTTGGGCAATAACGAGATCAATGATGCTCAAAATTCAGTGGTAAACGGCAGCAACAAGAACGCCGCGAAATCTTGTTCACCTCTCCCAGCCCACACCTAAAATTGCCGGATGCAGCCTGTAGGGCAGAGACAGCAACAATGGATCCTGGTTTCAGAGGCTTGGCTTGATGTAACATCAAGCCAACCTCAATTTGGGCCCTCGTCGTCCCTTACTGGTTCCCCACAGGGCTTCCCGCAGGAGGGGTTCGTGCTGCATTGCGCCCTAAAAAGCCACAACGCGTGGTTCATTGTCACAGGTTACCTGTCACGAGCCGACGTACTTCGCATGGATCGCTGCTTCCCTCGAGGATGCCGATAGCCAGAAGGCAAGGAAAGTGCGAATTTGGTGGCTCGGGAAAGTCCAGGGCTTGGAGGCATCAATACGTCATGGAGGGTCGTTGAGATTTGTTGGAGGAAGGCCCGGCCCGGATGGGTATGGAAGACCGCCTGGTCAGCGGGTGGTGCTCCTGCTTGAATCGAATTGGTCGGCCGCCTGGGGCTAACTTTGTCACAAGACCTTCTGGCGGGTTATGCTATGTACCTTAGCGGGAAACTGGGCGGCTGCCTGGGGCGAAGTGTACAATGTCTCGCGGCATGTGATGGACCGGTACAAGCTCCACGCAGGGCGCAGGTGTCAGATTCAGAAGGTAAGCGCTAATGGTGTTGAAGGCAGCCTTAAAGTATTGATTGATCAATGATTGACGATGCGATGTACAATTGACCAATTTTGATGCCTTGTGTGTACGACAGAAGCAATTCCGAATGTTCCTTGGTGGGTCGCACCGTGGCCCCCAATCCCTCGGCAATGAATGGGATGGAGCTCTGTACACCAAGGTTCCATGAAAAGAACAAGCCCATCACAAGTTCTACACAGCCAGCTGCTCCGAGCCGCCAGTTGGGCTTGATCCTTGATAATCTTCGCCTCAGCCTTGGCAGTGAGCATCTCCCAGCCATTTTTGGTCCTTGCTTACCACCAAATCCCAGCATCGCCAATCCATAGTTGCCGTCCTCAACGATGGTGGGTTCTGCTTGACTTCTCTGAACGTCGCGTCGAGAAACCTAACGAGCTTCACGACCTCATCTCTATGGTGAGCAATGCAAAGTGACTGGGAGGAAGACCAAGGCATTCCTTGAGGGATTGCTGCCAAGCAGTGACTCTTGCCGCTGGCCACATGAGTCGAGACGAACGACCCTCTCTAGCTCGCCCCTGGTCTCCTGAATAAGCTCGGAGAAGCCGTGGCATACTATTGTCAGCTTCTTTTTCTCAACTGCTCCTCTTTATGCTCTTGAAAAACGGGTCTAGGCGCTGCGCATCCTCCGCTATCATTTCGTAAACGTTTTGTGCACAAAGGTGCACGATTCTCTTTCCCCTGCTTACGTACCGTCAAGCGGCCCTGGATGGACCATGGATATCTGCCAGCTGCGACCACAAGTAGAACTATGAAAATAGTATCACAGCGCTCAAGGAACTTATTCACTTTGGAAGCTAGGACTAGCTTCCGAATATTACATCAGGGCCCGTTCCGCTCTTGCAAATGGCCCGCAATATCTACCGAGAGGGGCAGTTCGTTGAGACGAGCACGCTCTCTCAAGGGACATAGACGTCAAAAACACTTGTTGCCCCGACTCCTTGGACAACGCCTCCCCCAGGAATGTAAATCTTGCCTCCCACGGCCGCAGCCGATGTTCCATGTCTCGGTAAATCCATCGGCTCAAGCTCCTCCCATTCATCCTTCTCAACATCGTAAACCTCGACGTTACCAAACACTCCATTTGTGCCCTCTTCAGGATTTCCTTCGCCGCCGAAGACATAAATCTTCTCGCCAACGGCAGCAACCGATATTCCTCCCCGTGCCGTCGGCATTGTAGCCTCACTCGTGGTCCAGCCTGACTCTAAATCCTCGAGATCAAGGATGAAGATCGTATCCCTCACCTTTTGGAGCCCCGACTCCCTGCCACCGACAACGTAGAACTTTCCATTGATGACAGCCCCGCCGCCGTGGTCCCTTGGTGCGGGAATCTTGCTTGCCTCTTCAGGAACCTCGAGCCATTCCAAAGTTTCGAGGTCAAAGATGCTCACATCGTCCATTGAAGCCCTCGTGCCGGGAATTCCTCCAGCAAGATACACCTTACTACCGTAGACGCCCATGACGGAACTCCCTCTCTGCAGACCATCCGGGATACTTTGCAGTTCCTCCCACTCGTCGGTTTCGGGATCGTACACAAAGGTATTTTTGACAGCGGGCCATCCGCTCTCCCCACTCAATCCTCCAAGGACGTATATTTTACCATCGACGCCGACGACATTGGGATGATTCAAGGCGATGGGCAGAGGGGAAGCTTGATTCCAGGTATCAGTGGGAATGTCGTAAAGGAGCACGTTATCCGTCGTGGCGCCGCCCTCCACCAGCCCGCCAACCACAGCAAGTAGCGAGTCGGATAGGGCGACCGTTGTGTGTTCCTGCAGGGTTCCCCCGATGGGCACGGAAGCCAGGGGTTCCCATCCTTGCCCTGCACTGGGAATGGCAGTGGCAGCAATCCCCAAAATAATGTCTTTGGCGGAGATCATCTTGTGTGTCTGATGTGAGCTATAGTGATATTGAATGGTTCATTTCTCAAAGTGGAAAGAAGATTCTATGTTGATTCCTTTTATACAAAGGTATATTAATTATATTCCAATGCCGGTCGAGCCCCCAACCCGAGACACGGTTCCCACCGACCGCCCATTATTTCCGGGGCACGACCCGGTCGGGATCTAAAGTGGGGATTTTGAGCGGGGAAGGACCCGGTCTAATGTCCCGTCTTGTCCCGGCCATATCTTCCAAATTGAATTCGACTCAAGTGCAGCCATAGACGACGCATCATTAGTCTCAAACACACGCCAAAAAAGAAGATGTCTCACTATCTTGACAAAGAATACATATCACCTTCGAAAAAATCAAAATACCATCTACCTCAAAAAATTATATTCAGTTTCAATATCGATCGATCCCGGTGAGAGATCAGATACTAGTCTATGCGGTTCCTTCGGCACATTTCCTCATCATAGTCACCAGGACATTCAAGAGCCGTGTGCAATAGTAGTAGGATTGCATACGCCCCTACCAGCCACAGAAGATTGTACACAACGGCCATGAAATACCGGGAATCATTCTCGACATCATCAGATGTCGGACAGCAAGCAATTGCTTTACATTTAGGAGGCGAAGGACGACGATTTCCCTCGTTTTTGGGGAATGAATGGCGAGTATTGTCTTCGTCTTGGGGAAGGGGAGAACGGCCAGAATTTCCCTCACCTTCTGGAGACGGAGGGTCGCTGCTCCTCCCCGGTTCAGAAGAGGAGGGAACTCTGCTCGTAGCCCGGTTTGTCGACGCAGAGGAAATACTTACCTCAACTTTAGAACTCTTTCCGGCACTTTCAGCAACTATTGAATCTGGCATCCCATCCTCCGCGTCCGGCGAATCCTCCGGCGAGCCAGCCTCTCTAGACTCGACATCATTAGCGCTCACTCTTGACGTCTGTTCATGGTCCGCGCCCAGTGGGGGCGCCTCCTCATCGTCACGCTTCAACCCGAACATTAGTTCATAAAGAAGCGCATCAATTTCGGCCTCGAAAGGCGAATTTTCGGGAGAGTTGTCCAGCGAACGCACCGGCGAGCTAATATCTGAAGGCTCTTCATCATTAGCGCTCACTCCGGACGCCTGTTCATTGTTTTCGCTCATTGTGGATGTCGCCTCATCATCGGGCTTCGCACCGTACATCAGCTTATGGAGCAGAGCGTCGATTTCGGACTCTGTAAACGACTGTTCCAGGGAGCCGCCCGAAGAATGCTTCTGTGAGCTAACATCATGAGCGCTCACCTTGGACGTCTGCCCATGCCTCGCGCTCATTGTAAACCCCATCTCAAGGAGCGCCGCATCAATGTCGACCGGCGAGTAGCTCAGAGAGCGGAGCGACGAATGTTCCGGCGAACCTACATCGTTAGCGCTCACTCTGGACGTCTGTTGATGGTTCGCGCTCGCTGTGGACGTCGGCTCATGGAGCTGTGATTCAGTTTCGGCCTTGATAGACGAATTCACCTGAGAGCTGCGCTGGCTGCGTTTCCCGAAGCGTTGGGCTTCAATTTGCGCCCATTCCGCTGCCAATTTGGCAAACTTGTCAGCCATCGGGGTGCCCGGCGGCGGCGGCGACGGCGGCGATGTGGCTTCGTTGGAACTGGACTTGGCCCATTTACAACAGCAGTTGTCGTCCATGTGCATTTGGAGATAGTCGTGACAGCCCCAACGTCCAGATGACTGCAACTGATTGATGTTGTATTCTCGCCTCGCCTCGGCTTCTTCCTTCGTCTTGGGGAAGCCTGTGGCATCAATCGGGCTATTGATTGATGTCCAGAGGCTCTTCACTGATCGGTGCAGAAGATTGATCTGCCCCGAGTTGTAGGTGGCCCCACTCCCGAGAAATATTGGGCTGTTTGGTGTGAAATCCGGATTCACATTTGTGTTTATTTTCAAATTTAACGCTTTACGGATCCGTTCATTGTTGGATACTACCGGGATTTTGTTGTTCTTCAAACCTGCCCCGCCCCCGATAGGGCTCGTCTTCTCCGACATGTCGGGAGTATAAGCCACAGGGTGACTGGGCTGTGAGTGTTGGATGGTAGATAGCTTCGTAGAAACTGGTGTGTTTCCAGTCGCTCTGGAAGGAGAGAGAAGTATAGAATAAGAGTCGAATGAGAGGGAGAGAGCGTGTTTTGTAATGGCAGGACATTCGAGTTGAAGCAAGTCGAACCTCGACCTTGAAGTTATACTTGGAAATTCCGAGGCCTGCCTTTGGGAAACTGCCGTGTTGAACAGAGCAATTGTTGGCTTTGTAGCGTTCGAAGAAAGCCATTGTTGGCCTTATGACGGCCTAGGAGAAGATGCACTTTGTTCACGACAATACGTTCACTGTTTCTTTATCGTTGGGGGGAGTATCCCAGATAAACAAAGTAGTTACACTATTGTAATGGAGATGAATACAGTGAATCGAGCAACAAGTTTCTCTTTCGCAGCTGACGAACCTAGCCTGTCCTTGGATGGAGCCGCTGTCCCTCAAATCACGCGGCGACAAAGACTTGAAAGGCCCATAATCTCCAAGGATAATTGGAAACCGCTTGCTTGGGAGTGATCATTGTCTAGATTGAACCTCGGCCGTCCAAGAAATTAGACTATGGAAAAAGCTGCCTGGGGGTTTCTCGTAAGCCACATTTATATCCTTTGTTCGGGGAAACCAGGCATATAAAACTGCTATCAACCATTACGTGCTTTCGGTCTTTGAAGTGATGTTCGCTGTTCTCTATCGATGAATGAACCCGGTCTCTTTTTGTTTCCGCATCCGCAGGAATCAAGGGAGATATCGATACCAGTATGGTCTCCATGAACAAAGGACCGTAGTGTATATAGAAAGGCCGTCTTCGAATCCTCTCGATTCCGTATTCTGGTCCCGTCAACTCTCACCACAGTCCATAAATCAACAACTATACACCACAACACGCGTCAACTCAACTATCCAATCCACCCATAAAACCAAAGCCACTTTCGACCATGGATACATCCATGTTCACCACTGCGTATTGGAACAACACTGAACACGCGAAGAGTGGAAAAAGCCAATATGAACCTTCCAAAGAGCAATGGAACGCTGCGATTCTGCTCAGCCGCCTTAATGCCGTTGCGAATCAATTCGAAATGCGGATGACCCACGACGTAGACCACTCCAAGACGGCAGACCAACTGGAAGAGATCGAGGATATGCGGTTCAGTATGAAAACCAGGGTCTCCTCGGGCCCAGAGACGAAAGACTTTCTTGAACGCCAGCTCTGGAATGTCATCGAACGCCTCGAGGACTGTGCGAGCTCCTCGTCCAAATGCACAACCAAGCTCTATTGCGACTGCCAGATGCCGCTGTTTGAGTCCGACACTCCAGCCCGGCACCCTTGGTGTTTCGACATCGGGGACGTCCTCATGCAGCGGGGGTTCGAGGACTTCTTGGTCTTCCGCATCCGCCAGCAACAAGACCGCCTCGCAGAGATTCAGCGGAAGCAGGGGAACAATTCAGACGTTCCCTTGATGGGCGGCGATGCCGAAATTCTGGGCGTGGAGGACGCCTATCGTGGGCTTGGGGCCTTCTTCAAGAGCTTTATCATCAGCCAGCCCCCGAGCTTTGACGCATTCCTGAAGGCCTGGAGGAACATGTGGGCAAGCCCTTCCTTCAAGCCCGCCTTTCGGGACCAGATGAAGTCGCTCAAAGACGCGGCCCGGCACAGGGCTCTAGAAGATTACCATACCAGGGGATCTGGCCACCAAGCGAATCTTGCCAAGAGGGCCACCATGAAGCTGAGGCGTCGTCTAAAGAAGCCTGCGCCGCCTCGACCCAAGGGGGATGAAGAGACCAAGAAATGAGTTTTAAGCTGCCGGCCTCCATTCAGGGGCCTCTGGCCGACTTTTTATCCTACTCCAAGCGGATTTTTTTTGTTCCCCTCTTTTTCTTTTCTATCATTTCCTGATTTCTTTCTGTTGTTCGTTTCCTTTTCTTTGTCTCGGTTCGCAGTTTCGATATCCGCCATAGTTAATAAAGGACTATGATGAGGGTATCTGCAAGCATTGATAGACCGAGCCCAGAAGCCTATAGTGGAAAAAAAAAAAAAAAATTTAATTCAATGCCAGAGCAGGTGAAATAAAGTGCTGGTTCTAGAGCCACCATAGGGACTTGGGAGTGATTTATCCATAGCCATTTTGTGACATCCGGCAGCTGGGGAATTACAGAGTATGAGCACGGATTTGGGTGTCATCTAGAAAGCTCCTGTCCCTTTCTCTGCTATTCGTAACTGGAGGAATTTTTGGATAATTCTAGGATCGAAACCTCTCGACTGCTAAGTAACATTGCCAAAAAGGAATGTAACAGAAACTGGACCGTTCGCCAACGCTCCCGGTCCGAATGCAAACAAGAACGTTTGGCGCCGATTGGGCTTTACGAAGCAGTTTACGAAGTACGAACCCTGGGATGTACCCCAGCCTACCCCAGAGTCGTGCCACCGACCTGCATTTCCGGGGTGTCAATCATTTCCCTTTTACGAAGTACAACTGAAGCTGAAAGATGTGAGTTGTAAGTTTTCTGAAGCAAGGCTGTCCCCTGTTGGACATGGTCCAGGTTGCGGAACCATCAGGCTGGGAGGGCAAGGGCTTTTGCTTCTTCCGACAACCATAGGTAACAAGAAATGCCCGACGACACTAAATACTTCGTATTCTTCGACCACAAATGAGCACCGACTCTACGAAGTAGGTACAGCTGCCGAATACTAGGAAGTAAAGCGACATTAAAAATACCTCGGGAGATTGGTCGAGGACGGCAATGGGGCTGAGGGGCAGACGGCCAGCCATTAGCACAAATACCCCTATCCCTCTATGAAGTAAGTGAGAAACAATTCAGGCCAGGACAGAGAGGAATGACCTCAAAACACATTGCCAAAAAGAAAAAGAAGAGAAGAGGGTACCGTTGCGAAAGGTAAAAAAATTAAAGTGAACAAGGCATCAAAAAAAAAAGAAAGCTCCCATACCCGGGTTCGAACCGGGGTCAAGGCCTCACTCTCATGAGTGTGAGAGGGCCCTATGCTAACCACTACACCATATGGGACTGACTTGTGACGTTGGAAGGCAAGATGCTTCGATCCCACATGAATCTTCGTTGGTTTGCCTTGTAGTCTTGTTATGTACTTGCTGTTGGTGATGGGGGCTGTCCTGCACCTTCCCAAGGAGGAGAGGAGTGGATGGGAAGTGGCAGGTGGCAGGTGGAAGGCGGAAAGAGACAAAAATATTGATGGAATGGCTCCTGCCTTATCAGGGATCAGTTTGTTTGTGAGGAGAAGGAGCAGAGGAAAACAACAGAGACCTAGACTAACTGCTCATATCTGTGTTTCCTTCTTTACACTTTATGTACAATCATGACCATTTCCCAGCGAGAAGCCTCCCACATTTCTTTTGATTCATCATTTCAGGACCATAATACACAAAGAAACAACCAAACCAAAAATTCATAACGGTTACAGGAAAATCTATTGCCTCCTTTTTACATCCACGGCCTCGTCTTCTTTTTCTGTCCCAGGTCTGCATCCTCATCGTCTTTGGTCTCGGCTAGGTTCGCGGTGCTCGTGTGTATCGTAAACTCGATATCCCGACGGATACCGCGCTCGGGCGAACTGCTCTTACTCGCCTCGATATCGCTGAGCTCAATATTCCGTGACGAGACGATGGCGCCGGTGCTCTTGCTCGAGCTGCCGTCGAAGTTGTCGCCGTTGCCACTGCGAAGGTATCCGTTCTTGGACGAGTTGAAGGGCCGAGAGCCGTTCTTCCCAGTTCCGCGACCACCGCTGCGACCGCCGCTGCGGTAATTGCTGTCGAGACGGCTCCTGAGACCGAGGCGGTAGGAGAGGATTCGGACGAGGGGTTGGAGGGCGGGGAAGCAGGCGACCCAGAGACCGACGTGGCCTTCGATATCGGTCCAGAATGCAATCGTCGACATTTTGTAGGTCCTAGGTAGTAGAATGTGTTAGTAAACACCGTAGATAAGAATCATCAGCAACAAAGGAGAACAAAAGGGGGTCTGCCGTACGAATCAATCGCAAAGTTGGTGTTAACCATGATGGACAGTCGCACAATTCCAGTGATGACGGCGAAGAGACCAATGCAGAAGATGAGAATGACTCGGATGGTCTTGGCGGACCAGATCATCTTCGAATGGACCACCCAAATTGGAAGAGCAAGCAAGGCAAAATCGACTGCGATACCGATAGAGGCGTGTGTCCACATCATGATAGCCTCCGCATCTTTGGAGATACAGTCGCCACTGCCGGGAGGTAGCCAGAGAACCTTGATGTCCTTGCACTCGAGCAGCCGGAACAGGAAGCACGCGATGGTCTTGAGAATGATGACGACACCTACGCCGTAGACTAGCCGCTTGTAAAGTTCTACGACAGTCCGTCTTAGCCAATGTCTAGAACGGAAAATCAGGTCTGATTGGCATCTTACTGTCATTGCTCATTCGGAGGAGGAAGGCGACGATGGCCATGCGCGTGAGGCCAACAACCCAAAAGTACATCAAATGCTGAGTTGTAAGCGCCTTCATGAAGTTAGCGACGCGTCTTTAGCTTCGGGGTTGCTCTGTCGTCCTCTTCCGAACGTACTGAGAAGAACTTGGGAATGAAATATGGCGGCACGAAGTCCATATGGGTGCCCGAACCGAACCCGACAGCTAGTGAACGACACATTGATCAGTCCAATCCCATTCCTTGACTTTCCTTGACCTCTTTCCTAGCACGATCAAATGTAGATAGATCCTTCGAAAGCGCACCTCGAATTTCCATAGAAGAGAAGGACACCAAAGCGGCGTAGGCGATGAATCCAACCAAGTCATCCAGACCCAAACCCTTCACGATGAAGGCACGCGTGCCTAGCCGCAGGATGATGAAGAATGTCGAAAAGGAAATCAGGGCGATATTGAGATTCCGCTGAAGATATCCCTTGTAGCCGGGCGTCGCGGAGAAGTCGAAATCTAATGGGGGCGGCCCGATGGCCTCGTTGCCGGCTGCACCAGCAGCGGCATCCGGTGATGCCGACATGTCTTACCTATCGCGATCCTCGATAACTCGTCCTTGTTTGGTGTTTCGTCGAGCTCAATGGCTGGAGGACTGATACATGTAGACCAAACGTCAGCAAGGAAGAGTGGAACCCGTCATCCGGGGCACCATCTTCGATATAAATTGCGTCTAAGACAGGTCCATGTCTAACATAGTAACAGTTGGGAGACGGTTCGAGATTGGATAACGAGAGATTCGCACGCCCCCAATTCCAATTCATGCAGACAAGACACACCCCTCGAAGCAATCCCATGTAGTGTACTTACAACTGCAAGTACGAAATCTGCGCCATGCCCTCTCTCGACCGAGTCTCGCTGCTCCTGCGACTCACTATGTTAGACCCACACGAAGTACCCTGGGTGCTCCCACCCATAAATTCGTTCCGTTCCCCCACATTGTGCTTCTCGACGGGCCCCCGCCACTTGACAGGTACTTCGTCCAGGGCAGTACCCCTTCTCCTTTGGCTGAGTACAAAAGTGATGTATCACACAAAATGCTTGGCTACTGGCAAGTAAGCTTCATATGAAGCCAGGTCTCCCCTGGATATACTCGTATGGTACTTCGGAAAGCAACGGTATCATGGATGGATTGGTACTGCGCGTTATACCTAGTTGCCCACGTTCCTCGAGGTTCCATTTAGCAAGTGGGGATAAGAGTCTGGACTGTATTATGCAAAAACAAGAATGGTATGCATGTCCGAGCACAACGTCGATTGGGGAGATATTCACAAGGTTATGACACGAAGGGAGATACCCCTTTCCTTCGTACGAAGTACAGAGTCGTAGTGTACACTACACTGTTGGAGTCGCAGTAGTGAAGCGACTCCGGACTAAAGTGCAGGCTGCTGGAGGGCATGTCATGGTCGCATCCAGCTCTCTCTTAGCCCCTGTCTTGGTACAGAGACTAACACAGGACTTGATTACTCTCGGGACTCGGCGAGCGAGAGATGGGGCGAATGGCGGGCATGAGCACGATCTTTGATCGCTGGCGGAAATAAATAGCACGTAGATTTAGGAAATGATCGTCGAGATCAGAACCATTCGAAGCTGAGAACCGTCAATGCGGTCACTGGGTGCCGATCAATGGGGTCGGAAGAAGGCGTGACGCCACGAAGAACATTTTTGGACAAGACCAGCAGACAAGACTAACAGCCCGACAAGGTACTACCTACGAAGTGTGTCTGTCGTTGGTATAATAATAGCCCTCTGTTATATCGTGAAAAAAAATGCACTACATTAGTCTGAGACGCTAATTAACGAGGTCTTGTGAGATTATTTGTCGCGTACACTACACTACACACACTGGAGCGTAGAGAAGGTCCGCTCTCGCTCGGGTAAGACGGGCGGGGAATTTAGTAGTATGGTTGGAAAAAGGGGCCGCTATTCGAAAAGCCCGTGAGTGAGGCCTGGTGTTGTCGCTCAGACCTTTTCTTGTGTCCTTTGGCCTTTTTGAGGATGGGACTCAACCACTAAACACCCTTGTATGGACGAAGCCCGAAGAGTGCCGAGGCGCACCGACGATTGGAGCTAAAAATTACGAATAGTAGTATACCACAGAGGAGGACTGGGCTGGAACTCGGAAGCAGGAGGAGAGCTGGCGAGGACCGAAATGAGTTTGGCCTGGGCAACTGCGTGGCGTCGACTACTGTAGATGAGAAGCGACGGATAACAAGGACGGTAAGACCTCAATTCATTCATTAGCCACCTTGCACTGCTTGCAGGGCCTAATTTATGATCCACCTTGGAGGAGTCGTCGCGCTTTACGAAGTCCGAGTAGTATAATGCGGGCAACAGGGAAAACACGAACTTCTTCGCTGGTGGTCATCCAGTTTCTCAGGGGAGGCTCTTTCTGAGAGGGGAGTCTCGAGCCTTGTTCATCTACGAAGGAGGGCTAAGGAGGCTTTTCATCTGATATCTAGTGATGATCTCTTGCGCAATAGTAGTGAATGCGCGATGTGGGTACTTCGTACGACTGTCAAGGGGTCTTCCAAGATCGGCCTCCATCGCTCGTTTCGATCCGAAATCGCAAGCTAGTTCGCAAGCCTCCGAAAAACCTGGGCTAGATCATTACTTCATAACAGCGATGATCTCGCCGCATGCTCTAAGAGAGAGAAGATCCCCCACGTCCATCACCAATTTCATACCTCGTACGTCGCGAGATAGGAGTGAATAACTACTCGCAATACTTCGTCCACGACGCTGGAATCCCCTTCTCCCCCTCGTGGCCAAAACCTGGGTTGCGAAAAGGGTGGGTGGACGACATGCCGCGCTCCAATAGGAAATGACCCCGCGAAACACCTGGCTGTAAAATTTGGTCTTCAGAATGAACTAGTTTACTTCGTACCTCGCTTCCACAGACGAGTTCGAACGTGAGACGCAACACCCTGCAAGATTCTGCTGCACGACGGACGAAAGACGAGACTACGAAGTACTGCGCCAGCTCGAAGGAGTCAAAGAGTAATAAAAATAATTAGTGTCATTATGAAGTACTCCTGGTGTTTTACTCGTTTGATCAAGGGACTTCGACTCGGTGAAGTTAGCCAGGGTCGGCTCGATTACCGAGGTACACTCCTCTCCGATTTAGACAGGAGCTGAATGAAAGGAGCTCGGTGGATACGGCATTCTTGGGGAGTCAATCAAGATCAAGTGGACTTCGCGTGCAAAGTATTAGTGTCGTTCACGATGCGGCGTGGCTGCTAACTTCTCGGAGGATTTGAGAAGGGAGGGAACATGAACCGATCAATTGGTAAGTTCACTTCAGTTTTTGTGGTCCCTTGGAGTGCTGGAAGAAAAGCTTATCTACCACGAGCTAGACAAGAGTCGAATTAGCCTGGCTGCGCAGTCGACGAAGTAGAAGTCCCCAGTTGACTCGAAGGCCACTGACATGCCCCGCTCATCGAGTCATGGTATCGGACGATGCCAGTTGGGGGTCATACCATCCCAAGCACCAATATCAGGGAAAACCCTGCCACCCCAGACAGACATCCCCAAGAGGCTTGTTTGACAGTTGTTTAGAGATGCTCGAAGACCGCCACAGAGCACGTTAAGCCGGATGACGGGCTGAGACTCAACGGTTATGTGGGTGATGGATGTTGTACTTGAGAGTTCAACGGCTACTCAAGATGAGACCGCACAGGCCTTTCTAAGGAGGTGCGGGAAGAACTTGAAGGAATGGAAAGAAGGATGGAGGTTTCTAGCGAGGCGAGAAGATGGGCCAGAATGTTCTCTTGCAGAAAGAATTAAGTACAATTTACCGAGTAGAATTTGCCCCGTCATCTGAGATTAACCGTTGCGTCCATGATTTGGCAACGGAGATGCTCAGATACATCAGATTTTTTTGTAACATCTGGGAAGTAGATATCAGTTCCCTTCAAGCTATCAGTGTTATGCTTGAAGTCATCAAAAGTCCACCCTGGTGCGCCCATTCGAATCCATGAAGTAGTAACCATTACATTTGATACACTCCGAGTACTTCACTGCTTCGTAGCCCGGTGAAGCTTTGGAAACCTCACCGATCTCCAGGACACACTCCATAGCAGCACCAACGAAGATGTTAAGAAGACCCTGCTTCGTACAATTACTACCCCGTACCATACAGTAGATAGAGAACAAGAGATGTATCAAATCCAACAGCCAGCCGCACGTGTAGTCTTAGTGTGTTCAGCGCAGAACATCCCTGTCGGGAGTGTCGGCCGCCCACCACCGCCGCCCACTCTTCTCCGCTTAAAAAGCACACTCAATTTTAGTATGAATTCAGTCCAAAAATGAGGGATTTTAGCTTTTACGGCGTCGGCTTGAATGGATTGAGTATGACTAACCCCTGAGGTCAAGCATTGCAAGCAAGTAACACTCGAGACCCGTTTCCGAGGATGCCAGGCAGCATGTGGCAAAGACGGCCCTGATCCATGCCAAGCACTTCACATGGTACGACCAGCGTTGCATTTTATATTACAGGTGCATCAGGGTTGTAATCTAATCAAGACTGGGGTTCGTCCTGTCTTCGCTAAAGTCCTTCAATTTTTTTTTCTCTTTTTTTTTCTTTCCCTGTTTTTGCGATTCAATGGGTGGTCTGGTCTTGGTCTTACGTCTTGCGTACTGCGTCAGCTCCCTGCCTCTTGCTCCGTGCAGACCCTGTTCAAGTGGGACTCTGCAAAGGAGTTGCGCTTTTCCCGATCCGCCCTCAACGACCATTGCAAGAGGACGGGGGATAGAACGTTATTGTTGATAATACCAGACAGGGTGCGAGGAGACCGGGGTTTTGGGGTTTTGGTGTCCACAGGATTTCTATTCTCCCAACCCTTGTATTCCCTTACTTCGTTCTCATGGACGCCAGCCACCTCCTGCGAACACCAGTGCTCTGCTGTGTAGCGGATGTTGACCAGCGGGGTGCACCCACTATTGGCAGGCGGCGTTAGCGTCGTGTTACATCTCGGGCTTTGCAACTCTCGGGCTCTGCGAGGTAGTGTCAGTGGTCAATTAAGTGATCAATTGATGCAACATCGAAGGTCCGCCTGCCGTGGATGTCGCACCGAAAGCTACGATGTCGGTCAAAAGGCTGAATTGACAGCTTCTCCGGGTCTACGTAATCCCGGTGGACTAGAATGGAGGGAAAAAAAAAAAAAAAAAAAAAAAAAAAAAAAAGGAAAAATTGAATAGGAAGAAGAAAAAGTCGAGGTTGCTTTGTCCATCATGCATTTAATATGATCCATAGTCAGATGCAACATAACATCGATGCATCCCATACATAGCCCTGGCTTGGGGTAGCATCCTGCGATCTGTCACTTTCCCCATACCTCTTCTGGAACATTTTAACGAGGGATTACTACTGTCCTGCTGGTAGAGCATGGCATCGGCAAACTGCCGTGGCGCAAATCAACCAAACACTTGAAGGTGGCTTGCCTATTTCTCGTTCGGTTTCTTCAAGTCCTAGCCCCGTTCGTCCACGCTGAAACGACGCTCGAGAGGCCTTAATACTACTTTGAGATTCGCACAGATGAAAGAGGAAGAAGAAAAAGATCCCGTGCTTCTAGACCGTCTCCATACCTTTTCCTACTCACTTCGTAACCAACGGAGTAGTAGCGCCAGGCTCCTCCTGGATTCCCAAGCCACACTTCAATGAGTAACGTCTGCCATTTTAGGACTTGGTCGGTTACGTTAGGGACCTAAAATTGGCTGGTTAGCCCGCATGGGGTCTTTCACCCGAACTAGCAAGATCCATGCGGACCCATGCCGGATCCATGCCGAACCCATGCCCGGAGCCGGAGGAGGTGGAGCCATTCCCGGTGGGGTAAAAACTTGACATTGGACTTGCAGGCTACTTTGGCAGCTTGTCAACCAATCCTATTGTCCTCTTTCAATGGTACGGAAGAGTGGGTAGAGATGAGGTATTATATCGATTGATACGTACCTCCTTCGGAATAGGACCCAAAAACGAGCCAACGAGAGGCGGAGCGCAAAGCGCAAACGCAGGAAAGAGACGCAGATTGCGGTTCGCCTCTGGTCATTTACGAAAGGACATCGAGGGGTCGAGCTGTCTGATTGATCAATTGAGGCCATGGAAGTACGGAGTACGATTCAATAGATTAGCTCGTACAAGCTCGCACCAACAAACGGCTTCTGTGTTGCCCTGTGCTTGTCTGGCGTGCATGGATTGCGGATTGTGCGGATTGCAATGAGGGGAGCCAAGAGGAGTCCTCGTCTCTCTTTCTGACCGTAATCTCGCCCCTTATATCTTGCTTTTTGTCCCTCTTCTTGCTTTCCGAGGAACGAGATATATTATCCTCCCGTCTTTCTCCTTCGCAGCCAAGTTCCCACATCCCCCGAGCCGAAGGTCTTTCATTCCCAGCCGCATCCTGACCCGAGGAACAAGGAGCGCCCAGGTGTCCAGTCCAATCGTTTTTGCTTTGACATCTCTCCCGTTACATCTTCTTCCCTCGTCAACGGAGTAATCATGCAGCTCTCCTTCCTCGCTACGGCGCTTCTTGCGCTCGGTTCTGCCAATGCTGCCGCAGTCGGTTGCTGCCAGAACTCTGTGAGGCGCGAGTGGTAGGTCTCCCCCCTCCCCCGTCCCGAGATCAATAGTTCCTCTCTTCATTTTCTTTTTGTTTCAGCCCCTCCACGCCACCTCCCCTCCTTTTTCTCTTCCCTTGGTCCACGGAAGTCTGGAGAAAAGTGTCTGTTCTCGATTGCCTGCTTTCCAGTACCCCATCATCCCGCTAGTGCCCTTCAGTGAGTCCTGTTGAGTTGAAAGAGATTCTGCGTGGCATTGCAGCGCATTCGTTCAACGCCGGCGTGCTGTACCCCATGATTCGTGCAAGCACACATCACAACGGCTTCACATGCACGTCGGCATGATCATCACCTCCCGGACCTCCTTGGCTGATCCACCCGCCCCTCCATCAGTCTCTTACCCTCGACACATGACATATTCCCGTGTGGCAAAAGAAGAAATATAGAAGGTGTCCGCGGAAGCTAATATGCCGTGCGCAACCCGAAATACAGGAGGACGCTCTCGACCAGGGAGAAGCAAGCCTACATCTCGGCAGTCAAGTGCCTTCAGAGCAAGCCCTCGCAGCTCACGGCCACTTATCCCAACTCGGCGAGTCGTTTCGATGACTTCCAGGCCGTGCACATCGACTTGACCGAGCAGTATCACTTCACGGGTCCTTTCTTGCCATGGCATCGCATCTTCATCCACCAGTACGAGTTGGATCTCAGGAGCCTTTGCAATTACAGGGGCTTCCAGCCGTGAGTAGTTTCCCTTCGATTTCGTTGACAGTTTTTCCTTCTTTTTTCCCCACTTGTGTTATTGTGGAGCGTCTGTGCTAACATCTTTGCTAGATACTGGGGTATGTCCATGGATGCATTCAATCGCGACGCGTCTTCACAGATAAAGTTTACTGACATGTAGATCACAGACTGGACCAAGGACTCGGCTACGGAGGCGGCGTTCCTCTCCGCACCCGTCTTCGACGCCGTCAATGGCTTCGGTGGTAAGTTTCTTTTAGACTCAATGGCATCTGAAAGACAACTCCTGACACATAATGCCTTTTTAGGGAACGGCCCCTTCGTTGATACCTCCGAATTCAACGTCACCAATGTCCCTCCCAAGATCCCCGGCAAGACCGGTGGCGGCTGCGTCCAGGATGGCCCCTTCGTCGACATGACCGTCACCCTCGGACCGGGCGCCAGCCTCGACTCCAACCCACGCTGTCTCCGCCGCGACTTCAGCTACTGGCTCATCTCGCGCACCCTCACCCAGGATGTCGTGGACTGGACCTTGGCCGCCACGACATACGGTGAATTCGACCACAGACTTCAGGGCACCGGCATTGAGCCCGAGGGCATGACGATCCATGCCGGAGGCCATCTCGGTGTCGGCGGAGACATTGGCGAGATTGGCAACATGTACTCGTCGCCCGGCGACCCGCTCTTCTACCTCCACCATGCCAACCTCGACAGGCTGTGGAACCAGTGGCAGAGGGTCGACTTCACTAACCGTGTCGCGGACATGACTGGCCCTGATACCATGTTTGCTTATCCCTGGGACTTCTTCGGCCCTGTGCCGTATACCAACATTACTTTGAATACGCTGCTTGACTTTAAGGGTCTCTTGGGACCGAAGCCCACGGACAGGTATGTTGAGATCAAGGATGTCATGGATATTGCGGGCCCTCGCCTTTGTGTGTCTTACAGGTAAAGGAGGAATGAGCTTGGTTGTTTTCTTGTTACAAGATTGATTCACGAGTGTCAACTTTAGTCTAAGTTGCTCGTACGCTTCGGCTCCCGTTTTGCTCTTCTTAAGCAAGCCTTCGAATAATTAGTACATAATAATAGTACACGTGTACATGATTCCTAAACCAAATAAATCTCGACATATTCAATTACAGATGGCGTGTACAAAAGTTCAGGACTTGTGGGGTCAACTCCTGGACCTCGTCGATTCGTGCAGCCAGCGGACGGCGACCTCATCTTGATGTGTCTGAGCGTCATGCAAGCACAGATTTCTTTGGATACGATTCATACTACGACATGCACAAGAAAGAAGTACTTGTGCAAGAAGAGACTTCTTGCTTTCTTTGCACAATGTTCGTCCACTTTGTCCTGTTCCGCAACATCAAATGAGAAGAGCCTTCCCCTCCCCAACGCGTCAAAGAGCCATTGGGGAATGGAGCTCCGATCAATTTTCGAAACAGTCGACTCCTAACATGAGCCGTCTTTAGTCACCCCATGTCTGCCTCTACTCCAAGGGGAATCTTTGAGAGGGAACGGGAGACATGTCAACCGGCATTGCCCTGATTTCATCCTTTCATCCCCGCCCCGCTCCCGGACAAGGTCAAGACAGAGCCCTGCTCGAATCAGACAGGGATGTGAGGGAGGGGAGTGGGAGATCTGTGTCCCTTCATATGTCCCCTAGTAGAGAAGAGGACGTGAGTCGCATAGGGTAAACACTTCGCAGGAGATCGGCACGATATGCATCTAGATTGCGGGGAAGGATCTTTTCCACCTTGTACGAAGGATTCCTTTTTTTTAATATTTCCCATTTTACTCGTTCGAGCTCTTCGTCGAGTGCATAACGTGTGAAGTAGTGTAGCCTACGAAGTAAGAATGCGGGATTTTTTTTGCTTCTCACAGGGAAGAGGATCCGTCCATGGCTTCATTTCCACTGTTTTAAATTCTACCCACGTCTGGGATTATAGTTTCCCCTGCCAATCTCGCGGCAGTGAAGCCCGGCTCCCTTGGATTGGAGAAGAGATCAATGGCAAGACTGACTCCAAGTCTACAGCATCATCGAAATGAATCTCACCATCAAATCAACCTGGAATGATAGGTAAAGAAGACGCTGATGCGAACAAATGTCAAGAAAAGGATACGCAATCACCCGCGGGCATGGCATCAAGTGAAACGTCTCACCATATCTGCTCTTACGAAAGAAAACTTATTGAAAAAGACTATCACAAAGTGGGAGACAGAGACGAGGAAGAGATGGAAAGAGACAGTTTTTGGTCCCGAGACTCGAATGTTGTTCAAATTGACGTTTATTTAATTCGGTTTCTCCACGAAAGAAAGAGCAAAAAAACAGATCAGACAGAAAAGGGATGAGAAGCGGTAAAGAGAAGTTGAGAAAAAGAAGAAAGAAACAAGACTTTCTCTTTTCGTTAATTTTCTGTTGTCATCAAATTAAAAAAAGGTCAGGATTCGCTCCCTTCCCTCGTGCAGTGTCCTCTCTCCCCCAATCAACCTTCCCCTTCCTTTCCTCCTTTCTTCCTCCCCTTATGCTCCCGCAAGAAAAATAGGGCCCTTGGAAGAGATATGACAAGCACTTTAAACAGGTATGCGGGGAGAAGCAAGTTACGATGCGAGGAAAATCTTGTTAACAACGAGTGGTATAAAGTTGGTTCGCTTATGCCTTGACGATGGAGCCGCCAAGAGGGAGAGCCTGGAGCCCTGTGGTTTGTGAAAAAGGTAATGGTTAGCCGTCCGTTCTCGGGGAAGAAAAAGCAGTACCTTCTTGGGGAATGGCAGAAACTTACAGCCGTCGACGGGCTCGGGGGCCTGCTGGGGAATGGTGCAAGCGTTGTACTTCTCGGGAGGCTGGTAGTGGAGGCCGGCTCCGGGGCAGTCGTGGTTGAGGTTGCAGCCCTGGTCCATGGCCTTCTGGAGGGTATCGTCCTTCCAGCCGAAGACGTAGTCACCGTGAGCAGCAGAGCCACTGGGAAGAATCTCTCATTAGCAGGGGTTCTTTGGGTCCAAGCGTGGCGTGTCTGAATAGGAACGACACTTACCCGAGATCCATGGAGTAGATGAAGGGGTCGGAGCCGTCGGTGGGCCACTGGCTCTGGTCGGAGAACTCGGTGACGTTCCACATGAGCTCGAACATGACCTGGGGAAGCTTGACGGGGTGAGAAGCAGGGCAGGCACCACCACCGTTGGCGCCACCGAAACCACCACTGTAGGCGACGTGGGTCTTGTGGTCGACGGAGTCGAGGTTCTTGCCATCCCAGCAGCTGTTGGGAGAAAAAGACCAACGTTAGCATCTTCGCTGCTTGCTGCTAGCGGCTTTTAAGGAAAGCAACAACTTACGTGGGGAAGATGATGGTCTGACGGATCATCTTGCAAGTGGGGCTCTTGGGGATGGCAACGGTGTCGGAGCCGGAGCAGGGAGCGCCGCCGACGAAAGTGTTCTCGTTGGGGGAGGTCCAGCACCTGTGGCAGATGTTGCCCCTGCTGACCTTGCTGTCCTCGGTGTTACCGGCATCACCAGCAATCATACGGAAACCCTATTCCAAAGTCAGCTGGATATCCTGGAGACACAGACACGGGGAGAGAAGAAGAAGAGGATCCCCCCCTTTTTCTCTCTCTCTCTCTAAAACTCCAAGCGGAACTGCTTCCGCTTCATCCTCAATAGACGCACCTTGGCAAAAGCAGTGGTCTTTCCGCTGGGGATGTAGTAGACATCAAGACCACCGTTGTTGATAAGCTTGCCCTGGGGACCACCATTGCCGACCTGCTGGACACGGTGGTACCGGCCGTCCTTGGACTTGAAGAACATGACGGCAGTCCAGTAGTTGGAAAGATCCTCAACGAAGGAGCAGGACGTGCAAGTGGACTGGGCGGCGAGATCGTGCTCGGCGGGGTCCATGGTGATGTTGAACGAGTTACCACCGACAATCTGGTGAAGATGGGGGGTGTAGAGCATGCCGGGGTTGACAATGGGGTCGACACGGTCGACGACGAGCTGCGAGCACGCGAATCGAAGCATGTTCTGGCCAGCGACGTTCTGCGCAAGGAGCGCGGCCGCGGCGGCGAAGGAGAGGGTCTTCATTGTTGGCAAGCGGGAGACCCCTTTTTCTTGGGAGGTTGTCTTGTTAGCTCGAATGAGGGAAAACGCAAGGTAGGCGTGTAAGAGAGAGAATGAGTCTCGACACTCGACGGTGGACCAACAGAGCGAACGGTGGTTGGGTTGAAGAAGGAAAGGAAGAAAAGAAAGAGAAGGAGGGTAAGAAGAACTGGGAGATGTTCTGTCATACCATCCTTATACCTTTTCCGATCTTGGTTCTTTTGCCGTCGCGCCTCTCATTCTCTCAGGTGTTCATAGTGCTTGGTGTGTCTCTCAATCTCCGTCTCTCCTCGCTTCTCCCGCTTATTCACTCGTTCTATTTTCCTGGACATTTGCACTCACCCATGGAAGCACCCCCCTCTATGCAACTTACACAAGACAGGAACCTTTCCTCTCTTCCCCGGGCTGCCCCCGGAGACTGGGGTGTGTGGACGCCAAGCATAGTGACTGGATGTCAAATCGATTTCTTACCCCATATTACATACAAGTGGGCAGTCCTATGGGGGGTTAACTGCCGAGGGCGCAGAATTTCCCTGTTGATTCTCGGTCCCCTAGGCGCAATATAACGATTGGGTAGGAAGAGTTCGCGATGCTTCCAAGTGGAAGGCGGGTTCCCAATATCTTGTCTCGCAACACAGCTATTGGTATAATAGCCGGAAACTCCGGGGAAACGCCTTGATTGCAGGTTCGCTTTTTTAATTGATACAGAAGTGTGTACTGGCATTTGTGTTGCGTTGTCATTGGAGACTCTTTTTACATGGGGGGGATTCGATATGTCTCCCCTCCATTTCGACAGCTGAGTTGAACGTTGACGGAGGATTTCCACATCACCTTTTCTCCTTTTTTTCATGCACATTCGATGTGTTTTATTCTACTTCAGTGCATGTCTTTTTGATATTTCCTGAACAATTTTCATGTCTCTCTGTCTCTCTCTCCGTTCGACTTCCTACATATATTCTTATACACTAGGATTGCGGATTGCGCTCCTTCTGGTTGGACTGATCTCACTTAATACAAACACGCCACGGACCCAATCATTTATCCCAGCTAATGGTGTTCCTTCAATTGACAGGAGAATAGAAAATGTTTGTATATATATATATAGGGCCAGTATATGGTATATATGCTCGGCCAGAATTCAGCCTGTCGGGTAAACACACGACGACGCGTGATCGGGGTGGTATGGACTGGCCGCCCCGTACGCCTCCGACGTATATTAAGCACTGGGGCCGCAATATAGATATACGGCTCTACGTTCTCGTGCCCTCCCTACGGTATTTCGTGTAGGCGGTGATCCTTGAAAACTTGTGGTTGCCATGGGGTGGATCTTGGGTTACTTCTCTCCCCGGTGTTAGATGGAATGTCTCCGAGTGTACTTTCGATTGCATACACGTGGGTTTCATGACGTTTGTCTTTTAAAAAGAGGCCGAGCAAGAATATGGCTAGTCGATATCTGTGAAAAGGCTCCAGATACGCATCCCGTCTGAACGGGTTGCGACGGCCCTACATGTGTCAAACGAGGGGACTTGGCCGGGTCCCAAGTGTATTATTGACGGATCCAGTCGATTCCAACAGAGTCTATTACCATCAGGCAAAAAGGGAGAGACAAGAGAGAAAAGAAAATACAATAAGGAGCGACACCTCCACGAGCGGCAAGTCAAACACCGCCGCGTCACCGGAAAAGCAGAGCACGAGAGAAACTATTGGCAAAAGTCGTCCCTGGGGTATAACACACGGGTCCGGCGTACGACTAGGACAAACAGAGATAGAGTGCCGCCGGGTCCCCCATAGATCATGCCTAAGGCGAACGGGGATAAAGGTGGGATGCTAACGGGTTGAGATTGGAGTACATTGCCGGCTCCCCATATTCCCTCTCTCCTGTCTTTCCTTCCTATGAGCTTATTTCTCACTTTTGGTTGTCAGAAAAGTTTTCTGCGTGTAAGACGGGAGGTCTGGGGAAACAGGGTAAGGGTAGATCTCTCCATCTTGCGGAATGGGGCTTCTCTCCACATCCCAAGGGTGGACTGGCTCTCATCCCCAGCGCTAACCCTATCAAATACCCAAAGGAGTAGACTGGAGGCGAGATCTCCTGGATTTGCCACGGATCATACCTGGGTACGAGTCGAGCAATCCTGAAAATCTTGGAACATCTCAACATGCTTGCACACCCTCTCCTTCTCAACACGGTACGGCCTCCAACCAGGTTGTGATATCGGACCGCTCATCCCAGTGCATCATGTGATTGAGGTTCAAGAATCTCCATGAAGAAAGAACTCATGCCAAGCAGGCTAAGTCCGTATAGCCTCAGATAGCCGTCTTGGGATTACTATCCCCCTTTTGTTGTCAATCTAATTACTGTTTTTGGAAGGGGTCAATCGACTTGTAGCTATCACCAAAGCCTCGGAACATCGCCTGATTCCTGCTATGGAGTTAGTCCACCAGACCTCTGAGCCGTGGGAAAGAAAGCGGAGCGTACAAGTAGGGGCGGCTCCGTAAAAGCTCGGCCACCAAAATTCCTAATCGCGAGAAATTCTCGACTGGTCGCCTGATCATCCCCGAGTCAGAACGAGAATGTTCTTCTCGTGCCATGAGAGTACCATGAGAAGGCAAGGACTTTCCTCGGACTTGAAGAATTCCTCCCCAAAAAGAACGATGTCTTCACTGTGCATAACAATGCACTCTATCAAGCGAATAAGTGACCCCTCTCTGTCTCTCTCTTCTCTGTCTCTTTCCCACTGCCGTAAATCCTCACTCTTCGTGATTTCTATTGTCAGATTGAGAAATATTGAGAGATATTGAGATATGGCCACCTGGTGGATCATTCAATAACCGCCTCGAATGTCGCCACAAATGCCTCGCTGCGGCTCAAATGCTCCCTCATTCTCCAAGGATGACGAAAGATGATCTCGGACGAGGGCATGGCAATATTGGATCTCTGGATGCATTCCCGGGCAGGCGAACCACCCCTTGGGTCAACCAGGGTGCCCAAATGCGGTGCATAGAAACTCAAATTGTACGTTGCCCCCATAAGTAGCAGAGGACGGACAGAAAGGGAGAGAAGGAAATGGAGCTTTCTTGTCGGCAAGACTCGAAAACCCCTCGGCCGTGGCTCTAGCAGCGATGTCACTGACTCACTGGCTGTGTGTGGTTATTAATAAGTGCCTTTTAATATCCTAGATGCAGGCTTGTGTGGCTAGATAGGAGGAAGGAAAAAAGCTCAGCAGGTCACCCTGAAAATCACCCTATGATAGCGCAGAGCGTATGCCGGGTAGATGAGAGCTTGCGCCAGATAAACAGGCCCCAGCAACGGACCTGGGAGAACCCGAACGCACGAGATACTGTCTTGCACCGGGGGATATGAAAGCGTGCCCGGTGCGATGACCGCCCCCATCGGGACTATTAGACCGTGTAGGCCTGGCCGTGGGGAAGGCTCGCCGCGAGAGCCCGGAGCATGATGGAGGTAAAAATCGCCTCCACTTCCCTGAGATGGGGCAAACGCCGAAAGGGACGGGGACGCCACTAGTCAGTGGGATAGAGGAGACCGATATTTGGGGATCTAAGGTGTAGAGAGAAGGAGCGAGCTCCTTTTACGCTATGAGTGTGAGCTTGATCGAGTAATTATTCACAATTGAAACTGGGAGAGAGCGTTGGACCTCGCCCCTTTCGTCGACATAATAGCTTCGCGGGGAAGCAACCGGGCTGTTAATGGGGCCCAGTCATGCTGAAATCGATTTGCACAATTGTAATCGATCGGTAGAATGCCTCGATGACAAATAGGTATGTTAAGGCATTCCCGGTGAGTGGGGGTGTGGGATTCAACCAAGGTTCTATTGTATGCAAGGCGAGCTTGAAGAAGACTGACTGTTCTTGGAGCAAGACATCGAGGGCAAGATACCATTCCCAGCAACGGGAACAATATTGGGGCTTGTAAATGCCCGACTAGATGGTTCCCTCTTCGGCGTATTTCCATCCGCCTCTTCTGTTTTAAATCGCGCGCATCGGGAAATAGGACGTTTAGCGGCAGATCGAAGCCTGGGGATCAGAAGCCGCTGAGATCAGTATGAGTATGAGTAGAGACGGAAGGGCATGTACTAATCGCTCTACTACTCGAGGGTCGAAACTCACGTTACTCGGTGCATAGTTTCCCAGTAACGAGGCAACGGGTAAACTGGGAGTGCTGTTGGAGCACGCACTTAAAGATGAGCCTATCGAGGAAGCTTTGCTTCGAGGTAACACTTTGGTTGTTTATTATTTCCTTGGGGGACTGGCCCGCGGTGCCGACACAAGACTACCGGACGGGCCGATATTGGAATTTGTGTGGGGATGGGTGCGCGTCACGCCGAACGAAGTATGGCGGTACAGAGACGGGAAGCAGGTCTATGTAGACGGCGATGGGGGTGAGGGAGGATTAAGAGGGAGGAGGCCGGGGGCGGTTACAAGCTGTGTGTGGTAGTTGCATCTGGTGGCACTACAATTAGAGTGGTTGCCGATGCTGTGGAGACCACGAACCACTCGTTCAAAAGCCGAGAGTATTCTTAAACTCCGTTATAATTATAGAAGGTGAAAGTGCCAGCTGTCTGCAGGTCGAATCTAGCATTCCCCTGAATATGTTTATTCATGCAAGGAGGTAAGGACTGCCAATTGTAACCTGGGTGTATCTGGGCGGCACAAGATCGACCAGAGTTGATCGCACCAAGTAAGCCCGAGTCAATCTCGAAAAAGCCGTTGTTGGGAAAAACAGGCTCAAGTAATTTGCAGAAGCCTCGAAACCGGACGCTCGATAGACCCAGCGACCCAATCTGCTGGGGTGATCAGCGTGGAAGTGACGCCCAGAGCCTGGGGGTTACTCCGATGGCTCCCACGGGGTTCAGCTCTGTGCTCTCTTTGCTTTGAGTCGCCTTCCATTTGTCGTTCCCGTCGGTAGACGCGGCTTGGTGATGGACCCATGTTCGAATAATGGTAGGATGTCTGAGAGTGTTTTCCTTTGTTGAGGGTCGATGATTGTGCTCATCTACTCGAAGCAACAGTTTCTCAGAGGGACTTATAAGCAGAAATCTACCCGGAACACCGCATTGGTCTGCCTCCAACCCTCATCCTCAGTTCAGTCTTCTGGTATGCATCCGGGCGCCCCTGATTGGAGCGGGATATTAACATGTGGGTGGATTTAGGCACACGCAAAATATTCCGGCACGAGGCCAGGTTAGTGGGTTGGTTGGTTGGGCACCTTGGATTTGATTCTTCCAAACTTTCCCCGTCGTTCCCTTGTATCACCTGTAAGCGTGGTGGTGAAACCGAGAGAAATGTGTGATTGGGTTAAAGCCGGCCCCCTTGATGGTGACGAGTGCTTTGGGGCGTCGTTCAGGGTGGGACTACCGGTGGTGAAGTAGGTGGAAAAATTGCCTGAGAAGCGGAATCTGCAGGAGCTTCCGCAAGTGCCTCTTCCGACGTCAAGTTTCAACACGCGACTGTCGGCTGGCTCTGAATCCGGAGACGCTCGGGTTGGGACAACACAGCGGAGCCGAACGGAGAAGATCATGGCCCCGTGATGGCGGCCCGGCTGATCTGGTTCCAGCTGGGTCGAGCTGGCGAGCGCGAGAAGAGACCATTGACCTTCCGAAGATATTCCATCCCCACAAACCCGAGACCGAGCGTCCGTTACAAAGGATTGACGTGCATAACGTCTCGGCGAGAGGACGTACGAATTTTTATAAGTTTAGAAAGCAGAATGGCCTCTGTATTCGTGGGTCTCGAGGGTGGGTTACATCAGGATCATCACGGATTTAACTCAACACCACTGTCCGAAGTCGATGCGATCGAGAGCCTCCCAGCCACAGATGCACAAGGTTCATCGGACGATGGAACGCTCATTGAAGAAAAGGGGCGCATCCATGTCGTATGAGACCAATGGCGTCCGGCGGCCCGATGCGATCCGGCGCCGAGTGCTGATGGCATGGAGTCCCTGACTGGCACACACAAACTAGATCACGGGTCTAGAACTTGATGGGCTAGCAGCAGTCTGGGCGTCCCCATGCCCCCATGCCTCCATTGAAGCGTTGCCTCTTGGAGCTTCCTCCGAAGCCAAAAGACGAGGGCGGCTTCACTTCCGGACGGGTCAGAAGATGGTGCCACGCTTCCGCGGAGTGGGAATGGCAGGGGAACAGGGTGGAGCAGAATGGTCGACCTAACTGAGCTATACCGAAACGAATTCTTCGTCTGCAGAGCCACGCCACCGTACAGGGATTCTGTGGTGCGATGCCAATACGTCTAAAATATCAGACCGGATTGACAGAGAAAGCGGGGGAGAGTGGGGGAAACAGGATCCTTCGTTAAATTCTCCTCGGCCTTTTCTGAACATCTTCGCGTCAATTGTCCAGATCATCGTCAAACACTTTTTGCGCAACCATGTGTGAGGAAACGGAAACGACGTCGCCTACGAACACGCAATTGCAGGCGGCTTTGGCCGCGAATCCTTTGCAAGCAGATGTATGCAGTTCCCCCCTGATGCCGTGTAACTACCCATTCCGTCTGCTATTTTTGGTTTGTTTATGCTCGATTGACCTTGCTTTTTTTTCCAGGATGCTATTCGGGACGACGATTCTGCTTACAGTGTTTCGTGGGTTCTAAGTTTGAGATTCATGAATTATCCAGATTACTTGTTCCTAACAAGTTCATTAGAGCGGATTCAGCTAGCTTCCGAACGTCTCTGGCCTCAAGCGTCCTTAACTACAAGTATGTTGACACGCCAATGTACCAAGACGCCGTCATCATCATCTTGGACTTCTTCAATAACTCTAACCATCTTTCTCGTACTTGATTTAGATACGAGGTTAGTTCTAGGAAAAGAGAAAGAGAGAGAGCGCTACGCAATCATGCGCTGACATTCATCGACCGTAGAATGGTCGTCGCTACCATGCATTCCGTGAAGGCTCCTACTTAGTAGTAAGTACACATGTACCTAAGAGCGCGAGGTTGAAGCTCCCCAATCCTTTGACGACAAGTGAGAAAGAAAGCTAAGTGCGATTACGCAGCCGAACGATGAGGAAGAGCAAGATCGGATGGATCTCGTTCATCACCTCTATTGTATGGTGCTTAAAGGCGAATTGTTCTTCTCTCCTCTCGAGAGTGACCCCCAACGAGTGCTTGACCTGGGCACTGGTACTGGTGTCTGGGCGATGGACTTTGCAGAGTAAGAATCTCATGTCCACCCCCTTCCAGATGCTTGGCTAACATTGTTGAACTTAGTCAATACCCATCCGCGGAAGTTATCGGAACTGATCTAAGTCCCATTCAACCTGGATGGTACGGTGACTCCTTACCCGTCTTCTTCTTCTTGACATTTAAATAGTAACATTGCTCGTACGCGCCATAGGACCCCTCCCAACTGCTTCTTTGAGGTTGATGATTTCGAATCAGAGTGGCCCTACCAAAAGCCCTTCGACTTCATCCATGGTCGAGAGCTGGAAGGGTGCATTGCCGACGGTGGCAAGCTATTCCGTCAAGCCTTCCAACACCTGGCCCCCGGCGGTTATATTGAATTCCAGGCCAGTTACCCCGCCTTCCTCTCCGATGATGGTACGGGCGAGAAAGGAGAAAGCGCTCAGCTCTGGTTGAAGAACTTGATCGAAGGCCTCGGGAAGTTCGGCAAGCCGCTGGATGTTGCCATCGGATGGAAGAAGAAGATGGAAGAAGCAGGGTTCGAGGATGTGACGGAAAAGATTCTCAAGGTCGGTGGCTCAACATGCCCCCAATGCATTCTCATCCATCCAACGTCCACACGACTACATTTAGTGTTTCGTAACGCTCGAGTACTGACTACTTGATATAGGTGCCTGTCGGTGCGTGGCCGAAGGATCCAAAGCTAAAGGAGATTGGAAAGCTGCAGGGCGTTCAGCAGATCCAGGCCGTTGAATCGTACACGCCTGCTGTCTTTTCGCGGGTCCTTGGTTGGAGCGATGAGGAAATTCAGGTGGTCATCGCCAAGACGAGAAAGGACCTCACCGACCCAGCGATCCATATTTATATTCCAGTGTACTTTGTATATGGAAGGAAACCCAAAGCTTAACATGGAGCTGGTGAGTCAACGGTTGCGGCTTGACAAGTTGGGCTTGAGCACACACTTGCCCAGGATAAATCCTAATCCCTTCTCAAACTTACGTATTCCTTGCTAAAGATTGGAACGAAATTGAATAACCAGTTAATTGCTCTGGATAGCTATATCATATACTTACACCCTTCAAGCGGCGATGAGACTTTATGACATTTAGATCTTGGCTGAAATATATCATATGTACTACGACGGGCGCAGTGTCCCGCTTGAGCTGGAAAGAGAGCAGAGGGGAAAGACGGAGACTTTACCTATTCGCCTGCGCATTGATGCATTGCAGCTGGTGATGCGGGCGGATGCGTGACCGTGACTTATTGATGATTTGACGATGCGCTGAAGCGTACCGGTGAGGTGGGTGCAGTGTATTTGAAGGCGAGGAGACGGCGTTGGGGAACATTTGACTTGAGCTCAGTTGGCCAAATTGAGCAGCACCAGGAAGATTAAAGCGACTCCTTCGAGCGATTCCGCACACCGAACTTCTCTTGATGAGACGATTGCAATTATTGTGTACGAGAAGAAGCGTATTCAGTAGTAGGATTATTAAGATTCTGGTCTGGCTGGGAGCCTGAAGCCCGATGGTCTGGAAAGCCCTTCGTTTCCTCCCCCTCCCCCTTCGCTCTCGACCTAGATGACCCATTTCGGGTTCCCGTTTCATATTTTTTTTTTTTTTTTCTTTTTTTCCCATAAAAAGAGAGCTGGAAAAGGCCTCCATTCCTGCCAGCCCTTCCTGTTTTCCTAATGTACCGAAGCACGAGCGGTTACACTTCTTCAACCCTCAAGCCGTACGTAGCGGCGTGTGCCCACGCACCTTTTCGCTACGGCGATGATGTTCCTGACCCACAGGGATCCGTGAGATGTCCACCTCTCCCACCAAAGTCGGCTCACTGTTCCGACTCGAGCCCAAGCCCAAGCCCCAAGCCCCAAGCCCCAAGCCCCAAGCCCTACCCCAGTTCCAATCCCTTCGAACCCAGCCCGTCGGAACCGGTGTGACGTCGCCCTTTCCGTGGAGGCACTCCCGTCTGACTCAACGACAGAACATGGTGGCTTCGGACATCAAGCTATTGGTAGGTGAGTCGAAATCAAGAGCGGTGGAAAGCATCGATCCGTTCCAATTTAAGGGGAACGGACCGGTTGGAGAGGATAAGCTTGGAACGAGGAAGCTAAACGAGGAGCTTGCTAATTTTCCCTGAGTTTGCCCGCATCAACTTTCCTCGTCTGTCCTGCTTGGTAGCGCTTGCATTCTCCAATATCGGCTGGGCGGAAAGAGTCCTCAAAACGCATTCAATTATTCAAAATAATTTTGTATCGGGATGTGTGCATTACAAGTGAAGGTGGCATGAAATGAGAAATGAACACCTCTTCTCCTCGCCATGTCGAGGAAATACAGGCAGGCCATCATACAAACTTGACTAGAGAAGGTACCGGAAACATATTGCCATTATCAACCTTGAAGAGAAGACGCGGGGAAAGTTATAATAAATCGGACGCTCTCTATTGATGTGCATTTAATGCCGAGTTTTTTCAACCGTTAGAGCCTGCGGCCCCGACTTCAAAGGAACTCAGACTACGCAATCTCTCCAGATTCAAAATCTCCATCGTCCTCATGGAACGAAAACCAGTTATGAATCTCCTTAAACTTGTGCGTCATAGCATGATAAGGGTACCCCTCCGGCCTCCTCAGCGCCACGAAGTCGTCCTCATCCAGCGCGTTCTTCTGTTGCCACTCCATGAGAGCATCGTAGTCCTTACATTTATGCTCGATATTGAAATCCGGAAACGGATGGTCTAGCACGTCCGTCCACACGTGCGTATACATGTCCGTATTCGCAGAGCACATGATATTTTGCGCCAGAAGCCAGACGCAGTGGGACAAATGCAGGCGGTGCATCTCGGACGTTGTGTCGAACCCGCCAGGGTACTTTGCCCCGTAGTAGTGTTCGAAGCGCGCCTCGCGACGAAGAGCGTCTAAGCAATGAAGTTGGTGGAATACGTCAACCCGCCCGAAGTAGCTGTCATTGCCCCGGCCCCAGGAAGATGGGATACGCGCGGCTGAAGCCGGGTCTTTGCCCATAGCGAGGACTTGGTCGCGGGTGAGTGCCACTGGCCGCGTATCGTACAAAGATGCCCAGGCTAGGTCGACGTCGTGGCTAGGTTCTTGACGGTAGATGCTTGGTGGGTTGGTGTTGAGAAGTGTTGCGTCCATTCGTTTGGGCGAGACTCTGATTTCGGTTTCGTCGAGGATCGGTGCTGTATTGGTCAGTAGGTTGTGCGAATGTAATTTCTTGCGCTTCAGTTCGACTTACACGGCATTGAAATATGCCTAAGATAATGATTCCTCCGCTGCTCGTGGATGCGATCAACGTACTGCAGCGATGGCGGTCGTAGAGACAAGGTAAACATTGCACACGATGCCAGGAATAGTGCTATGTTCAACCAGAGGAAGCATATGGAGTGCCATAATCGGCCTCTTCTACATGTTTCACCACCGTAGGCTTGAACTAGATTGCCGTCTAGTTCCCCGCTCTCCTTGCCTTGAGCACCAGTTTCTTCGTTTTCACTGAAGCTCCTGACATGGAGATACTGGCGTGATTTGCGGGTGAACGTGAATGGTTTCATAACGGCTCAACATCTACCTGAACCCTTAGAGGCTTATGTGCAGAGCCTGTTGTTTCCAGATGGCGTCCAAGTGGGTTAGACTTTTGAGAGTGCTTGACCACCACCAGCCAGACTGGTTTGCTGGTCAATTAGAACATGATTTGGCCAAGCTCCCGATTTCTCAGCACACATCAGTTCTCTGTCTCCCCTCCCATCGCTGTGTTATTCTGAAGTTACAGGTACCGCGGCGTGGGAGACTAACTATGTTGTCATCAGTTGTTCAGCTTGTCAGCCTTCTGGGTCAGCAAACACAGCAGCACACACTCGGGACCTCGGCCACCGATATCACCAAGTTTCCCAAGTGCGAGATTCTGGCCGAGTCTCCTTGGTGTAGGGCCCTAGGTGCCAAATTCAGTCTGTCGTTTCCCCCAAAATGGACAATTTTCCATCTGTTTTACCAAATTCTTAGCATCGCAGAGATGGCGATTTACAACTCCAGCAATTGTTCTCGCCCAGCAGCGTTCACGCTCTTCGCGTTTGGCCTGGTGATCCTCTCATCGTTCCTCTTCTTCACGCACTGGGACGATAGACCATCCTATCGAATTCTCTGGGAGGGGGCCTCCGGATCAGTATGCGATTCCAGCGGTCTCGGTTCACACCCCCAAACCTTCATCTTCGATAGCCTCCATCCGTTAGAGGATAACTCCGAATCTCTTCTTAATCAAGCCAAGAACGTATATAAAGAAAACAAAGGCAATTCATTTGTCCAGCTCCGCGAAATCGACGAAAAGACGCAGCATTATGGCGTCTCCATGTTCCATCAACTGCACTGTCTCGAGATCTTGAGAGCTGCTCTCAGTCATGAGCCAATGTCCCACACACACCACGGAAGGAGAGAAGAGAGCAAAGATGACGATCATATAGAGCATTGCCTCCAATATCTTGCACAGGTGAGCCACGCCAGTTCCCATACTATTCGGATCAAGACACTAACGACAATAAAAATGAAGGGTATTATGTGTGCAGCAGATGATACTATAGAGCCTTCGTTTGTAGCTGAGCTTGAAGACGGGGAGAAGGTTCGCGCGATAAATGGAGATAGCGTGGTGCATCAGTGTAGGGCGTTTGGATCGGTATACGAGGCCGTGATTCAGAGCCGTGAGAAGGCTTTCGTGATTGATAGAAAGTTGAAGGCAGGAGATACCTTACGTGGAATTCTAAAGCTTCGTGATTGATTATCTGCCAATCTGTTCTCTTCCTCTTAGATATAGAACAAACAAATGAGAAATTGCATATTAATGTGATAGACTTAAGATTTCTTGTCTAACTTCCACACACATGTTTACCACGCCACGAACCCATACCTAAAGGTGCGTAGAAACATGGGAATCCGCCTCCTCCGCGGCCTTCTCTTTGGCCGCTTTTACTCTGGCCGCCTCCTTCTTAGCTGCCTCAGCCTCCTCGGGATGATCCCTCCAATACTTGAAGAATTTATTTCCGGGAAATGCTGGATACTGGTCCTCGATGTCCTCCCATGGGGCATTGTCAAACCCAGACTCGCGTATAATCTCTTCCGCCTGCTCAGCTGTGACATTGTAGTTCCACGCCCCAGCATGGTGCGCTTTAGCCCACTCCTGGACCTTCGTGAAGTTTCGGCAAGTGTGCGTAGTAGCGAGACGGGGTACAATAACTTCATTTTGAGGCACGTTGACGCGGAATGGCATGGGCGAGACGTCCGCGTGGCACATCAGCGTTTCGCGAATCGAGTCAATGCAGTGGTCTAAGAAGTGTGATATTAAGCATTTTAATGTCACAGGACATGGAGACAGATTTAAGACGTGCACATACCCCAATGAAGAAACTCGAAGCTGTCGCGATTAATGACTCCGTTTTCGTCTGTGACCTCTGCCAGGCCGGGAAAGCGCTCCGGATACAGAAGCATTCGCAGGTCGTTAAGGCAGTGCAGTGTATGCCAGATATCGAGCTGGATCAGATATTCTTTCGTACCGGGTATAGGCAGCGTGGGATGAGGAAGCATCTTCGCCTCCTCTTCGGTAATCTTAGAGATTCCGACTACAAGTCCAAATCAGTACCCCAGATACGACAAACCGTAACGATGAGGTTCTACTCACAGCTGTACAGATCGCGCCAAAGCTGATCTGTCTCGTCCGTTGGGTATCCCATATAAGGCGTCCTGTTGAAGAGCGCCGCATGGAACTTGTATTCTTTGATATATTCCACGGCTTCGTTGGCGGGCGCTATTTTTGGGCCGCATTTAGTCCCGGTACTCCAAATTCCATGGGGAAGACAATAAACACTTACAATAAACTCCAAGTGTCGGGTCTAAGAACGGTCGTCGCGTAAACTTCACAACCAGGGCAAAGACGACAACCAGAAGCACAGCATGGGAGGCATATAGACTCAAAATATGAGTTTTGGAATAGAACCAGCCGTTCCTCTGAGGCTGGTGTCTCCGGCCGGGGTGTATAAAGCTCTCCTTCTCATACTCGATAGTCGCATCATCAGAAAAGTCGGTGGATGGTCGTTGAGAAGACATGGCTGCGCGGTAACATACTCAACACTGCAGCAGTCTCACCTCTGCAAAAGACTCAATTAACGTTCAATTATAGCCGGGAAAGTTGTCTGGGAGCAATTCCCACCCCACATTTGCTTGTGCCCCTCGTCAAAATGTCAGTCCTATGAACCATGTCACTACACATGAAGCCTCTGTTTGCTGACATCGATGACAATGTCAGACACTTCAGTTGTTAAGTACCGCTATCGCCGTATACCCTTATTGGCAGATAGATGGGATAACCATCGGATTTCTAAGGGTAAACGAATCCACCTCACTTCAGTCTCACTATTGTAATAATTCGAACGGAAAGGCACGAAAATGAAGCTCCTCAACACCCTCACCCTGTTTGTTGCGGTGGCGATCGCCGCTCCACGATGTATGATAACTACCCGGCCTGCCAGTTAACGCGAATACAGAGCTAATATTTTTATGTTCAAGCCAACACTAAGCCCGAGGCTCGCTCCGAGATCTCGGATGCTGGGGACACTGGTTGGGGCAAGCGAGATATTAGCGACGTCGACGTGGACGAGATTTCTGCGGCTTTGTACACTGGCTGGGGCTCCATCAAGAGCAAGCGTGACATCTCGGATGTTGATGTGGATGAGATCTCCGCCGCTCTGTACACGGGTTGGGGTTCTATCAAGAACAAGCGTGATATTCGAGACGTTGATGTGGACGAGATCTCCGCCGCTCTGTACACGGGTTGGGGCTCCATCAAGAGCAAGCGTGATATTAAGGACATCAACGTGGATGAGATCTCGGCGGCTCTGTACTCGGGCTGGGGTGGCATCTCGAAACGAGAGGATGCTTAGGAAGAGAAGTAACTCTGACTCGGAAGAGATCAAGTTCGAGGAAAGAAGCGGTGACCCTGTTGAGAGACGAGGAGGTGAAATTGGCCTTTGCAAAACGCACCAACTATTTGTCGCTCTTTCCATCTCGAGACTCTGCTTTCGAAGTATTTCTTGTCTGTCGTTAATCCTGGACTCGCCTCGGAAGGCTGCAATGAATTGAACTTGCTTTGCATATCGTTTACGTCGATCCCATGAAAATAGGAAGTTAACCTAAACAAACGTCTAAGGCATAGATGAGTACATACGGTTTGAGTGTCCGGCGGACTTTCAATGAGAACTTGGGAGGAACGCACTAACTTCCCCTTGTACAAAGACGGCTAGAGTCCGCCGATTCGGAAACGCTATCTTCACGTCTCATATAACTTCGACAGAACTTTACAACTACTGTCACCCTATGTCGACTTCCTCCGTCTTTCCATTAGGAATATGCTTCCTTCTCCACAATTCTAGTCCGCCTGGCTCATCCCAAGCGCGGCAGCGATGAACGACCTCATTCCCCGTCAGCTTCCTACCATCGTCCTTGTCTGGCCCCTCAAGTGTCGCGTCACCGGCACAGACAATCGCTTGTCGGAGGTAATCGAAGCAATGCTCCGCATGCTTCTGGCCCAGCATTTCCCGGTCCGTAGCGTTGTACATTAGGCCGACCCAACCGAGGTGCAACTTCTTTAGGCAGTGGAGTTGATGATATGCGCTAAGCATATAGATGTTTTGGGTTCCAATTATTACGTTTTTGTTCGGAGTCAAGGAGTAATCTTGCGGGTTGGGTATATGAACAAATGCCGTTGTCTCTGTTGCTGTTAGACTGATTAACATGGGGATTTTTTTCTTGAGGACACACCGTAGTCGCGCCAGGCTGCTTCAACGTCCTCGCTGCTTCGGAGGTTGGCCATGGTAGGACTTCGAGTAAAGGCCCTAAGTGTCCATGAGGCTGCAGATTGTCGTCAGTATTAAATGAATCGGTTTTGTAGTAGTCCTTGAACCACGCACCAGGGGGTACTGGAGTATTAACCCATGCTTGATCATGCCGAGGATGTTGGAAGAGATACGCGATTCCAAGGCCCTCGAGCAAGCAAAGGCAAAGCAAAATGCAAAAGGAGATCCTGTAGATGTTTGATGTGGAGTGACTGAGTCGAGAAGGAGGCGAAAAGTCTGTCTCTGCTTCGGGTATCTGAGTAGCACTTTTGGGCTCTGGTTCCGACGAGCCTGATGAGACAAGATGGTATGATGGACGAGACGAGGCATCACGAGAGGGCCACATCATTAAGAGCAGTTGAGTAGTTGGAGCGATCTAGCCTTTCTCAGAAAATAGTTGAACGGTTTCAATCCAAGAGTCGGAGGCGGAGACAGGTACTCACTGTCCGATCCGACCCGTGCTCCTTCATCTAGGCTGAGGAGGTCAAGTTAAGATAGCACTACCAGACATCTATAGATATACTACTATCTATGTGACCAGTACTTTTCGTATAAAACTCGATAGTTTAATAATACGAAATTCAGGTAATAAAGAATTCGACATGCATGTATCGCAAAGTTGTCAGCACACAGCGCATTCAATGCCACGGATAGTTGCCTAGTAACCGGACTCACATTACTTGTCTGTATTATTGATGTATCAGGTAACTTCTGCTCATTGGTCCATTCTATCCTGGTACCTAGGTATCTTGTTACGTCCTATGTGTTGGTCGTGTTGGTCGTTTGGGCATGTTGGTCGCGTTGCATATGTTTTCATCAAACTCTCCACCTTCTCCAACTTCATCAAATCTCTACTATACCAACTATCCCAGCTAAAAGAGATGGCAACTGCTTCTGAAGGGAGATACTCAACGGCTAGCGTCGCCAAATCCGAGACTGCGAAGTCGTTCGCCTGGGAAGCGCCTGTCCCCGTGAACCGCTTCTGGGACAGCATCAGCTACTGCGTTAGCCGAAATTTCCTCAACAACTTCTCCGAGCAAGAGCTCGAACGCCTCCCGATCGACCCGAACAGTTCTGCAAGCGATAAAGAGAAGCTAGAGCACCTTCTTCACCTGCTACAAGAGAAGCTGGCAACAGAAGAAGCCGCTGCAGCCCCGAAGACGCTATCTGAAATCGACTATGCGCGCTGGAATCGCCTTTCCCAGGCCATCTACACTATGCAGTCGGAACTCGGCCTGCCAGAATCCTATGACACTATTCGCTTGATGGTGGACAAGCGGCCGGACAAGTCCAACATGCTGCCATTGCATATCCTAGCAGATCACCTCGTCAAGATCGGGAAATACGAAGAGGCAGAAGAGACGGAGAAGCCGGTTTTGGCCTGGATGGACGGACACGAGCGCCTCGGGAGAGATTCGCCTCAAGCGGTTAATGCGCGCAGGATCATTGCCAGGGCTCTGTGGAAACAGGGGCCTTCGAGACGGGCTGAGGCCGAGGCATTAATAGCAGAAATCAGGGAGATTATTGATGGAATGGGAAGTGGGCAGTTTGGTGTTTACCAGCAAGAGGAGAGAAGACTTACAGATGCGACGATTGCTGCGCTTGAGAAGGAGGCGCAGTCATCTCGGCGTTTCACCCAACGTAATATTGAAAGTTCGGAGAACGCTATCTGAGTATTTTCTATATATCTCTACTCACCCCACCATAGATTATCCATTGTGACACTCTTAACGCCATTTTCTCTTGTCCACTCGACTATACTCTCAAAGTTGCGACAGTAGTGGAGAGTTCCAAAGTCGAACACGGTATCGTCATGTCCAGAGGCAGTAGTGTTTCCGCCGTGATGGAGGAGGATGGAGCCGACATCCCCCCAGCACTTTGAACGGCCGCACATTAGCCTCTTTTTCCAGACAGTAAATACACTTCCTACAGTGAAGTAGTTGAGCTCACCATGACGGCTTTCCGCAGCCGCTCTATGCACTGATATGCTCGCTCCCAAACCAGCGAGTCACTGCCCTGGAAAGCCGCCAGATGCGTGAAGTCGCGGTCAGCCCGATGGCCCAGCTGGCGCAGGAAGTTCAAGCAACCCAGTTGTACTGAGTATTCCGGCAGCGCGAGGATGTTGTTGTTGTTATGTGGATCTCGAATCCAGGCTGAATCGTTCACGGCACCGAAAAGTCCGAGGTCTCGAAGGCGGGAGTCAGGGATTGAGATGGGGTGTTCTACACCAGTCAGCCAAGCGATCCATGTCGTCTATTCACAAAGGTGATGTGATATCTACCAGGGAGCAGTTCATTCCACGCATTCTCGATTTCATCAGTTGGCTTGAACCCATAGTATTGTGAAGGTTCGGAGGTGGTGAACTCGCTCTCCTCAAATTCAAAGGTCTCCCAATGGTACCTGATGATGCCCATCGCGGGCGACCAGGAGTAGCTGTGAAGATCGCATTGTGCGTCGGTAGGCTCAAGATGAAAGGCTGAGAAGAAAACGGCGGCCGAGCATAGTAGCAAAAGTGCTGAAACCAACCAAGCTAGATTGAACCGGTCTTTGTCCCTTGGTCTCTGGGTCATTGTTAGGTCTCGCATGCCGAAGCCGTTGAACTTCAGAAAACTCCTAGATATTTCCCTCCGCCTCCGCCGCTATACAACGTAGATTCACCATGGCCCCCTTCTCTGCGCGGGGAAAATAGCTAACCCACTCTTGCAATCATAGGATATAGTGATGGAGCGTATGCACACGTATGCTGACTATGCATGACGGAGGCATGATATGCTTTGGGGTGACGGCACTGATATTTAAGAGCCGCTGAATGCTATATTGGGGATCGAATCGACATTCTAGCAAGAGATTACGACAGTACGATGACGCCATGGATCAGACTATGGTCGAAAGTGCAGGGACATGTTTCTGAACAACCAGAAGACGCCAGTGTAACGGGCAACGAGGCCGTGCTTCCACTGCTTGACGAGGAGAAATTATCGGAGGTGGAACTTGAGAAGGATGAACCAGAAGCGGCACAGAAGCGTGTAAAGCGCCCGCACTTCTGGCTCTCTAGCTCCGCCATTCTGCTTTTCAGCTTCGGCATTTTCATCTTCTCTCTTCTGTTCTACAGGTTTTCATCCTACAGCGCAGCGACGGACAAAACATGTCAGAGAAGGATGTGGGCATATAGTAAGTCCGTGCACATGCACTCGAGCAAGAAATAGCCGGACCAAAGACTGATACTTCCAGGCCCGGAGATGGACATTTTGGAGTTCGAATGGCGGCAATATAACTCGGCCGTCATCCCACGGGAGTACTATGGAACCCCCACCGATGAGAGGAGGGAAGCCTGGCATGAGCTGTGGGCGAGTAAGCTTACCGGTCCAGTCCAGAATTCATCATGCGAGCTAACCCTTTGATCTAAAACACGTAAAGCTGGACGAATCAGCTTTCCGCACAAAAAATTACTGGCTGCAAATAAGACGAAAGACCGCGACTGGTGGCATCTCCCAGCCCCGCGGGATGAGGAACTTATTTCCATGTCCGAAGGCATGTCTCTCTCTCCATTCCCCTCCCCACCTTTTTGCCTGATCCAGACCTAGAAAAAACGGGATTCTTCATAGCTAATATATTCTGCAGTCATGCATCAACTGCACTGCGTCAGCATGCTCTGGCTCTTTGCACACCGCAACGAGTGGGACTTTCGGGCAGTCAAAAACTGGACAGAGGACTTTTTCGAGATCCACAACATGCACTGCAGCGTGATGCTGCTAAACCTGATCAAGTGCCAAGCTGATGTCACACCGGTTCTATTCCAGCGGGCAAGTCACGCTGTAGGAAGGAGTTCTGGGTTGGGGTTAGGGTTAGGGAAATGGGAAATGCGGGATGCAAGACACAGGTGCAAGAAGTTCGATGCACTGGCTAAGTGGGAGAGGGAGAACCAGATATGCCCGGCGTTGTGCCGGCCGGAGGATATATTACGTCTTTACGGTTAGTTTGTGCCTTAAGGTATGCACATGGCGTCATGCAAGCCTTGCGGTATGGACCGTGATGCTTGTTTTCCCCTAGTCAGAAGTGAAGTCACGTGGAAGCCTTGCGATGCCCTTGATCAATTGAAATTTGAATCAGTGGACAGAACAACCACATCATCGAAATCATCACGGAATAAACCCCCCAGAGCTCTCCTTTTGCTTCATGCTTTTTCTTGTTTCATATGTATCTATCCGAGTGACAACGGCTGCATAGATTGGACGATCCTTACTATATTTTACAACACCTTTTCTCGGTAAAATTAATTCGATGTGAGGAAGGATCCACAACTCCCCGCCCTTGCTCTCCCATGCAGACTTCTCTAACTCCCATCACGAATTCGAATGGAGGGTACTTTTGGCAGAGAACAAGCCAATCCGACGCCTCGTATTTTTCTGTAAGCTGTGGCTAATCTAGTTCACACCTATTCAAACTCTGTCCCTCCACCCCCAATGTATAAAGTCCCGGCCCGCTCCGGGCTGTCCCACTTATTACGGGAAACGCGCAGGTCCTCCCCAAGTTACCATATCCGGTATAACCCGGGATATAAAGGTAGATCTTGTCTCCATAAAAAGCAGGATATCCAAGATTACCATCTTTACGAAGACCAGGAAATGATAATAGGACTAGAATACGATAGGGAAACAGAATAATACTCTTTGTTCGTTCTTACACCATTCAGGTCTTTCGATCTAAGGATGGATATAGTGCTGACATTATGGTTCCCCTGTTTCTGACCACTCACCTTGCAAGATGCTGCTGTATGTCGGTTCTGCTTACGGTCTCTCGATGAGTCCGGCACTATATTCTGGACGGAAGGTGTCACCAACAATGCAGATTATCTCTTTTAAGAATGTGTGATTGGACTTCGCAGCGGTCCCGCGCATATGAACCCCTTGATAACGTCAATTGGTCTGTGCAACCAGCATAGTAGGATACCCCACTTGCGAGTTCGGCATGGAACGGAAGGATCGAGGTACATAAGGCGGTGGCACAAGGCCGCCTTACTCAGAAGACTACTCACTCCTTGTCCATTACATATAAACTACTTGACTCGCCCGAGGATTGTTAGCCATTACGCTTTGATAGTGCTATAGTTTAAACTCGAAGCCGACCGCCTCACATTCCTTCCTCCCCGACCTCGAACACATGGATAAGCATGACCATGCTCAAGCTGCGATTGAGGCCTTGGAGCGAAGAAGACAGCAGAATCGACTTGCCCAGAGAAAGCGCCGTAAGTCATGGGCCACTTATGCAAGCTTGTGGCTAGACTCACCTCGTAGCATTTGAGCCCCGAGTCCTGACGGAATCTGTAAAATAAGGTCAACGACGTGCTGAACTGGATAAACAAGCAGCGGAAATGCAGCAAAAGACAACCAATGAACCTTCCTCTGATAGTACTTGTGCTCATTGCCGAAAGTATAGCCTAGATGGGGCGAAACACGCGCAGGGACAAACATATACAGAGCCAAGTGCACCACGTCTGCCTGACCCTAAACCTGTCACACCCGAGCAGGAAATGGTCCGGGAAGCCCCGTGTGTAGCCGTTGCGGAAGAAACCTTGTTATCACCGCAGCAAGAGGGCCTCATCCATAACACGAATAATATTACATCGCATCTGGACCTTGATTGCTTGGATACGGACGACCACAGGCGAGAACCAGACGCTGATTTTATGTTGGACATGCCCTTCGAAACGCAACAAAATTTGGGCACGACAACACTGTCGCCGATAATACTGTCATTTCCCACGCCTCATAAAAGCCCGGAAAGTACATCGCCTCATCAAAAGGCCAGCAGCATCCAGCAATACGAAACCACGGCAGCAGCTCACCAAAACACTCGCCAAGCTGCCTCACTAAGGCGTTCGAGTCTATCAACACCGGTTATGTCGTTGGAGCCATCGGCTTACCTACCCATTGGTCTACCTACTCCAACGAGGGGGACTCCACCTGGATGCAAATCCCCCTGGCCGCCGTCTACTACAATTGTCATGACTCCTTCAAGCGAGGTTCTGGGCACGGCTTCTGACAACCGCGGGAAAACAGCGCTTCACATTAGCGCCGAACTCGGCAACGCGCGCATTGTGCAGTTCTTGCTGGATAACGACGTTGACGTCGATGGGGTTGATAGTTCAGGGCGCACAGCACTGCACTATGCGGCGCGCGGCGCACATATCGAAGTAGTCTCACGTTTGCTTGCGGGAGGCGCCGACTCAGAAGCACGTGATTACAATGGGTTAAGTCCGCTGCATGCCGCGGCGGAGGCCGGGTGTGAGGCAGTGATCCGGTTGTTGGCGCGGGGAGGAGCGGACTTGAATGCTAGTGTAGGCATTAGTCGTGACGAAGAAGTGGTTAAAGAAGGAATTCGGTACTAGGGTAATCGTGACGGGGAGAGTGAGAGGGAAAGGTGCCAACAGTATGGGCAGCTAAATATAAAAGTTACGACGGATGTTCCATGGGATGGCAGTACTGTTGTGATTAGAAGCATCATCGCGGTTTGGACGATCGTCAGTAGTGTCAGGAAATGACAGCTTACCGTCATGGCCATATAGTCATGCCGAGAACGAACTCTATCTCCATGTCCGGGCGGGAACTGCCGTCCCTGCGGACCAGTGAACTGGGGTTGGCTGTGGCGCTGGGTAGTTGCGCCACGATTACTTGGCAACTTGTGTGGCTGCAATACCTTTGTGTGGATGAATGCGGGGCTGGAGCCGATCGCAATTGCAAGCTTCGGCAACATTGGTCAATTTACGGAATCAGAATCATAGCACAATATGAAGATTCTTGGTAATAGAGTTGGCTTCCCAACAATTGAGTCATCTTAAAGTCTATGGAGTAATTCAGTTTTTGCTGTCTTAAAGGCTTTTTAGTACTTAGGAGAAATATTATTTTGGCTTTTTCCTCGAGTTATGTAAACTGAATACAAGTACTCCGTACAGCTCGACGCACAGACCAAGTAAGCTCCTGCTGGTCAATAGCTTCCAATTGTCGACACACCCACAATGCATCCATTGTCTTTGCCAGATGGCTCAGCCGTAAGTGGCTGACACTCCGTCTCACGTCACATCGCGCGGTTTAATTCCCCCATTTCTCACATTTCCCAGGAAGCCGAGGCCCAACCCCATCTTCAGAATCGTTACATCTGCGTCCTTGTGAAATATCATGCAAGTGGGACCTCATCTTCATCGACGACCAGTATCAATGCGAGTAATTACCACGCGACATCCCCGGACTTTTTAAAACATTCGATTCCCTGCTCTTGGTCTTGCAGGTTCTCTCAATCTATTGCGCCCCTGGCTGGCCTCCACGCGACGTTTTGCGGAGAAAGAATCAGTGTTTTTCCTTATCGCGGTCCTGATATCCGCAAGCTCTTGCTTCCACCGAAGAACTAGGGCGGCATAGCCGCTCGACATCCACTCCATATTCACAAAATATATTCACCAATAGACACAGATACGACTTGTTACGGACCGTAAGGAGGCCCCGGGACGAATACCTCCGCCATGGCGCCGCCAAACACATCTGCCGATTCATCGGCATCATCCAGTTCTGCGAAAGCCGAGTCCTCGTCGCGCCCTTCCCAGCCGAAAACGCCGCGCTCTCTAGCAGACCCCATCGCGCGCACAGCTCTCCGATATTCCATGTCCGCACGCGAATATGCCACCCTGCACAAATACGTGATCTCAAGGTCAAGGCTGCTCAAGCGAGCAGCGCCCTCCGTCAGCACCGTCGAGAAGATCATCGACGGAAACCGTGCACACCTGGCGAGGAAAGAGTCGAGAGAAGGCAGGGCGGGGGCTGCCGGCGACGATTACAATGTTCGTGCCGTTCGGCATGCTATTCGCGTGTTCCTCGCGACCGGTTCGCTTATGAAGCTCTACACCATCGTCTCGCGCAAGCTTTCACGAACCGATAAGGAGTTAGTTTCTCTATGTCTGCCTCTTTGTGCGTCTGCGGTACTGACCGTAAGCTCGATTTAGTGTACAAACGACGAAGAAGCAGCCTTTCCACAAGTCCGACACCTTTAGGCTGTCTCTCTCGCTTTCCACCATCCTCCTACTCTACCGATTGCTCTTCAGATTCTTCACTCGTTTCCGAGCTCACCTACTAGACCCGACCGCAGCACCCTTTAGGGCACGAAATCCCCGTACAGCAGCGACTCTCACGTCCCCTTACGCGCCTGCCATCGGCGCATCGCTTGCCGGACTGATGCTTGGCATCTATCCGGCCAAGCAGCTCCGTGTATCCATTGCGTTGTTTGCCATCTTCCGCGCTCTAGAATTTAGCTGGAACATGTGTGAAGAGGAAGGTCTGATCTGGGGATTGAAGCCCGGAGGCAAAGGCAAGAGAGAGCGGCCTTGGTGGTTCGGCAGTTGGATGCTTCAGCCCTTCGCCTTCGGTCAGCTGCTGCATGCAGTCGTCTTTGACCGAGATTGCTTCCCAATGGTATGAACTCCAAACTTGCTTCGACAATGACTAGCAGAGCCGTGATTGCTGACAAGAACTTGCTTTTCTAGCCCTTCGGCAACTTCATCTTTGGAAACTCGTCGACATATCTCCACGGCCGGCCGAAGGAATACCCTGCGCACATCAAGTGGCCCGGTACTTATAACATTGTCGACAGCCTCGCCGAAATGGCGAAACTGAATTGGCCGTATGTAATCCGGGATCTAATTTCAATTCTCGATGCAATTTCTAACCACCAAGCGCGCAGACCTTTCACATCTCCCATCCTCTTCCCTGACAAGGAAACCCTGCCATCCACCCTCTCCGCTGTGGCACCGCTAACCTCCACCGCGCACCCCCTCATCACCTCCCTCTCCTGCGCTACCCTCCACCCCAGCGACCCCTCCTGCCTCCGCACCTACCTAACCTTCTGGCTGCGCTCCTTCCCCCCTCTCGCGCGCTTCTTCCTCATCTTCTACTCCGCCCTCACCCTCCCGCGCCTCCGCCTTCTCTACCACAACCCCGTCGCAACCCTTAACCGCCTGCTCGCCCGCGCCCTCCGCTCCTCCACCTTCATCACGGGCTCTATCTCCACCGCCTGGGCCTCGATCTGCGTCTTCCAGACCTGGTTCCCCAAGTCCTTCCTCGCCACCCAGCGCTTCTTCATCGGCGGCTTCCTCGCCGGTCTCTGGGCGTGGGTTGAGCGCCGCTCCTGTCGCGGTGCCTTCCTCTACACGACTAAGGCCAGCGTCGACAGCCTGTGGAAGGTTGGCGTCAAGAGGCGTTGGTGGAGGGGTATGAAGGGCGGTGATGTCTGGGTGTTCGTCCTGGCTCTCATGGCGACTGGTGTCGTGTACGAGAGGGATCGCAAGGCCATCAAGGAGGCGAACTGGAGGAAGGGTGTCTCGTGGGTCAGGGGCGAGGGGTTCAGAGACTGGAGCGTGGAGGAGGACGAGCTCGTCGAGGAGGAGGATAGCGCTTAGGTATTGGGAGATCGCCGCAGGGGTTATGGATGAACCATGTATTGACGTTTTTTGTATGATGCGATGGTGTTATTCTTAATTTATTCGAATTGGCTCAGTCTTTTGAAAGACCGAGTTCTGGCCCGGCATCTACAGGAGTGGACTCGCCGAGGAATATATCCCACAGCCTTAATTTGTAACTGTCGATCTTGTACTTTTGTTTCCTCTTAACAACCTGCTTTTATGTTGGAACACTTATTTCACATTGGTTGTTTGGAAAGAGTTGCAGAGCAGTGGAAATATTAAAGTCTCTATCATCATGGCTTTTTATTTGTACCAGGTCTGTCCCCCCTTTTGTTCATCACAAGAATGGCAAATAAATACTGGAGTTGATTTAAAAAGAAAAGGTGAAAAAACATCTCTTTTTGCACACAAAAGTCAAGGTGTAATTCAGGTCCTTGACCCCTTCAAGAACGAATCCCTCTTTTCCTTCCGGAACCGACGCTCCCTTTCTCTCCAGCAGGGTAGGCAACTTGACTTGAGGAGAAACACAGGATCACTGCAAAGATCAAGATCAGGTATCAAGAGGCCAGATGCATGTTGCATGCTGAGAAAGGCTGGAAGGTGACCAAAGACGAAAGGGAAAGGAAAGACTTTCAGGACAATAATGGTAAAAAGAATAATGGAATAAAAATTCAACGCAAAACTCCAGGGGTGCTGCTAAACACTTTTTTGTGCATTGCAAAACGGGAATTCAAAGACAAATGAACCAACCGACCCTCCTGCCGATCCCTGTATTCCATAATTCGTCAAGTTACGGAGGACTCTAGTAGTGCTCCTAACCGTGATAAAGAAGAAAAAGCCGGAACCATCTAATACAAAGTCAATGGGGTGAAACAAGAAAAGCAGAGAAAAAGAAAATAAAGAAATAAAGAAGGCAAGGCATTGGTGCTGTGTGTTTAAGGATACGCGGCGACGAAACGTCCATGCGAGGAGTTGCCAGTCGAGTTGTTCTTCTTGGTATTGGCCAGCGGCACCCAGGCACGACTAATGTAGGGAACCCCAGCGTCGCTAACGGGAGTAACCGACTCTTGGAATCCCAAGACGCTACACTCGTCAACAGTGCGAGGCTCGACAAAGCCGAGAGTGCGGCGAACTTGCTCAGCCTTGGCACCCTGGTTAGTCTTGACTGCCTCCAAAACTGCCAATCGACGGGCCTCGCGTTCGCCAATAACATCGGTAATGAGTCTGAAGCGAGCTTCGTCTCGAGCAGCCACGCTCTCGGCGTCTCTTCCAAACCTAGGAGACTCTAGAACGGACTTGACAGACTCGAAAGGAATGTTAAGAAGTATTTTGGACAAGACCACGATCTGATCTTGGGTATAGGGCCGACTTCTCTTTGCGCTTCCATTGGCGCCGCTTCTAGCGTCCTCCGAAGAGAGATCACCAAACTTGATCTTGCTTAGGCGCGATCGATGGTTCGGGCCCAGCTTCACGACGGATCCGCGAGCGATCGCGGGCGACGGTGCCTTGGCGTTGGTCCGTCCCTTCTGCGAATCAGGGACGTTGGGTAAGCGACAATAGCCATCCGGGTCGGAGACAGTGATGTCTAGCTCGAACTCAGCACTCAGCTGGTCAGAGACGAAAGCGATGACGGCTTCATAAAGAATCTTAGTGGGGCCACCGTAGTGCCATTTCTCATGGAAATCGATGGTTCCCCTTGCTGGGCTCGAGCCGAGAGTAAACTCCAGAGCAAGCTCTACAGTATCCCAACCCATAAGCTGACGGCCCATCTCCATCCCGCGGATGACCACCGAGTTGTACTGAAGTAGGTGTCCAGCGGCAGCATAACTAATTACGAACTTGAACTGATCTACAGCTCCTCCGGCGAGGGGCAGATCCTCCATTCCCGGAGGGGGTGCTGGAATCTCAAAGAGAGGGAAACCATAAAGCCTTTGGATAGCCACCAAGAAAGTATCGGAGCGCAGATACTTGTCTACAGCGCGGACTGTAATGGTAGTTCCAGAGCCGTGCTTTCGGCGGTTCGCGGGGTTATCCATCATTAGCTGCTCCAGGGTCTTGCTTTGGGCTAAGACGAGGCGGTGAGCGGGGAAATTCAAGAGAGGCGCGCGTTGGTCGGGGAAGGACAGTTCAAGGCGACAGTCGGCAAGCCTGGGATCCTGGAAATGACGCTTCATCTGATCCAAGAGCTGTTCAATGTCGGGATCGAGAGGCCGCGGGAGCAGGTGGGGAGGTGGCATTGGGGGCATCATTCCCATTGGAGGAGGTACCATGCCATACATGGACGGGTGAACGCGGCCCGGGCCGTCTTCGAAATGACCATGTACGCCATTGGGGACGCCATACAAGCCATTATCCTCTGGCTGCGGGGACGGTTGCGACCCATGGTAGCTCAGAGGAGTGCTAGGCATGTAATTGCCGACGAATGGGTGGTAGCCACCGTCATGGGGAGCGTACGCCGCCATGGACTGGGCGAAATGGTCGATGCTGGTCGCGGGGTCCACGTTGTTTCCATACACGAACGACTGAGGACGAAATTCGGGCCCCGATGGGCGGCCCATGTGAGATCGGCCGTTTGGCGCGGGGAACCCGGGAGGTGGTCCATACCCGGCAGAGAGAGGCGCAGGGGACGAGTTGTTGGAATCGTGAATACCGCCGAAGGTCAGGTTGTTAGTGCTACGGTGAGGTTGGTGGGCAGTGGGCGCATGCATAATTGGACCTTGGTGTGAGCCGGCGTAACCATCAGGTGCCGGGCCTAGGGCTTCGGGGTTCCCGTTCACGTTTGCGCCGGGATAGAAGAGGGCGTTGGCCTGGTGAATCGCATTCATCGTTTCCGGGCGAAGTACGTCGGGAGGGGAGGTGATGTGTTCGGGGGAGGCTAAAGCTAGAGAAAAGATCATGTTAGAACAGGCGCAACAATGTGAATTCGATAAGGATTATGTGCTCCATACTCCTGTGACCTTCCTGTCTGCTCATCTCGGGATGCGGACCAACAGGAGCGCCAAGATGAGGATCCGCTAGTTGACTGGAATCGGACGAAGATATTTCTGAGACTGGTTTGGGTTCTCCAGGACCAGAAGGCGCTGCAAAGGTAGGACTCGTGGGTTTTGTGAGCTCGCTCAAGGAATCGTTGGTGACAGCAAATGAGGTGCCTGTGGGGTTCGTGTCAGGAGGAAGAGGAAAGGCTAGACAAGGTCCCTCTACGAGAGAAATGGTGGCTTACCTTGGGCAGAGCTTGATTCGGCAACCGCTCCCGGGGACGTAACGACCGACTTCTTGACCTCCTTCGAGTGGTCGAACCCCGCGGCGTCGGGTTCGGTCGGCTGAATCTGTGTTCCATCTGGAGTGGCTGGAATGTCGCCTTGGGCCTTGGGTGGAGAAGACTCGGGCATAGGAGCAGGAGCTGGAACAGGAGGAGGGGTCTTGGAGGCCAGCTGTTTCTGAAGACGCTTCTGCATGTATGGCAAAGGGATGGCTGGGACAACTGGGGTCACATTCCGGTGCCTAGCTGCGCCTGCCTTCCGAATCGCAACATTCCCACCGCTCCCATTGCTCCCATTGGCCGGCGCCATGGTAACAAGAAAAAAATACGATGGTGACGAGAGGAGGTATCGGGAGATCAAGTCGAGTAGCAGGCTACTTAAGGGATATGAAGTGTATCGGTCGAAGAGACAAGGGTCGGCGTTGAATAAGGAACAGGTTTCGTAATTGTCAATATGCAGGTTCGATCAGACAACGAGGGTGGGGGGAGTTCGATCAAGATCTGAAGACCAAAGGGGCCAGAACAGGTATGAAGGAATGAAAAGTCCAAGGGCCTAGATCTTGAAAGGAAACTCCACTATCCCATGAGGCTCAGTCCTAGCCAGCTCAAGACATCAGGCTGGCCATTGACAAGGCTAAGAGGTTATCAGGGTCGGCAAGTGGGCGGAGCAGCTGCAAGAGGGAAAGCGGTTAGGAGATGGACTCTCCAAAGAAATTCTGCAGGTTGATGACCTACCGACGAGTATCTGGAGAGAAGAGGGAAGGGGAGAGCGCGAAGAAATAGGGTTTGTTTTGTTTGTTTGGGTTTGGAGAGAGGGAAATCGATGCTGAAGAGCTTCGGGAGAGGATTGGTCTTTGGAGAGGACAAGGCCGTGGACGTTGGAAGTTGGGCGCTTGAGCCAAGGGTGGAGTTGATGTTTGGCCAGGCGGTGACTGTGATTTCACACCACAGGGTGAGCCTTCCGCTTTTTTTTTTTTTTTTTTTTTTTTTTTTTTTTTCTTTTGTTTCCCATTCACTTTTTTTTTAGTGCAATTTAACGAATCAGATGGAATCGAAGTCCTAGTGGCTTCCCCACAGGGGCTTCGGGTAATTATCGGTTTTCCTCCCAAGCGCTAAGAGCATGTTACAGGAGGACCTCTTCAGCGGCGAGTTCAGTACCCCTGGCCCAAGTATCCCACTATTACTTCAAAAGCCCTACCAGAACAAAGCTCTCCATTTTAGGCAGGCACCACCCCATCACTAACCCGACGTCATTTCTTTGACCTTCACATGGCACGGTTTCAATTTGAGATGGGACAATGGACTGCCCATTGCGGTTGCCTCAACTCTGCCCAAGAATTTGAGGTTTTCAGAATTTGGGAGGGTCCCCAAATGGACAGCCGTCAGCATTCTTTGTTTGTCATATTCCCAGGCGCCAAATTGTTACTGTCGACTATCATATCCATTGATCATTCAAGACCCGCATTCAGGAAGAGGTCTGGTCTGCTACACTACAGTTTCCCAAGCACTTGAGGGGCCTGAGGGAGGAATGCGGGGGGATTTCCGAAGGCGGGGTTATAAGTTTGTTGGTTGACATCCCCCATCAGCCCATCAGGGGGTCTGAGCAATCCATTTTGACCACTGTCGGCGATCTTGTCAGTTGTCACATCGGACCCATCAAATATTCGAAGACATCAATATTAAAAAAAATTCCTATCCATCCAACTGAGAGGTAACGCCCATTCCTACTGTCCATCTATGTAGAAGCACGCGACACGCCTTTACGAAACCAAAACTCCAACCCCTCAAAAAGAATTGGGTATACGAACAAGAATACGATCAATAATGGCGTCAAGGTAGTATCAGCACCCATCAGTAATCCATCAGCACTGCCTTTAAACAGTAGACGGCGTCGCAGTCTCCTTTCGCTTCTCGGCGCGGATTCCGTACACCTTACCCGCCGTCCATTGTCGGATCCTCTTGCCGAAGAAGAAGAGCCCTGGTATGCCGAGAGAGAGGACGAGCATAGCCTCTGCGTAGATCGCGAATGTTGACAATAGACCGCGCTGCGATATCCAGACTGTAGCCTGGGACGCGAGGAAGAATGCGATTATCAATCTTAGGGATGAGACGTTTACTAGCACGGGTCTACCCATCGGATTGTTAGTGATTTGGATGTCGTAGCGGCTCGAATAATCGACTTACCCTGCCCACATTGGATAACATTCAACGATGAACACGTTCAGGATCGTCATAGTCGACAAGAAACCAAAGATGATTAGGAATGAGCCCGTCAGGAGAACTCCCCAATGCCAATTGTTGTCGCCTGCAGTGCCAAAAATGAAACACCCCGCGACCCCAGAGACAAAGGGGAATATCAGATTCGCCAGGTGATGTTCGGCTTCCCGAGCGCCGCCATTCCATTTCGACACGGAATTCGATACCTTATCTGCAACCGGCCCTCCGAGGATGAACACCATGATAGTAGCTGCGAAGAAGGGGATGACGGATAGTCCCGTGTACTGGAATTGCCAACCCTGAGCAAGCAGGGCAAAAGAAGAAATCTGTTGTGTGGCTTGGTTCGTGATGACGAAAACGCTGTTCGCCAGCACACACCAGAGAACTGCCGGGAAGAAGGTGGTTCGGACGGTGTTAAGCATCGACAGCCCTGCGCCCTTGAAATCAAGACCAAACTGGAACAAGCCGAACTCGGTCCAGAGCGTTCTGCTGCCGTAATAATCGGGGTCGAGATCTGGCCGCTTCTCTCCTTCGCGGATGGGATATACTCTGGCACCGCTCAGCTCCTCCTTGGATCGCTTCCACCTCGTCTCCGGTAAGCCGACAATTAATAGGATCCAGGCCAGTATTCCCAGTCCGGAAGTGATGAAATAGAGCCACCTCCATGTGTAGTTCGCCGCGATATATGGTGCAGCGATCCCGAGGGCGATGATAATGATACCCTGGCTTGATACCACCACCGACATTGCCCTGTTACGTTGGTGGATGAACACCATGTCCTGCACAATAAGGGGAATAAGAGCTTCGACAGCGCCAACGCCCAAGCCCTGGACACTCCTCGCCGCTATATGCATCTCCAGCGAAGTGCTGAATCCTGCCCATAGTCCACCGGCCCAGGCGCATATCGCAGCGAAGAGCAAAACAGGTCGGCGGCCTATTGCTATTGAGAGCGGGACTAAGAAATAACTGGCGATGCCGTTTCCTAGGAAGGGAATCGTTGCCAGTAGTGCAACCTTGCCAATCGGCACAGGTTGGACGCCTGGTGGTACAACGGACATCGGATTAACGTTGAGACTTTGGCCGCCGCTCGACGCTACGAAATCGATTTTGTTCAGGATTCGTGGGTCTACTCCGGAATACTCGAGGAGGAAGACGGGGAGAAGTGAACCGATAATTATTTCGGCAGAGAGTCCGAGTGAGCCAACTGGATGAGAGTTAGCGCCGATAAGTTAACAACACTCGGGCACGCCATGAGGACGTCTGATAACTCACAGAAGCATAAGGTCCCAATCGCAAACCACTTTCTCCAAGTAGGGAGATTCAACGGATCTAAGGCGTCGCTCGGTTAGTAACCGACATCCCATTGGCACGATTCGATTCCGAGAGTCTACCTTTGGGATCTGGAGTTGGCATCTAGAACGGGCAGTGTTTTTAGCTCACGTCACATTTCGTTGGCGATGGCCGGCAGACAACTTACAGGTATAAATCGTAGCTCTCCATTCTCATATAGTCTTGTAGTGCCGACGACCTGCGTCTCGGCTGCCTCTTCCACTATATAATTGCTCTTCTCTCCCGAGTCAGTGTCCCCAGTCGTGGCACTTGTGACACTACTCGGTAGGGGCCAGTTTCTGCTATCCCGCGAAGTCATTGTCGCCGATTCTCAGCACAGATGAGGTTGGATGTCCGTTGTCGCCTTCACTTTTCAGGTCTACATCCCTCCTGATGGGGGGCGATGGGGTTCGTGGCGTAATATCGTCGGTTCAAGGATCTGGTCAAGACATTGATAGATACGCAATAACCTTCGGTACGTTGGAGATCGTTGCTTCTGTTGGAGTTGGGAAGGGGGAAGATGAATATGTAGTTTCCCGTGGGTTGGGTTGGGAGAACATGGGAAGATACGGTGGATCAGAAGAGGGCTCGAGGTTGGTTTGTCCATCATTCGTCCCATATCCCTGTCATCCCTGGCATCAAGATCGCGGATGCCACATCTGAGGACAAGTCTGAGCGCAAGGCGTTTGCCTCTCTCGTTTTTTACTTCGTACTTTGTCCAAAGTACACTCTTGCTTCCAACAGTGCTGAACCATCTTGGCCATGACAAATTCATTGCATACATCAAGTTGATACAATTGTGAAGAAAGTGCATGGAGCCCTCCAACATCTCTCCCCAACCAGCCTAGTGTAGACATGGAGGACATTCTTAAAATGGTATTCTGCATCGTGATGTGCTTTTTCTCCCCTTGGCATGCTCTTGCGCTGTCTAAAACTGATTCTATTCGCTCAGTTGATGTCTGCTTCTTAGCTTCTGCTACTGTAGCGTATACGACGGGAATCGATCTCGTGGATTTTATTGCCCGTGGCGGGACGTACTTCATCGTACGAAAACCTGGGTTGCTGGAGAGAAGGCGGAAACTGATCCGTCGTAGATCTGGGACGCATTGATACGTTTGATCGGCGCGTGAAATGGATGCTACACTGCAAGTTCCATTCTGTCGATGTTCCCTCGAAGCCGCTGGTACATACCCTGCTGCCACTTTACCCCAGAACGGTTAGCCCTCTCCAAGCCACCCACCATATGCCGCCTTTTATTGGCCTCTACGGTCTATTTCGTGGGCTCTCGCCGAACGGACTCGCCTCAATTTCCTCTACAATTTCAATTTTCTTCTTGAGGCCTGCTGTTCACGGACATAGGAAGGTTCAGCTCGCGTCGTCTCATCTGTCCAATCCCACTGGTGGCACTAAACTCGGGGAGAATAAGCAATAACCTCATTCCCACCGCGCCGGGCGCTGTAGTGTACTTAGTTAGGTTTCCCCGCAAGCTAAGGGAGCAAGGAGCAAGCCCGCATTGCATTTGATCAATGCTCCAAGCCGACTTCACGGAAAGGTTCACAGATTCCAGGTTTCCGGTCTTCGCAAGATATACTGCGTAAGGGCAGGCTCCCGACGGGGTAAGCGACGGGAATATTTTCTCGATCCAGGATACCGGTGTATAGGGTCCTGAATGTTTCATACACAGCATAAATCGCCGAGGCGGTTCTGGAACACAAGTCGAACATAAATTGATACTTCGTACTTATTTATGTATGGTGGGCGGTATCCATCGGTACTTGAGAGGCCCCCGATGCAGGGGAGGATGAGCCCACCATCAGGGAGCCCGACAAGTGCGTCTTCGTCGATGTGAGTGGACTTCACGCCTAGTTTAATGCAACTGATCCTTGCAGCTTTCACATGAGCTAGCTGATTTAGCTAAGCCTGATCTCGATATGACTGACGACTTGACGTGTTGGGCACGATGGTATTAATGTATTAATAGTTTACATCAATATGAAGTGGATCCATGTCAACTGTTGATGGAAAATACGGAGCATCCTCGCAAGTAATGATGTCAGGAAATGCTTATTGGCTCTCTAGTCCCTCCACGTCTTCATCACAGGCAAAGGGAGGACGGCCTCCAGCTTCTCGACCATTTATACCGAGGTAATCCACCTTGGCAACATGTACCAACATGCAACATTTGGTGCAAGTCGTAAGCTCTTTTCGTCTTTGAGAATCCCACCACAGGCCAAGGAGCCTCGTATTCAATCTACGAGCTTCTGGCTCCTACCCTAGCCTTAAACGACAAATCGAGGCATCGCTCAGCTCTGCTGAGAGTTTCTAAACCTACCATGGGCTCCTCTTGGAGGAATCTGGCCACATGAGCAAGTTGTTCGTCATGACATCACAAAGGGCATCTCCCCTAGATACTCAGTACATCCCGAGGCTCAGCGGGACATGGTTTGAAATCATAAGGATTCATCGTGCCAAGTCGATCAAGCTCGCCTTGACATCTATCTGGAAGATATCAAGTAGTACAGGAAGTAAAAAAAAAAAAAAAAATAAAGAGAAAGAAAAGAGTAGAGGTGAAAACCGTGTGAAAAGAAAAAGAGGGAAAATGTCCGAAACTCCCACGCTGCTAATCTACACATGAAAGCATAGTTTTGTAAATGGCCCTCTTTCCGTGTCCCCTTGCACTACTGTGTCTGTCATAACTGCTCGTCCATGCTATCCACCCCGCTCTCCGTTCCCTAGCGTACTGGCCGTGACCCGTTTTGAACCACCAGATTAAAAAGGAAAAGTAATCGATGTCGTGATGTTTTGCGCGTCGGGCGCTCTTCAATCGCTATTACCCACCAAACGCACAATCAGAACGTAAAGGAAAACGACTCCGCCAAAGAGCAGCAGTCTATGTCTGCTCGCCCAGCTGGAGCCGGCGTCCCGGCGGTTAACCACGGCATCGACTACAGCCTGGGTCTGGTGGGCGCTTCCAGCAGCAACGGGAATACCGAGCTGAGGTCGGCACGAAGAGGCAAGCTGGAGAGATACTCGTCCGGTTGCTTGGTCGATGTTGTTATTCTTGATCCAGTCCCAGTTCTCCTGGTCGATCTCGGGCCACTCGGCGCGGAACTTCGCCCCGCCATCGCCAGCCTTGACGTTGCCCTTCAGGGCAGGGTTGGCCTTAAGATGAGATCCGCCACCAGTAGAGTTCCACCAGCGGGACCTGGCGGCGAGAGCCTTCCTCTCCAGTTCGGTTCCTGAAATCGAACCCGTGGTCATCTCTTCGCTGGTCATGAAGCTGAGGAGGCCGATCAGGATTGTCGAGACCTCCCAAGCCGGATTGAAACTCTTAGGATGGAAATCGGAAATGGAGAGGCACAGACGAGTCGAGGGCTGGAATCGGCCGGAGGGCGTGTGCATACGGATCGCGGGGGGCTTGAAAGGGTACTCGGGAGGGAACATTAGAGTGCCCCAATACTGGCCGCCATGGTAAGGAGTATCCTCGGGTCCTGTTATGATGTAGTGCCACCTGTTTTGATTATCAATTAGCTCGGTCTATTCGTCGAAACATATGTAGAGCGATGGCGGATACGTACTCGAGAATATTCGATTCCGATGGATGCGCCGTGATGTATGGTGGCGGGTTCTCGGAGATCGCCTTGTACTCTCGGGTCAACTGCAATTATGCCAAATGTCAGTAAGCTCGTATCTATAGGATAGGATAAAAGAGTCAATGTGGAAATCCTCGGTTCGCCTTAGCCCATACCCGTGTGCGAGCAGCCTTGCTGGCCATGATGATCGTGGTACACGAAGGTTCGTGATTGATGGTTCTTGGCGGGAGGGTTCGGAGGGTATAAGGGGGAAGTGTGGGGAGATGGAAGAAGAGGCCGGAATAGTTCAGGGACTATATATCTCAGTTGAAAAATTCCCTAATTCCCTTTCGGTTGTAAAGAAAGAACAGCGATGACTGGGGAATGCCGAAAGAACCTCTTGGGAAGTCCGGAGATGGTGGTAGAAGGGTAAATGGACAATGCGTGCTGACGTTTGCCTTTACGTTTGCGACTCACCAATCCTGGGCTGGTAAATCTTCGGGTATTGTTCCGCTTCGATTGAGTGATTTGCGTTTAAATGCATCGAGACCCTGAAAATAGGCGCGCGTCAATCGGACCTTCTCAAAACGCAAGGCAACAGAGCCCACGTGATCGGCAGTGGGCCTATTTTTTGATCCATGATTCCATCGATTCAATTCGGCAATGCGGGTGCAGCCGGTAGCTAAAACCATCACGCAAGTCAAGCAGCTGGTCAAAAGTTTCGTGCTTTTCGCTCGCAGCGCACCCTCGACGAAATGGGTTCGACAACAAACTCATCGGGGAGCAAGGTAGGATTTCCTTGGTTCAAATTTCCGTTTTTTTCCCTGTGGCCCTTGTTCAATGCTGATCCCAAGGTCGCACGATAGGTCCCAGCTCAACTGCTGGCTGACCCAGCTACCCTACGCCACGATGCCGAGGCAGGTGAGGATGTCGCTGCGCAGAACAACGCACTCCGCGAGAAGAGATTAAGGGAATTGGTAAGGTCAATTGGGTATCTCAAAGAGGATTGGACGAGTGCTTAAACCTTGGCCTAGTTCATGGAGCAGCAATCGCAGCCTCTTACCATCCACAAATTCACGCTTCATGGCGCAAACCACACGCGGCCGACCTTCCTCGATCCCATAATCCGGCCCCTCGTCGCGGACGAGACCAACTCCTCCTCGACTTTGGGCGATGTCATGCTTAAGCTCCGCGATGTCGTCGGTAAGCTCGACCGGCTCGAAATCTTTCACCCTGAGCCCAACGTCTGGCTCTCGAGCCCCGATCCTGCCACCGATCCCTCGTCTTCGCCCACAGATGTCAATGTCGATTTGCGCGTTCGGGAACTCGGACGGTTCAAGTTGAAGACTGGAACGGATGTCGGTGATGGAGAGAGTTCGGCGTACGGTTCGCTTCTCTGGAGGAATATCTTTGGTGGTGCCGAGATGTTGTCTCTCAACGCCAGCACGGGAACTCGCACTCGATCTGCGTATAGTGCCACCTTTAGTGTGCCCGTTCTGAGCAACCCCGACGTGAGACTGGCGATAGACGGTCTAGGATCTTCGACCCACAAGCCCTGGGCGTCTCACGAGGAAGTTCTCAAGGGAGGAAACCTCAGGCTGTCCTGGCTCTCGCCTCAGAGCGATGTCCACTCAGTTGAGTACTCCGGAATCTGGCGGCAAATAACTGGACTGTACGCCGGTGCGAGCCCCAGCGTGAGGGCCGAAGCGGGCGACTCTGTCAAGAGCTCGATTAAACACTCTTTCCAACGCGACCGAAGGGACAACCGCCATCTTCCCCAGAGCGGATACGTAGTCCGGTCGAACCTCGAGCTTGCGGGTATTGGCCCTCTAGCTGGTGATGTCGCCTTCGCGAAGGGCGACGTCGACGTCGGCGGTGCACTCCCCATCTCCCTACCTGGTATTCAAGGCCCAACCGGCATTTCCCTAGGCGGTGGCTTCAGGTTCGGTATGCTCTACCCGCTTGCTCTCGGCAATCCTTTCGGCAGCAAGGTCTTGCCCAGCCGAATCCCCGACCGCTTCCAGCTTGGCGGACCAAACGACGTCCGTGGATTCCAGCTCGGCGGTCTCGGTCCCCACGACGGCGCCGATGCCGTAGGCGGAGACATGTTCGCCGCGGGCAGTCTTAACCTCCTCCTCCCCCTCCCCTACAAGGGCCCCGAATCCGGACTTCGCTTCCAAATGTTCCTCAACGGCGGACGTCTCGTGGCGCTCAAGAACAAGGGCAAGGGTCGTAACTCCGGTAGCCCCGCGCTAGAGCCCCAAACGGTGAGGGATGGCATGGTCAAGGCGTTCAAGGACATCTGGCTGTCCGGCACGCCGCCCAGCCTGGCAGCTGGTTTCGGACTCGTGTACGGGCATCCGATGGCGCGGTTCGAGCTTAACTTTGGACTCCCGTTGGCGATGGCCAAGGGGGAACAGTGTACTAAGGGTCTCCAAGTCGGCGTGGGCATCAATTTCCTTTAGAGTTGATTTGTAGGTATATATAAATGGAAGAAATAGACAAAAAATACCGCTCAGCGGCTGTATACAATCCTTCACTTCATAGGGCGTGTCAGAGGAGGTCAATAGAAAAGTTTTATATCGGCTCCCCTCAGTTTCGTAGGATCTGGAACTAGTTTTTCTTAGAATACCAATTGAAATAATTCCCTTATTCGGCCGACCTATCCGTCTAGTGTATGTACGAAATAACACCCAGGAAACAGAAATGCCACCAACACCCATCAATCTATGCCATTCAGTCGTCATCCTCTTCTCCTCGCCTCTGGAACACCACAGTCCAAACTAGCGCAACAAGGGCCACACAGACGAGATACAGCCACCACACTGCACCAACCATACCATGCTTTATACCCCAGCCAAAGACCATACCTCCCACAGCGGGCCCCACGGCTCTCGCAAGACTCGAAATCATGTTCCCAGCACCATGGACGGTTCCCAGAACTGTCCTAGTGGGCGCAGCTTCGGTGAGGAGGATCACAGTGCTGGGAATGGCCATCGTGCGTGCCATAATCTGGCCGCAAATTACGACACCGAGACTGAGCCAGCGAAGAACGCTATCTCGATCGATTAGAGAAAGGTACGGAGCTAGGCCATAGACAAAGGGGAATATTATAAGTGATAGTTTTAGTATGCCCAGGGTTCCGATCCGCTCTTGGAGTCGAGGATAGATGAAGAGCTGGAGGAGAATTCCTCCGATTCCGGCAGCGGAGAGCCATAGTCCGATTGTTGAGGACCGCAAACCGAGACCGCCGCTGAAGAAGAAGAGGGTTGGGGAGCTGTTTTCGGCCGGTGGGCTGGAGAGGTAGACAGGGAAAATGTGCATGAATGCGGAGTTGTGGAGAGGGAGGAGACCAAAGGCCATCATGGCTGTGAGGACTTTGGTGGTCCAGATCTTGCGGAATGGGAGCCGTGCTGGTGGTGGCGTTGGTTTCTCTCGAAGATGAGGACTGTTTGCTGCGGTGGGAGGTTTTCCCTCGCTTTCGGAATCGGGAGTCGTCGTCGAGGAGGGAGATGATGGGGATGAGATCCCTAGGCCGATAGATTCCTCGTCATTTACGGGCACGTATTCTGCGTGGTCCCGCTCACCCATAAAGTTTCTGACGACGCGGATAAGAAAATCGCCGATGCGTAGACCAAAGTCGGACTTGGACTCTTCACCGGGAAGCGTCTCGCGGAGCCGCAGCCACGAAAGAGCCAACGCGGTACCAAGCATAGCCGCGTTCATCAAGCCAGGAAGCGAGTATGGGTAGGCAAGAGCCCAGGCCACTCCCTTGGGGTTCCTGCCAAAGTTCAAGAAGCCTTCGGGTCCGAACGCCCACGGAAGATTCGTAACGGGATCGGCAAGAAGTCCTCCGAGAGCCAAACTCAGGACCATACCCGAGTTGAATACCAAGGGCAGAAGCAAGAAAGCCTTGGTCTGGAACTTGCGTTCCTTAACGACCTCGGCAGTCATGGTCCGCATGATGCTGACATTTCCGTTCGCCAGACCCGCAAGTGTCCTCCAGAAGAAGAGAGCGCCAAGGCTGCGGGATAGGCCGAATGCGGCGTTCGAGATGACGGAGACCAGGAGGCCGAAGATGATAGACTGCCGTCTGCCGCAACGATCGGATATGTAGCCCCACGCGAGACTGACGGCGAATTGCGCCAAGGGAAATGAAGCGACGAGGAGGCCGGAGTATTCGGATATGGGCACCGAAGAATCGGAATCCTTCCCGGCGTCCCTGGATTCGATGGCTTTGTTGGGGAGGACGGACCGGACGAGATAGAAGATGTAGGGGAGGAGACAGACGTTGGATAGAGGTTCGCTGAGGCGGCAGAGGGCGAGGAGGAAGAGTTGGTCTTTGTTCGGAAGGTCCATCCAGCCGATTTTGGGCTTGGTCGGGGCCGTACGCTGGGAATCGCGTTCTGGTCGGCTTGACGTAGCGTCCCGAGAAGCTTCAACGTTGTGTTAGTGGAGTCGAGAGGCTAAACCGTTGGTATGAGCGAACTTACACCTCGAAAGCCTCCCCCGATCCATGATTCTTAAAATGGGAAAAGGAATTTCAAGAAATCGCGTCCGCAAGATAGTGCATTCGCCAACGGGGAGAGGGTGGCCTGCTCGAATAACGGCCACTTGAAGGTGACCGCAGATTCTTCTACTCCTCAAAACTCGAACATCTCCTCACGTCCGCTTTGGTTTTCAGAGGCGCTGATTGCAGAAATTCTTTCAAACACACGCCCACGATGCCGAGAGGTCCAGCTTGGCGTTGAGGGGAATTAGTAGTGTGGTGGGAGGTACCGTGCTTAAATTCGGACAGCAGACAGGTTCCCTCAGAATCATGCTCACCGCAATCTATTCCGCATCGATCGCAATGGAAGCATTCAGCACGGTGGCCAGGCCTGAGCAATACTGCATCCATGCAGGCGCGCCGTTCTACATCGTGTCAATATAAACCTTCTCCATCTCGGCTCCAGAGACTTCGCTTTGAGGCACACTATAATGGACATATGCATGAACCTGGACCCATGAACGTGCATTCCGCAAGGCGAGAAAGGAGGGAGTGGCGAATGGAGACGGTCGTGGATCAGACGAGGTGTTCATCTAGGAGAGTAATGTGCGGATTTCTTTGGGTATGGATTAATCTGTTCGAGATTTGCCAGTGACTTTATCCAGAGGTGTGTGTATACGGGCGGCCCGGGATGGACCAAGACCTCTGAAGCTCCTCGGTGCGGGGGCTCAAGGCCACTTCATGGAACTTGGAATGAGGAGGGAATTTTAAATCATTGATCCTTGAATGCACTCTAATCTTTCAAACCAACTCCTTACCTCCGGAACCAAGGGGCCGTGAGAGCATATCGACCTTGTAGTATTTGTGCCTCCGCCTCCACATCGACCGATCAGGGGAAAGCTGAGGAGACGCATAGAGCAAGCTGAGCTCGCCAGTTAACCCAAACACACGGATCATGGAGTAGTGCCCTTCGCAATTAATTGCTCGCCTCTCGCCTTGCATTTATACGCGTACCTCCGCCCTTGAAGCCGAGTATCCGCATGTTCAGACCAACCACTTGCCTTGGCCAACTCAGCTATTGCTGCGCTAAGTCATCTGGTGAAAACTCGGGGCATCATTGTTTCTTATATGACTGTCAAGGGTCTTTTTGGCGATGGGTGGGCGAGGAAGGAAAGGCGAGGACGAGGAGGAACGAGAAAGGAGGCGGAGGGAGAGGGGGAAGGAATCTTCTAATGCCGCACATTCCAGTAGCGACAAGAATCTGTTTTCCAAGATGTGCTAAACAAGCGGCTGAGGAAGAAAGATGTAGGTAGAATCCCGGCAGGCAGCAATAAGCTAGCTGTAAGGCTTCATCCTACAAATTATTCTCGTACTTTTGTAGGGAGATGCAGCGTGGATCAGAGTGTCCTCACGGTGTACTTCCAGCTGGTCTGCCCATGCGAATAGCACCAAGAGAAGGTGGTAATGCTGGTTTCTTGGCTGGGCTGGCCGGCCAGGGCACACCTGGGTGATACTCGGCGATGGCGAGACACTCTGAGGATATACAACGTAGTCCGTTCGAATAAAATGCCAAGAAGCACCTGGGCTTGGCTTGGTCAGTCGATATTGGTGACCCTGCAAGCGCGGACTCGGAACGCAATAACGAACACTTTCAAAGGCGGAGGACTGGAGATCGAATGGCGGATTTAGCAGAGCCAGGCAGGACAGAGGGAGGCGAGACGCGGCCGGCGGAGATGCTGGCCTGGCCATTCCCCATTTTGATGTAGTACTTCGTACAATATTGCCTAGCAAGGACTGGCTCTGGCTGGGGTAACATTCGGCACTCGATTTTCAGCGGCGTGGGGAAGTGGATTCCGCCCGTCCAAGTCCAAGCCCAAGCCCAAGCACACCCCGCTCGCACCAATGCAGATGGCGCTGCTCCAACGTTGAATGTTCCAACGGGTCAGCGCAACGTCAAGTCTCCCTTGGCACCCGTGCCGACCAATTGTCCACTTCAAGACTGGCGTGGGGGGAATCAGAGAACAGCCACGGGCAGGTCCCAGGATCCTGGAAATCCCTTAGCTGATGGAAATCGCAATGCAGAATCGCCTGCGCCATAGACTGTTATCGTGCTGATTCCTATTCCCACCTCTTCGGATTTTTTGTCCTCGTTTTCCCCTCCTCCGTGAAGTATTGCTCGTGCCCTCAATTATCGCATTGTCATCGCAACGACAGCGATGGCCGCCGACGACCTCAAGGGCGCAATACCATTCCTTCGTAGTTTCCGATAGTGATCGCGGGTCGGAGCCCACTGCCACATAATCCTACCGTCCTCCATTGTCTCGACCTCTCGAAGCCAATGTCTGAGCTTCGAAGATTATTAATCCAACTCTAAACTTTTGCTCCTTCAGTTGTTCCTGCTACATCCCTACGGCTGGTGTGGTGCTGCGCCTGAGATTGAGATGAAGGCGTTCGAGAGATTACGGGGCCTCCTGGGCCCTCCTGGCCAGGGATATATACCACTCGAGCCTGGGAGGACGTCGGTTGTCCGTGGCGCCTGCAATCCAAACCTTACCAAGGCGGTGATTAGACTTTACTGGCTGTGTTTATTCTTTGGTCTAGGAACTTCAGTCTGGGGGTAGGTTGAAACCCCGTTTCGGGTTCGGTTTAGCATAGGGAACAACACAAGACCTCAGGCTTCCATCTCATGCTAACGTCCATCTCTTCCGGTCAGCTACAATATTGGCATCCTCTCCTCCGTCCTCGTACACCCCGGGTGGACCGCCGTGCAAGGCAAGCTTACTCCCCAGCGCAAAGGCATAATCACGGGCATCTACTATCTAGGGACATGGGTTAGCTATGTCTTCATCTCGCGTCCACTGAGCGACTCTTTCGGTCGACGGAAAGCGGCCATGTGTGGCACCGCTATTCTATGCGTGGGCGCATTGCTTCAGGCGGGCAGTACACATCCTGCGCCTTTCCTCATGATGCTTGCTGGGCGGGCCATCTGCGGAACGGGCGTTGCCATCGTCTCGACGTCGGTTCCGCTTTACCAAAGGTTTGTGGGGTTTATGATATTATGCGATCCCAAAGATGGTCTGCTGACGTAGAGGAAGTGAGATTTCACCTGCAAGAGAGCGAGGAAAGTTTGTCACGATGAACCATGTTGGCTTCATCGTGGGCCTGGCGACCGGCCTTTGGTATGTTCGAGGTCGAATACCCAACACGCCTTTCTAGCAGTACGCGGCGACGCTGACAAGCTAGGGTCGGATATGGCATGACGTTCTGGACAGGTGAGACTGGTGATTATTATGGGTGGAGGGTGTCGCTACTCCTTCAAATGATACCGGCTCTTACTTTCGGGTTCGGGCTGCCTTTTGTACCAGAATCGTGAGTTCGCTTCCTTGTGAAAGAGCAACTAGTCTGGAGTACTCCATCTCATCATTTTCTTTTCTCCCAGTCCCCGATGGCTTGTCGAAAAAGGTCGAGTTGGCGAGGCTGCCACTGTTCTCCACTGGCTCCGTGAAGGAAGCTTCACGCACGACGAAGTGGACAACGAGGTCAACGACATGGTGGATGCTGTCGACGAACACAGGCACTCGGGGCTAAACTGGAAGTCCCTCTTCATCGAACCACCACTATTCGCACGCCTCTGGAGAGCAGCGCTACTGCATTTCCTGGCGCAGATGTGCGGTGCGGCCGCGATGAAGTACTACTTACCCACGTTACTGAAGGCCTTGGGCCTCAGTACGAGGATTGCGCTCATGGCGGGCGCTATAGAGATGACGCTCAAAATTGGATGCTCTGTTATTGAAATGCTGATTATAGATCGATTGGGGAGGAGGCTGTCACTGGCGATCGGATGTGTGGCCATGGCGTTCGGCATGTTTGTAGGTGGCGGCAGTACACATTTTTCGTTTTTTTCCTTGCCGAGAGCTAACGAATGGTACCCGAACCATTAGATCAACGGAACGCTTCCTCTAATATACCCCGGAAATACTAGCAAGGCCGCGGACATGGTCTGCGTTTTGTTCATCTTCATTTACGCCTTCGGGTACAGCCTTGGTTTCGGACCGGCGGCTTGGCTCTACGGCTCGGAGGTAGGTTCCCTCATAGAAACAGTCTCCACTTCCGACCCTGTCTTTCCCGGCGTGTTCGTGTCCACGAGGGATGGAAGAAAGAAGGGAAGAAGAACGGCGAAAAAGAAAAAGAAAAAAAATTTTAACGAGGACTTACAGATCTTTCCGACCTCGGTGCGAGCGAGGGGTCTCAACTTTTCTGCCTCGGCCGGATCCATCGGATCGATTATAGTGGCCCAGATATGGCCTATTGGAATCCACGCTTTCGGGAGCAACATCTACTTTTTCTTTCTGGCAGTTAATGTCCTATGTATTCCGGTGAGACTTTCCACTTTTTTTCCCCCCTCCTTCGTGACTATTCGTTTCCTCGGGTGGTCTGCGGCAGTCATCCTTTCTTGCGGGCAAAATCGTGTGAAAGTGTCAATGGCTTTTTTTTTTTTCTCTTTTCTACTTCCTTTTCTGTTCTAACCTTGTGTGTCCACGTGCTCCCGTGCCGTTTTTAGCTTATCTATATTTTCTATCCCGAAACGAAAGGTCGCTCACTCGAGAATATGGATGAGCTCTTCGGGAAGCTCGAGGTGCGACGGCTGGAGGACATTGGCAGTAATATTGGGAGCGACTCGGGGTTGTCTGGTGAGCCCGTCAGCAGGCGAGGACTTGGAGGGGCACGTCAGGGAGGGAGTGTTTGACGTGCGTAGTCAGTAGTCAGGTGGCAGGAAATAGGGACGTGTCGGGTTGAATAAAAGATAAGGAAAGATGATGGAGGGAATGGGCGTTCCGCATTCCATGGCAAAGTTCAAGCGACGCATTTTTTCCCCCCAAGAAACGGCGTTGGGCAAGGGTTTTGATATCAATGATTTTCTTACTTTGCACTACTTGAGGCTGCTTCTGGCGCTGGGAATTGCGTTGTTACCTAGTACACTATTAACGGACAGGCAGGAGACGAGGGTCGACTTTCTTCGGCTGCAGCTTGGCGCTGAATAACTCACGCCGCTGCAGTTAATGACATCAACAATGATTCGATTGATTGACGGGTTTCGCGGGCCCTTTACCGTGAGGCTAGTGTGGTGCAATGGATGGAGATTCATTTCCATCAACATTCCGTCGATCATTCCTGGTGCTAGTTTACTTCACCTGTCACCGAGCACATGAGCCTGGGCAGGCCAGGTCGCCCCCCTGGCAGCTCAGCTTGGCCAGGATTCTGAGTCGGGAGAGCCTGGAATTGATCAGATGCGGGGCCCGAAACTTTCATCGGACATGTTTTGCCCTGTAGTTTAGGAAAAACACTTGTGCCTCTCCTCCTGCTATACTTTGTGGTTTCAGTTACTTCAGCATGATCAGGAACAAACGAATGGAAGCACTAGGTGCCACTTCGTATGTGAGATGGGGTTGAAGCAGGTTTGGTACTTCGTAAAAGCAACAAGGAGGAACAAACATACGAGTTGAAGATGTTGGGGCTTGCGTGACGCAATCGCTACTTACAGTAAGAAATGGTCACTTATGGGCACCGTTCCTAATATCTTTGCATAAATAGACACAGTGCAGAAACTGTAAAGAGATTCCACGCTGCCAGATTAAAGTTTCCTGCGGTGATCGGCACATCAGCATTTTGTATGACGCTGACGTTGACGTTGATGCTGGTGCTGGTTTGGACTGGACTGTCGGGCAGACCATCAATTGAGAGCTGATGTTGCCAGGGCAGGGCCCATCATCAGTTGTCAACAGGAGTTTGTCCTGGGTCAGAAGTTGAATCGTCGGCCTTGATCCACCGAGTCTCATGGGCTCTTTTTCTTTTCTCCTCTCCTCTTCTCTCCTCTCCTCTCCTCTTTCTTCCCGCTTGTTTCTCAAGCTAAAGTCCCATCTCCTTCTGTCCTCCTGTCAGTATCAACAGTACTGAATCAATCAATTCGATCTTACCGGACCCTCCAATGTACACACTTTGTTCGACCCTTGTCTCCCGCTCCTCCCCATCCCCACCCATCCGATAAGCTCCCCAGTGATACCTCGGCCTTTGTTGGGGACGACCCTCAAGCGAATATTGAGCATTTGAGCTTTGAGCACTTGAGCGCTCACGGCACTAGAGCAGTGGATTGCAGATTGGGCGCCAAGCCGATGCAATGCAGCACTGAGCTGAGCACTCAAAGCTTCTCCAATTTCTAGCACCAGCCCACCCAACATTACCCCAAAGACGTGGCCTCGACTGCAGCAAATTGAGCCGAACAGTGACGGTGAGGTTCTAGGGAGGCGCGACCTGCATTGACTAGCCACCATTGCTACATAGTTTTATACATTTTCCATACGACACAGCGTATCGCAGTGCAGCGGAGCAACGCTGAAATCTACGAGTCACCAAACAAAGTCCGTCCGTCACAACCGTCAGAGCCGTCACAATTGTCGCTCTCACTCATCATCATTCTCAACCCAACAACACCACTCTCAAGTCTCAACTCTTGGCCACGCAGCACAGCTTTCTTTCGTCTCCTGCCTACCTTAAATCTTACCACCAGCCTTATCGCCCCCATACTTTACCGCCACTGCTCCCTAAACCCTATCGTCACCAAGTCCCTCCCTTCCTGTTGACTAAGTAAGCGCGACCGGCGATCGAGTCTTCTCTTCTCTTCCCTGATCTGAGCTTCGAGCACAAGGTAAATAGCTCCACCGCTGTTCCCCAGGAGTGTTTCTTGTTATCCATGTCAAATTTATGCTGTCCGCCCTGTTTCCCGCCTAATCCGAGACCTCCCCCATCGGGATTCGCCTCTGCCCATGCCCGCCAGACTTGACCAGAGCAACCACCCATTTCCCTTGCACCACCGCAGCCAACCAAACTGCACACAGACCATGAACCACAACCATAACCACAAACCATCAATCTTGCTCAGCACCAGCAATCTTTCTTTCCCTGACTCCCTTTTCTGCCTGATAAAACTGACCACCGTCCGGCCTTGCGACAATACGCTAACGAGCGGCGTTGCATAGAATACAGTCTTTCAGCCTTCTTATCCTCTTGCCCTTGCGAGCCCGTCCGAGTGTCCCCATCCAAGCTCGAGGATGATGATGATAGCCGCCGCGGCTCTGATCTAATCAACCTTATTCCCCCACCTCCCCTCCATTCCTCTCCGACCTTCCTACCGCCGAGCTGCCAACAATCCCATTTTCCATCCAGACCGCTCAGACAGCCAAGCAGATGCCCCGATCGTGAATTCCTCATTGTCGGCTTCTTTCGACTTGGTCTTCGTCATCGGGCCTTAACCACGACCCCTGCTTCGTGCTGAGTTCGTATCCTGTAGCGTGGAGCTTATCCCTTTCGAGCGCCTGCCGATCCAATACAGATACAACCTTTCTGCTTTCCTATCAGCGGGTCGCCATTTTCCTGCTTACCCCAACCGTCTTCCATCGATACCTAACGCCCATTACCTCGACGCTGCCTACCTCCTATACCCGCCGTCACCGGAATAATTTTCACCTCTTTGCCGTTCCCTCAGGCGTATCAGATAGGCCTTTTGCCCCGCATCCATATATCGACACGCATCATGGGCAATAGTAGCTCAAAACACCCGGGGGAGCACCCCAGCTCCGCCCGAACTCCTTCGAACGCTGGCGAACCCCACCATACCCTCTCTCCCCAAGCTTCGTCATCCACAAGATCGAGAAATCGAGCTAGCCGAGCCGAATTCAGCCTCTTAACTGGCTTCGCTCCGGCGAGGACGTCTAGCACCCAACAGACCACTCAGCCTGAACTGCGCCGGGAGACACGCCAGGAACGAGAGGCTAGACGTCTGGAGAAGGAAAGGATTGCTAGGGAGAAGGAGAGAGAGAGGAGTATGCGCGAGGAGCATGTGGACGGAGGATTCCTTGTTACTATGGGTATATACAAAGGCAGAGAAGATTTCAACAAGACCATCGTTCGTCAGCTTCAAGTAAGTCATCCTTCAGGATCACTCCCCATCTTCAGTTTTTTCCCCTCCCCCATTTTATTTTAGGCCTTCGTTTTATGTGTATGAACGATTACTGATATTTCCTGTGCTCGATGACAGATCGAACGTAGGCTAGCTCCATTCTGGCGACCCATCGAGGAAGATGTCGACGATCTTACCGATGCCCAACTCGTTGCCGTTGCGAGGGGCTTGCCTGTCCCCGAACCCGATGCTCCCTTACCACCCGATCTCCTCGCCGAACCCCAATCTCCCGTCTCGCCCAACCAATCAACCCAAAACCTCAGCCTCACTGTTCCTTCCGGTCAGGGACTGCCTAGCTCTGCTGCCGAGCCGGGTCCATCTGGGCCTACCTCCTCACTACCATCCCCGACTTCTCCGCCTCGCAAGTCCCGTGGGAAGGCTATCGCCGAGGCTCTTAGTCATAGTTTACGGTCCTCGCGGAACAACTCACAGACGGATCTCTCGCTTCGCGAGATAGCGCTCCCCAACGATCCGTTTGTCAACGGACAACCTCTCGAGGTTGCCCTCTATCGAAACTCCGAAGACTGTCCGATTTGTTTCGCCACATACCCGCGCTACTTGAACTATACCCGATGTTGCGGAAATATGATATGCAGCGAGTGCTTTGTACAGATTAAACGCCCAGATCCACACGTTCCCGAGAGTCACGGAGAGCCCGGTGCCGATAACAGCCCACATGAACAGGCAAGGGAAACGCACAACATGCTGGTCTCTGAACCGGCTGCCTGCCCATACTGCACGCAGCCAGAGTTTGGTGTAACTTATGATCCGCCTCCGTTCCGCCGCGGTCTTGTCTATTCGACCACTGTTCCCCTGTTTGGGGCAAGTGCCATGTCGTCCCAGAGTTCTCTCCACTCCAATCCGACCCCCGCATCCCCGACATCTCCCACTGGCGGTGGAAGAAGGCGGACTCAGAGCTTATCGGCTACTGCTCCGAACGTTGTGACAACCGACCGCATTCGACCGGATTGGGCGTTGAAACTGGCGGCCCAACGAACGAGCCAGGCGCGAAGGGCGGCTGCAGCCACGGCTCTGCACCAGGCTGCCTTCATTATGTATAACAACGATAGGCAGTTCGGCATCAGCAGCCGTGCCCCTAGGTTCATGAGGCGTGGCCTGTCAGGCACAAACTCTGGCGCGGGACAGAGCCCTTCTCCGGGTGCAGCTCCTTCTAGCGATTCTTTACAGGGCGCCGAAGGTGCCCCGCAGCCAGCCCCGCGCCCCTACATGACCGAGAACGACCGGCTGCAGCAGTTTGAAGAGGTCATGATGGCGGAAGCTATCCGCCTCTCTCTTGCAGCGGAAGAGGAGCGTCGCAGGAAGGCCGAGAGGGAGGCCGAGAAGGAGGCGAAGAAAGAAGCTAAGAAGCGAGAGAAGGAGGAGCGCAAGAATGCCAAGCTGCAGGCAAAAAGTGGAAGTCTCTACGCAGATGCTCAAGGCTCTGCCAGTCGAAGTAGCGTGTCTCTCGGCATCGGCCGCCGAAGGGGGAATAGCGGAACCAGCAGCCTTCGTACGGAGTTAACCTCCGAACTGCAGGGAGGACGAGGAGAGAGCAGTGGAGCAGTCGCATCCAGCAGCGGAACTCTGTCATCTGGAGATGCTGGCCAACCGTTGGATAAGGGTAAGGCCGCCGAGCGAAGCGGCCTGTCTTTGCCGACGACGACTGCTTCGTCATCGATCGCGATCCCCCAACAGACTGGACACCATGGCCCATCCCATCTACGCCAAACTAGCAACATCTCATCTATAGCATCCTCTCTTGTCGATAGTCAGGCCGGAAGCTATTCTGGTCAAGGTGGCTACCTAGGAAGAAGCCCCGACGCTTTCAACCCGAGGACTAGTGGCATAAGTCTTGCCTCTCACGACTCCGGAGCCGGCGGCGGTCCCGAATCCATGTTCAACTTTACCAGCATGGCATCGAGAATGGGAATTAATCTCGAAGGCCAACCCAGCGAGGCCGCGGAGGGTGCTACCGACACGGGGATTACGCAATCACAGAGTGAGATAACGCAGATTGGGGATGAAGAGCCTACGACTCAGCAAACTGTCGATGAGGCCGTCGAAGACGGCGTCATCACGCTTCAACCTTCGCAACCGGGGCAGGACAGTGCCGAAGGGACCGTTCCTAACAATAAGGTGCACGTTGCGCCCGAGTTGCGACTTATTCCCGGAAGTCCGAGACCGACGTCGAACGACAGCGAGTTTTCCAAGGGCCTTGAATCCGACGGCGCGATTTCGCAACGGGAGCGGGCTGGTGGGATCGTGTAAATTGAGAAGTTGCTAGCGATAGCAGAATCAACTGGCGTCGGGGTCAGAACATGATGAACACTTTCCACGGAGGGCGTTCCGTTTGAGGGAGCTTCTGTCGAGGACTCTAGCATATCGAGATGCTCTTGGATGAAGCTGCTAAGGAGCAGAAGTTTATAGATTGGACTGTATTATACAGGCAAGATGAGATTGCTTGCTATGAGATGGATGTAAAAGCTTGTGCCGGCTGTTGCGACGGAATTGGAAGGAAGCATTTGATTCAATTTTTTCTTTTCTGTTGCGCCTTCAGATTCTTGGAGGAAAGGCATGTTTCAAGGACGGCGCTTCTAGGGAATAGGTTTTTTATGAAGGGTGTGTGTGTGGCCTTGGGAGGTATTAGTGATTTGCATTACGAAGTTTGCCTGTACTCATAAGATTTCTTGACACACGCCTTGAAAATTACTGATACGTTTCGCATGTGTGAGGTTGAGCACAGTTTTCATTGATGTTCAACCGCATTCATTGGTCATGCCATCATTATTTAGCTGGCCTCGATGGCCCAGTCGGGACGTAGTCATCATCCGGACTACTCCAAGTGTAATCTTTCCAAGAACCTAGGGTTGGCCAGATGTGCTCCTCAGCCAGCTTCCGAACGACCTCTGTCTTGGAGGGGGCTTCGCCCGCACCCCCGCCCCTCCTCTCGTTGACGACCTCGTGCCATACCTTCCACGTCGCCTCCAGCTCATCTACCGACGACACCCCAATAACAGTAGCGCCCATCTTCCTCTCCGGTCCCAGCGGCGAATTCTCCGTGCCGAACGGCGCGCCCGCGCCAGCCCACGAGTCGATCGCCCAGCGGATCGAGGCATCCTCGAGCCCGAACCCCGCCTCGACTGTAATCCGCTGCAGGTCCGTACAAGCCTTGCGTAGTTCCCGGGGTGCGGGGTGCCAGGCGGCCATGGGTGCTGCGTCAACCCCTCTCGTGGTGAGGAGGCCCATGCTGAGGATGCTGGCGTTGAGGACGACGCCTACCTTTGCGTCGCGGAAGGCGTCGAGCGTGGAGGGGTTTCCGAGGGAGGTATTTTGGAGGTTGAAGTTGGAGTAGGAGAGGACGGCGTCGAGCGGCTTGCCAGTTTCCTTCAGGACGAGTTTCGCGAGGGATGTTAGCACGGGTAGGGGGTATCCGCTTATGCCGACGTAGCGGATCTTCCCCTCATCGCGGAGTTTCCTCAGCTCCGAAACGGCGGCGAGGACGTCCTCCGGGGAAACGAACTCGACATCATGGCAGTAGACGAGGTCGAGGTACGGCGTGTGCAGACGATCGAGGGAGCGCTCGACGCTGGCGCGGATGCCCGCCGGGGTGTAGTCGAAGTTTGTGGGTCCCACGCGGCCCGCCTTTGTGATGAGGAAGAGGGAGGAGCGTGGCGGGGGGTTGGGGATAGCAGAGAGAGCGGCGCCGAGGAGGAGTTCGGAGGGGCCGTAGTAGGGGGATGTGTCGAAGGCGTGGAGGCCGAGAGAGAGGGCGCGGGAGACGATGGAGGTGGAGGGCATGGTTTGGGGGTCGGTTACGTATTGGTGGTTAAAGGTGGCGGTGCCGACGATGAGCGGGGGGAGGACGGAGGAGAGGGCCGGGGTCGGGGCCGAGTCTCCGGGGGTTATGGAGTTGGACATTTTTGATTGCAGGTGCCGGTGGACCGTGCGAGGCCGTGGGGGACCGCAGATCGGGAGCAGGGGACTTCGCTGAGGTGTCAATCGATCCCTCAATTGTCTGTGGCTAGAGCTCCCAGCGTTTGGGGCTGGTTTCGAGCTTGTTGTCTGCGGACTGATCTGGTTTCTTTCTCCGGCGTTGGATAGTCGGGATGACGTAAGGAACTGCGGACAGAGAAGCCTTCGAGAAGACAAAAGGCGAGAGTAAGATCCAATCACGGTACTCCCTTACATTAAGGAGACTTCGTGCCGAGATAAGAGAAGAGGCGAGGGCAGTGTGAGGAATGGAGGGGCCAAAAGATTGAGGAAGCGGGGGAATTCTGGAATGGGGGATAACAGTTGAGGGCTTTTTCCGTACTTCGTAGGTTACGGCTGGTATAATACTGATGTGGGGCATTCTTTCGTCAAGATTGGGCTCTAGGCTAATTAATAAGGAACATACACAGGTACAATTGAAAGGTCTTGTTAGATTTCTCTTCGATATTAAGGCGTCATCTGGGGCGGTCCTCGGAGAATGCCTTCGTTTCCCTCCCACTTGGAGGAGATGGCAACGCAGGTGTGATGCGAAGAAGAGGGTCACGACGTTAGTGTCGACATTTCTTTGGGAGTCGCACCTACTTTCCTCTCTCGAAAACCAGGCACATGTCAATTGAAACTACAAAGTACCAAAACTCAAGACAAGGTCGGAAAGGGCAGACGGTTGTCGTCGAGCGAAGACGTTCCTTCCAAAGCTAGAGAAAAAGATGCGATTGATGATTAATACTTTGAATGCAGCAGGTGCACTCCGCTCCCTCGTGCCTCGCCCGCATTCCATGTCTCCAATCCCCAAGATCTCGATTGTTTCTTCGTCGAGTGTTCTTCAATAGAGGGCTAATTTCGATATTTGGCGCCGCTCGATTGCAGGTCCGACATTAAAGTCCCTTTGAAGCATCTGCCTTCCATGATGTCAAGACTGCGCTCACCTCAAGCTACAACTTCGTACCGACCCTTTCTCTCAACTGCCCAGATACATACAGGCCGATTCCGTCTCATATATCTTATTCCTAACCCCTTCCCCATCCAGCCCCGAATTTCAGCCCGAACACGATGCCATTTGTCCTCGATGACGGTGAGAGGAGCCTTTCCCGTCCTTGGGTCAGAGGCCCCTTTTCAAGCCCCTTTGCTCGATAATCTATAACCTTCAATGCAGCTCTACTTTCCCATTATCGTATAGATAGATCCTCCCATCTTGCTCTTCGCCCTTCGCCCTCGCAGTCAGCGACATTCCGGACAAATAGATTGGCCAGATCCCCGGCCCACGTTTTAGGCTAATGGGGCGAGTGCTTGGCCATCTTCACCCGTTTACATGGCTACCTCTGATGGATGCCATCCTCCGTCTTTCCCCAATCTTCCAGATTGGGGCTCCTCTTTAATCTACTTATAACCGCGTTTCCGTTCTCCATTCCTATTTCCATTTCTTTACCCCGTATGCGGCCGCCCAAGCAAATTTGGAGAAGAATGCATCCTCGGCACCGGAGTCCGCGTGGTCTCCTTGCTTTAAACCCATATCTTGGCTGCTTCTCCAACTGCGTTGGACAGGAATTGGCCTTTCATCAATATTCTTGGAAGGAGGCGGAAATGCTCGGCACCAGATATCTGCCACGAAACACGCTCGATGCCAATAGACACACGAAGACGAGCACATGAACACTGATCAATGGATCATTCCATTTCTTGCCCCTGTCCTTGGGAAGACTCCACAGCACTACCAGCTAATATCGATTGACCCCTCGCCTGACCGTCTACATTGATTTGATCCGCGAATATTGATGCTGTTCTCCGTTCTAGCCGTCTCCCGTCACACCCTAGCAAGGGATATTTTCGAGCGTACCTATTTCTCTTCTTTTTCTTCCCCTTCCTGTCTTTTGGGCTTCTTATGCACCCGTCGGCGATTCTCCCGAGTTTCTTCAAGTTCATCTTGTGATTGTGTATGGCCTATTGATGATCGAACACCCGTTCGCGTCGGGGCACTCTGGTGTCGATCACACACCACTCTCTTGTCTCTTGGCTGGCTCTTCCCGTGCTTCGTTGCAGAGCATCGTTTAGTGTACCTGCATCAACTTTCCTGCAATCAATGGCTGTGTTCTTTGAACGTATTTCTAGAGAACCTTTAGCTTTACTTAGCCCATGATCCTCTGTCAACCTTCCCCTTGGCAGGCACATATCCGCCGAAATAGAAATAACCCCGGATGTGTACTTGACTGGTAGAGGAGTCGTTATTGCTTAGTTTTCTAACGAACTAGCACCGTTCCTGAGGCAATTCGTCAATATCCATAGGGTATGGAATGATCAAGGCCTTCTGGGCAGGCAGGACATCGTCTCGTGTGCTCACCAATGCTCCGTCCAAGTCATCCGTCTATCCGCTTCACTAAAATTAATGGCCAGGCATCCCGGGAAGCAGCAGTGGGGGAACTACAAGGCACGCCTCGCCATTTCTTCCGCCTTGGCCATAGGTATTCCGGTGAAGCTTTACCCAATTTACGACAATCTCCCGCATTCCCTTTCCGGGATTATGATTAATACTTGCCAGTCTATTGGGTGTCTACCTAGGATCGGCGGCTTTGCCGAACTCATGAACTCATGGGAGGTCAGACACCATGCCGAACCCCCTAATATATCGCCGTCGTCAGTTGAGAACCGAACGGCACACTTACACCACCTACAGCTAGAACCACGTTTTCGCTCCCTCATCTCCCATGCTCGATCGAGAGGACCTTTCCCTTTTTTGCCAGACCGGAAAGACGCCTCCATGGGTGGGTAATAATGCTATTATTGATATCTAATCCACAGGCATGGATTGGACAATTGGGGACCCAGACATGCCTCGCCGGGGCTAACGGCCATCCGTCCGCGCGCCCTTCCCTCCAGCTGTCGAGAATCACCCGGACTGTCTTAAATACCGCTGTGCCCTCCCATTCTCGCTCCCGGGGTGAAGAGTTAGAGTCCCCCAGCTGATGCTGTTCACTCGTTAAACCGTCAGTCTGTGTTCTTTTTTCCTAGTACCGGTAATATGCGTTGGTCTTCAATCATCAGCGCTGCGGCGCTTGCCACTTCGGGTATGTTTCCTTCTTGTACGGGTTGCTGGGAATTGGGTTTTCCTCGACCTATTTTATTTTCTTTTTCCTTCGTTCCTCGGCGCCAACTGCTGTCGAAAGAAATTGACCCAATCCGCTCTAACGTTTTGCTCCTCTCCGTTAGCCGCCGCCCAGGATCCAGAGACCTTCCCTTACTGCGATGAGCTGGACCGCTGCTTCCAGGGCCATGCCGTCGATGATACCGGCGTTGTGTTCGGTATTGCTGTCCCCGAGGACACTTCGGCCGAGAATTTTGACGTTATTATCCAAGTAACGGGTCCTAAGGACACCGCTGGTTGGGTTGGTGTTGGCTGGGGTGGTGGTATGACCTACAACCCTCTCACAATTGTCTGGCCCAACGGCGACGATGTCCAGGTATCCTCTCGGATGGCATTGTAAGACTCTCCACGAGACTCTGTTTCTTTACCTCCCCGTCAGAGAGGCACAAAGCACATTTATTGCCCTTTTGAACCGGGGGTTCGTATTAGGCTAACCGAACGTCCTGTCGTGTAGCGGATACTTCGTGCCTCCTCTCTATGAAGATGCTTCTTACACAGTTCTCCCCGGCACCCATGTCAACGAGACTCACTACCAGGTCACCGCCGTCTGCAAGGGCTGCACCCTCTGGGCCCCCTTCGATGGTGAATCCACGGCCCTCAACGGCGAGGGTGAGAACTACCTGGCGTTCGCCTACTCCAGCGTCCCCGTAGATGACCCCACGGCCATCGATACCACCTTTGGAATCCATGAGCGCGTCGGCCACTGGATCCACGATTTCGCCGCCTCCAAGTCCGCCGACTTCGAGACCTGGGTTGTTGCTGGTGGTGAGGGTGAGGGCGATGCCAAGGCGCCAGAGGCGCCAGCGGAGCCACCGGCCGAAGAAGAAGAACCTCCTGCGGAAGGCGAAGCCCCCGAAGAGGATGGTGGTGATGGTGAGTCTTCCGGCGACGCCAGCACCTCCTCATCAACAGTACTGACAACCACAACGACTCCTGCTGATCCGGCCTCGACTTCGGCCCCCGATCAAGAGCCAACTGAGGAACCGACACCCGAGGTTGAGGCTCTTCCCCTTCCCGCCTCGTGCCCCGGCGTCGAAGCGCCGGCTTTCCCTTTGGTCACCGCTGAAGGGTGGAAAATTGTCAAGATTTCTGGCGAAGTTGTTCGTCCTCGAGCGGTGGTTGTGGATAGCAAGGGAAACTTGCTTGTTCTTGAATCCGGAAGGGGATTGTCTGCTCTTACGCTGGGCGAGGATGGCTGTATCTCTACATCAAAGCTGGTTATTAACAATGGTCAACTTAATCATGGTCTCGGCATCACTCCTGATGGCACCAAGGTCTACGTCAGCTCCATGACTACGGCGTGGGAGTACAGCTACGACGCCGAAACCCAGGAGGTCTCGGGCCAGAGGGTCATCGTCAAGGGAATGTACTCGGGTGGCCACCCTTCCAGGTCTCTGGTCATCCCGCCCGCCACTCCCCACTTGCTTGTGATGCAGCTCGGATCCAACGCCAACTTCGACATGGAATCTCTCCAGATCGAGACGGCTCGTGCTAACGTGAAGGTGTTTGATATCTCCGAGGCGCCCGAGGGTGGCTGGGATTGGGTCACCGAGGGCTGGGACCTTGGTTATGGTCTTCGTAATGAAATTGCCCTCGTCGTTGATGGCAACAACCAGTAAGCAACATACCCATGAGCGCAAACAACCCTCACAACCCCTTACTATGGGACGAGGCCTCTCTCTTGCTGTCTTGAATTTTTTGCTTCCATGGCAGACTGAGGAGAGGTTGTCGCATCTCATATATTATCATGTAGAGAGGCACACTCACAGCCTTGTGCGTGTGACTATCGCCTAAGTTCTTAGTTCCTGGGAATTTGTGTAGATACTAACCCGCCCTCCTCTCCTTGATAGAGTTTGGGGTATTGAGAACAGCGCTGACAACCTCGGACGTACGGCTGAGGGCACGACTACTGATGTCCACATTGACAATCCGGCCGAAGAGCTGAACCTTCGTAAGCCTCATCATACCCCCTTATGTCTCAGCCGATCTAGAAGCGGGGGACTCTGTTATCTTCGGGGGAAGAGATGATAGAAAACTGTCGAGAGATGTTGAGCTCTGGATAAAGTATCAAGGCTAACACGACTTTCTCTAGTCGGTGACCCTTCCAAGCCGAACACCGACTGGTACGGCTACCCGGTCTGCTTCACTGTCGGCGAGCCCGACGTGTTCGTCGACAAGGAGTTCAAGGTCGGCGACCAATTCGTCCTCTCCCCAAATGCCACCTACGACGACACGAACTGCGACGCAGAGGCCACCCCGCCCCGCCTGGCCATCCAAGCCCACAGCGCGCCCATCGACGGCGCCTTCGACAAGGACTTCTCCAACATGTACGTGACGCTTCACGGCAGCTGGAACCGCGCGCCGGCTACGGGCTACAAGGTCGTGCAGATCGCGTATCACAAGCTCGAGGATGGCAACTATGATCCCGTTCCCTCGGCGGATACTCATTTGCCTTATGTTGATATTGCTTGGAATGATAATGTCGATGCTTGCTCGGGTAATACCTGTTTGAGGCCTACTGGTATTACGTTCGATAAGGCATTTTCGAGGCTGTTCGTTGCCAGTGATAATGCTGCCAATAGCGAGTTGTTTGTCCTGTACAAGACTGAGTAAGGTGGAGGGGGCAAGAGGATAGACACTTGGATAGGGAGATGATGGATTTCGGGGGTAAGTTGGTTCGGGGGGGGGGGCGATGTTTCGTAGTTTTCTATTCTTCTTGTTGTAGATATTTCTTGGATTTTGATTTTCACCTTCCTGCCAACATTCCCGTGCAGTCAAGTATGCCTGTGGTATCATGGAAGATATCTGGTTGCAGCTGAAGATGAGGATGGAACATGTCTCCGCACTTCTGTCACTGTCTGGCGACATTTAACCCTCCCTTTCGTTGTCCCAGCACATTCTGTCGTATTTTTTTTTTTTTTTTTGGTGAATTTTATTCATCTTAGATATTCCTTGATTGTGAAGGGAATGAGAAAAAAATAGAAATAAATGCAAAATTGTTTTGTATTTAAATTCTCATCTCGCCCTTGTGTTGTTGTTGTGAAAAGATTGGCAGTGATTCTGGGCGAGTGGGTCACGTGGCGGGGTACTTCCTCTCTTTCTAGGCGGGTCGGTCGAAGCTGTCGAAAGCTCCCAAAGCTTTCAATGTATTTTTCCCTTTTCTCTCCCATCACTTGAGAGCTTCACCGACAAACGACTCTTGGGGCCGATCCAGCGCACACGGACCTGCGCCCACCGCCAACAAGTTCCTTGCTGCGCCGAAGAAGAAGAAGAAAGAAAAATAATAACCATGGCAGGCGGTCGGAAGACCAAATCTTCCGGCCCCGCGCCCCCCTCCAAAACCCTCATCATCGACAACGGCGGCTACACTCTCAAAGCCGGCTTCGCACCACCCTCACCCACAAGCGGCGCTGACCTATCCCCCCGAATCATACCAAACTGCATCGCGCGCGACCGCCACCGCAAGATCTACGTCGGCTCCGAGCTCCCCCAACAGTGCCGCGACTTCGGCGAGCTGCAGTTCCGCCGCCCCGTCGACAAGGGCTTCATCGTCAACTGGGAGGCGCAGAAGGAGGTTTGGGACGGGGAGTTGTTTGGGGGCAAGGGCGGGTTAGGGTGCGAGCCGGGGGAGACGAGGTTGGTTTTGACGGAGGCGCCGGGGGGGTTGCCGGCTTTGCAGGGGAATTGCGATCAGATGGTTTTTGAGGAGTTTGGGTTCGCGAGCTATTATAGAGCAATCGGTATGTTTTCCCTTGCGCAATTGTGTTTACGCGAGTGTTTACGTGGTAAATTGGGCGTAGTTAAGAGACTAATGAGGGAACGGATAGGACCTACGCTCAACGCCTACAACAATATCCAGTCCTTCTTCGGAACTACGCGAGACCCTGCGACGATGACGGCACCTCAGGTCCCCGCCGAGATTATGCTCCTCGTCGATTCAGGTTACTCCCATACGACCGTCACCCCCCTCCTCCACGGCCGACCCCTCTACTCCGCCGTCCGCCGCCTCGACATCGGCGGGAAATTCCTAACAAACTACCTCACCCGCCTCCTCTCCCTCCGCCACTTCGACATGCGCAACGACGTTTACATCGTCAACGAGATCAAAGAGACGGCCTGCTTCGTCTCGCTCGACTTCGCCGCCGACCTCGAGAAGACGTGGAAGGGTTCCCGCGGCGAAAGGAGACCCGTCTATGTGAACGGCAGCGATGGCATCGCCAAGGACTACGTACTACCCGATTACCACGCGAGGCAGAAGGGTATCATAAGAGACTACGATCCGGCGGCACACACGAAATCGAGGAAACTCGCCCTCGGCGCGGCTGGGAACGCCGCGGACGTAAACGAGGACATCATCACGCTGCGAAACGAGCGATTTTCGGTCCCCGAGCTGCTGTTTAACCCCATGGATATCGGGCTGCGGCAGCCCGGTCTTCCGAACCTTATAATGCAGTCCGTCTCCTCGCTGCCCGTTGGCCTGTGGCCCGGGCTCCTCGCGAATATCGTTGTTGTGGGCGGCAACGCGCTGTTTTCTGGCTTTAGGGAACGTTTGCAGAGGGAAGTTGCTAGCCTTGCGCCCGACGACTGTACCGTAAGGGTTGCGGTGCCCGAGGATCCGGTTACGGCTACGTGGAAGGGAGGTGTTAGGTTAGCGGCGCACGAGAATATAGGGAAGCTGAGCGTCTCCAAGGCGGAGTACGATGAGTATGGAGCTGCCTGGGTCGCGAGGAAATTCGCCGCAGGCTTGCCTGTTTGATTCGAACAGAGGAAGATCTGTTTTAATGCTTACGAAAGGTCTTCATCGACCTTGTTGAGACGTCATCTGAAGGGACCCCGAGTCACGTCACCGAGCCAAGAAAAAAGGACCGATATTCCCGAAATCCGAACAGCGAGGTGCCTGGTAATCTGAGGGTTTTCCTTCACCGCCTCGTCCTGGACATAATCTGCAAGCATGTATCTAGCATGCGGTTGAGAGCGGCTTGCATCGGTCCGGTTGCGGGCGTTGAGAGAGCCTCGGGCCTATTTGGCTGCATTCCCTGACTTTCGGGGGGCCCAAGAATCAGGTGAGGAGGATGAGGCTTGCAGTGCGCCTCACGAATGTATCGAGAAGAGGGGAAGCAGTGACTTCGGGCTGTTATTGTGGGGGTTCACACGCCTCGGTTGACTTGCGGTTGACCTGCGATTAAGTCACGGCCTTTCCTTATCCGCTCGCTCCGATCCTAGATGTTTGAACAAGGTCAAGATTCGGAAAAAAGGTAGAGACAAAGCATCACCACTCTGAGGACATCTGCGCTATTTTGCGCGGAGGACAGGGCCTGGCATCTGGGGACTCGAAGGGGAGAAGCATCTATCATAAACTAAAACCTATGTTGGTCGTGAACCCAAATACCAGGCGAAAATATCCCTAGAGGGAGAAACCAGAGTGGAATGCGTATACCAAAAGAGACTGAGAGCGGAGGATATCCGAAACGTTTCCGTTTCGAGAGTGGAGGGATAGAGATAACCAAAGACGGCGGGAAAAAAAAAATATGAAAATGAAAACGCGAAAAAGTAATAGAGAGAGAAGACAAAAAGGCGAAGAGAAGAAGTCATCAAAGAAATAAGAATGGAAAAGAAATCACAGAAACGCCATGCCTTCAGTCGTTCCCCGTGCTAGAGACCGTGTTTGCCGCTCCAAAATAGACGCCTCGCTTATTTGTTCATCCATCAATACCAGAGAGAAGAAAAAACACACTCAACAACTTCGACACACACAATTATGACCTGCGCCGGGACGGGTATCGTGATGCTGCAAAATAAATCGGTCGGTCTAGGACAAGAAACGTCGGAAAAGACATGGAATAGGAGAGCTGGGAGGTATTTGAGATGGACAATTTGCCCTGCTAAACAAGCTAGTGAAAAGATAAAAAAGTGCTCTTTGAAAATGGCGTCGTGAGCTAGAATCAGCTCCTCGCGGCAAGACATCTCAGTCCCTCGCGAGGAAAGGTTCGCTCTCGCGCCCGACGCTCAACGATAGAGTTTTGATTGCGCATCCAGCTGAGCCACGCCTGTTTGCTCTTGGTCTTGCAGGCAGGGAATTGCTGGGGCACCGGGCGCTGTGGGTTGGCCGCCCGGTTGGCGGCCATTTGGCGCCGTCGGGTGGAACACCCTAATGTGTGTGTTAGTTCTGTGGGGTGAGTGAGAGTTATTGCAGGACAAATCCACTTACAATCGCACTACAAAATTGAATATGTTAGCTTTATCAATGAGACGGCGCAATGTGAGGTCGAGTCAACTTACAAGAGTCGGGCTGGAGCCTTCATGGTGCGTGATGCAGTATCCTCCACCGCACGCCGTGCATCGTCTCTGAGTACGGCGGACGCAATCATTGCACTATCAATCGGAACCGAGTTAGTTCACAAGACCTCCGCCAAAGAGCAAACCCAGACGTAAATGACTCACGTTGAATCCACATTCGAAGCAGCTCCGTTGAACCTATCACACCCACTCTGTCAGTAAACCGACCAACACCAACTGCTCTGAAAAGGAGGGTGGGGGACAAGTCCGGATGCATGTTTCAGCGCTGACGGACGGGCATACAATTACGTCCGGGAAAGGCGAGGAGGCTACTTCCCCGCCAGTCAATGGGAGGCATCTATGAATTCAATGACCGACCCGGACCAAGGATGCCTTTCCTTTCGATCAGCGTCCGACAACGCGGCGCGCGGACTGTTCCCCCATGCACTCGAGACAGAGAGCGTTCCATACCTTTTTGATAGAAGCCTGAGACTCATCGGCCGAGACTGGGACGTGAAGGCCCGGCAGGGGCGGAGTGTAGCACCGCTCACACCACCACTTGTTGCAAGTGCGGCAGTGGCGGTCGTTGAGGCATGTGGTGCACCGGGCGATGAAGGAAGGAGTCGTTCCGCAGGTCGAGGCTGTCGGGTAAGTGGCAGCAGTGAGAGACGACGAGAGCAAAGGCGCGTCGGGAAGTAGCGGCAGAGAGGTCCTGTCAGCGGCCGTGTCGAAGGTCGTCATTCCCTCGGGCGCAGACCCGCAGCCGGCACATCCGGACAGCGCGAATGTGGCGACTGACCACCGAGGAACCGCTGGAGCAACGCCGGGAACAATACTTTCATAGGCAGGCGAGTTCATGTGGCAAGGCCCGGTACACAGAGGGGCATCGAAAGCAATGACGCCCTGACAGTCGATGAGCGTTTCAGCCCATTCCTGAGGGACAGCATGCTGGATGACCTTGCCCTTCTTATGGTACCAGAGATCGCCCGTGTCGACGCAGGCCTCCTTGCAACATGAGCTGGGGGTTTCTCCGCGTTGCTCTGCTGGGGAAGTGGCGGTAGCATCGGTGATCTCGACGATGGGCGACTTCTCCGTGAAGATGTACAGGCCTCGAAGTTTCGGCATGCCGGCTGGGCGGTCCGGGCGGCACGCATATTTCAGGGCCCCCCTCAAGAGTCGCTCGTTGAGGTTTTTCACTCCACGGATGGACAGGATGCGCACGTTGAATTTAGAATCAGAGATAATCTCACGGCAGAGATCAGCCGTCACGGACAGACCATCTAGCACGAGGGTCTGGACATCTCTCAGGATGTGACGGCGCTCGAGGGTAGAAAAGATGCCTCGAAGAGGACCGGAATAGAACCTAGACGAGTCCTATGTTAGCAAGGCAGTTTCTTCCAAGTTTCACGGTCGTGGTCATTGCCACGGCGGTGGTTAGTTCGTGTTCGACGTACTCATCTTCAGTGACATTTTCGTCAACCTGGACATTACGCCAGACTTCGCCACCGTTGTCGACGGGAGCAATGTCAAACTGAGCAGTGGTGACTCGGGTTAAGTCGAGGTAGCGAAAGACGCCATGAGAAAGGTTGACGAGTTGATGAAAATCCCTGCAAGTGGCACCGAGGGCAAGCCTATCTCGGGCCGAAAGGTAAGGGGCGGTGTGTTGGAGGACGAGGTGGTTAGAGAGAAGATCGAGGAGAGATTGTTTCTCGAGGAGATCACGCGCGTTAGGGTCGTTGCCGACGATACTCATGATATGCCCGACAAGCCCTTTCTAGATCAACGGTTTGTTCTGGAAAGGCTCGGGTCACGAGCGGAGGCGCGGCGCGACGACACTAGTCGCGCAGGTATGAGACGGGGAAGAGAGTGTGGTCTTCGAAACTTGGGTCGTATGCCGATAAACGGGGTGGTCCAAGGGCTGTTCTTAGATGTAAGTGACGAGCTCGTTCTTGATAGGATCGAGTATAACAACGACGCGGGCTTGGTTCTGGTTCTGATAGAAACAAGTCAAAATGTCATATTGGAAGGTATCAAGCGATGCTCGGACTACTACGAAGGACAGCTGGTGGATGGATTGTGGTCTGAAGGAGGGAGGATGGGATGGACTGGGGGAAGGGACAAGGGGATGATATAAAGGCCAGGTCGCGTCTTTGACTCCTGTTTGCCCGAGAACCAGATGGATGACTTAGGCGAAGCTAGCGCAGCTTTGTACAATCAGTCAAGGTGCCAAACGGCTGGAAGCTTGGACGCCCTGTCGAAGGGGTCGAATGTGTTGGAGTGTGGGGATAAGCGGGTAAAAGGGGTTCGTTGGACACTGGACAGGGCAGGGCGGGATGCTGTTGAGGCGAGTACCAAGATTGATGATTTGATGGATTTGGATGGTCGTCGACGTCGATGTCGACGTATCGTATTATTTCTTGGTCGTGCTTTCCAGGCTATCGGCGAATAGCCAGGGATGCGCCTGCTGGGGAGTAACGAGACACTACGAAGGTACGAAGTACATTGATACAAATCCTTGTCTCCCTCCATCGTCGATTCGACTGTATCGATACGAGGGATCAAGGATCATCTGGTGAGGCGAGACACGCCCCACAGCCGAACATGCTCACGGTACTGCGTACTTGTACATGTGATTGTGCATGTGGGGTGGGTCCTGCCGGTTGAGTCGAAACATGAGTCGCAATTGCTCGATTGATGATTGAGATGTGCTACACTACCAGCACCAAGTACCTCCGTACACTACAAAGTACTTCATCCATCGTACTTGGCAACAAGGGTCAATCTCAGTGCTGACATGGGGCAGCAGATTAGTTTTGGTGTGGCCGCAAGGGTCCGAACAGGGGGTGATATTGCAGACGGAGGAATTTAATGGCACAATCAAAGGTAGCATTGGAAACTCTGTCTAATTATTAGTGGTCGCATGGCCTAGAGAAATCGTCTGGTCTCTTGGTCTCGTCAATTGCTAGTGCGCTTCGTAGCGTTCGTAGCGTTCGTAGCGTTCGTAGCGTTGTTACTGTCGGAAGCGGTGGCTCGCGGGCCGACAGTGGACATCACAGGGGGTTTGACATTTGTTGGCGGATCTACTGCATCTGGTAAAGCTTCTGGTAAATCCTGACTGGGGTTTTGATTGCGGGCTTCGGATTTCGAACGTTGGAGCGATCGAATGGGGTCATCATGAGCTGTCCCAAGATTTGATTGCTCTGTGCTGGCCCTTGCGCCATCGCCGTCCTGCGCGAGCTTCTCCACCTCCTCCTCCCCCTAGTGGTGGACATCTTCACCTCCATCTTCCAAGGAAAGGGGGGGTCGCGCAAGCACACCGCACTTCGAGCTTTGCACATGGGGTCAGCCATGGCAGAACAATCTGTTGTTGAGCAGACTCCACCACGCAACATGGTCGAGCGCCCCAGTGGCTCGAGTGGCGCTTGAGCTTTTCCAATGTCTCACCCTCACGTTGCAGTCTATGTCCATCCACGTTCATCTCGCGACGCCATGTTCTTGGAGTAAAAAACTATTATCCCAGTCGAGTCATCGATAGGGACACAGTGGAATTTGATGGGGAACTTATCAATCCATTATAAAATAGGGTTGGTCTCTAGGACTCTCTTGCCATCAATTTTATACTATCATCCTTCCCTTCACCGACAGCTCACAGGACATAGCTCACAGGATGCAGACACGCGGACACGCAGATAAGCTTGGCATGCTCCTGGGCCTCAATGTAAAATCCAAGCTAAAACAGTTGATCAATAGAAACCAAACTCTTCCTCATATCTCAACATCAACCCACGCCTCCCCACGCACCTTCAAAGCTGCATCTGCACACTGCACTTCGGTGCACACCCACCCCATTTTTCTTACCCCAGTGTAACGTCGGATCTCGAAGCTGCCGGTCCAGCTCAGCCGTTTTTGTTACTAAATACTATTAATCGAAGAGCCTAAAGTCCCACGTATCTCTTTGGGCGCGGAGGTCCACTGGACACCACATGCACCCAATTGTCTAAGAGTGGTTAAGGCTGTCTTTTGTTTCTCTAATGTAGTGAAGTCTCGGGGATCGGGGGCGACTTGCTCCTAAGTCCTGGTCCGCTATACTAGCTGCAGTCTCGTCTCCACTCCTTCGAGAGGAAGAACAATGAAGAACCGTTTCCAGGCTATTATTGCATTCCACCACCAACAAGTCGAGCTTCCCCCGCCCAGATTCGTCCAAGCTAACCAAGTGGGCTAGCAGAATTGAGCTTAACCGCCAGCTTGACCAAGAATCCGAAATGAAGGGATCAAATGAAATCGACGAAGGAGTAATTGGGAATTAAAATCCGAACTTAGGCGGCTTTGGCGAAGGGGTTTTGAGCCTAAAAGGAGGGGTAAGACATGAAGACACGGTCCAGCCGCCCACACATGCTAAGTAGCTTCATTGGGATCAGGATCAGGATCAAGAGCAGCCATTCACCTCTTTGGGCTTGTCATCACTCCATGCTGATCATCTGCACCTCTTCAGGTCAATCAGGTACTCAACATTAGTAAAAAATGAAGAAAGCAAAAAAAGAGTTGAGGGTGGAGAGCTTCTGGCTAAATCGGACGACCCGTTGTTCTCTGCATACGCCCCTTCAAATTGGGCATCAGACTGAGACTGCAGAGAAATCTGCAAGGCCTTGTTTAACAGAAGATGGCAACTGCGGTCAACTGAAGAGGTCGTCGATGACGTCAATGATATGGGGCACCCCACTTCGAAACTGAGCTTAGCGGGGGACAGCTGAAGGCGCCTGACAACATCTCGAGCTTCAATCAACCCAACTTGTGTGATGCGAACCTCAACCACTGGACGTTGTCGATATTTGCGCAATGCGCGCATTTCTATTGGCCTCAGCCTTATTGCAATGACGGCTTAGAGCATTGGTAGCTTGTATGTGACAATTCGTCTCGGCCTTATCATTCGCAGCCTTGGGATTCAAAATCCTTGCCACCGTCATCGATGGAAGCCTAACGAAGCTCTTGCTGACATACGCCATCGCGACCTACCTTAGCGCTTGAATTTGAAGCTCCCTTTATGTTCTGCGTACTCGACACTCCTTACCTGATCTTTCATTTCCCATAGCCCTCAACAACAAACGAAAATACCCAGCCGCCTCCTCACAACTATGGCGAATATATTCGACGTGCGGTGGTCCTCGAACCTCCTCGCCAATGTGACCTCGAAAACAACGAATAGCAACCTCCATGGCGATAGGATTCTGCTGCCCCAGTCCGCACTGGAGGCCATAATGGCCGCTCCCCGATCCGACGATGGCTTGTCTTCTTACGATGGCCTGCGCCTACCCTTTCCGCTCATGTTCCGGCTACAAAATAAGTCCAATGGCCGCGTGGTATACTCTGGCGTGAGGGAATTTATCGGCGAAGAGGACCACATAGGGTTGACGCCTTACCTCGAGAAGGCGCTTGGAATAGAGGCGGAAGATAAGAATGTCGAAATTTCGGTATCGGCAAAACAGGTACCTAAGGGAACGTACATCCGATTACGACCGCTTGAGGCGGGCTATAACCCTGAAGACTGGCGGCCGATCCTCGAGCGGGAACTACGAAAGAACTTTACGACATTGACGAACAATACGGAACTGCATATTAGAGGTGTTGGGGGCTATGAGTACAAGTTTCTCTTGGACAAGGTCGAGCCGGAAGGCGATGCGATCTGTGTCGTCGATACGGATGTTGAGGTGGACATTGAAGCCCTAGATGAGGAGCAAGCGCGAGAAACGCTAAGGATAATAGCTGCGAAGGCGAGTAATAGGCCCACGGGAAACTCGACCGGTGGCGAGATCAGTATCTGGAATGACGTTGAGGGACACATCGTACCCGATTCGTATATCGACTACCAATTACCCTCCTGGGACCGGACACAACCACTCACTGTCGAGCTGTCAGGATTCGGAGAGGAGGATGGTTTAGACCTTTTTGCGATTCCGAGTTCGACAAGGTACAGGGCCTTGCCACGACAAGACGAACACGTTTGGGGAAACTTCACGACCAAGTCTGATGGGCACAAGTCGATTGAGATACCGCCGGACCATCCCGCGCTCGAGACTGCCGAGAAGCTGCTCATCTCAGTCTATTCGTACATACCGGTCGCATCATCTGGGAAGGCGCCAGAGCCCAAGCCGCAAGGATTCGTTCTACGCGCCCGGGTAGGGCACGCTACCGAGTCCCAAGACACGCTAATGGATGACGCCCATGTGCCAGAGAACCAAAAGAAGTGTCCGAATTGCGGACAGTGGGTACCGAAACCGTCTTTTTTCCTGCATGAGAGTTTTTGCTTGCGCAACAACACCACATGTAAAGAATGTGGACGGGTATTCAAGAAGGGATCCGAAGAGCTTGCGAACCACTGGCACTGCGTGCACAAGAACGCCTGCGACTTGTTCCCCGACAACTATGGGAACACCGAACTTGGGTAAGTCTTTTCCCCTCACCAGTGATCTTTTGCACGTGCTTTGGTAAACTAATCACGACTGCAGACGTGAGAGGCACCGTATCGCATACCACTCGGAGCACCACTGCCCCTCGTGCGATTTTACCACCTGCGACCTACCCGAACTGGCCAAACATCGAACCACCTACTGCCCAGGCAGGCTTATCCTCTGCCAGTTCTGCCATCTCGAGGTCCCCCAGGGGGGTGACGGCACGCCCACGCCGGAAATGAAACTTACAGGGCTCACACCCCACGAACTAGAGGATGGCTCGAGGACGACCCAATGCGACATCTGCGGCAGGATCCTCCGGCTCAGGGAACTAGAAGCGCACATGATGAACCACAAACTAGCCAGGGCGTCGCAACCGACTCCACGCCTATGCCGCAACGTCAACTGCGGCCGCACGCTCTACGGCGTCGGCGCACGTGGCGCGCTCTTCTCCCGCTCATCCACCACGACGTCCGAACACGAGGACAACGACCTGGGACTCTGCGGAGCGTGCTTCGCGCCTCTGTACTCGAGCGTCTACGACCCCGAAGGAAAAGCCATGCGCCGACGCATCGAGCGGCGCTACCTCCTCCAGCTCAACACGGGCTGCGGCAAGTCGTGGTGCGCCAACGAGTGGTGCAAGACGCACCGGGCCAACGCGGGGTTGGAGCCTCTGGGCGCCAGCATGAAGGCCGCGCTGCCCCTTGTCAAGCCCCTGGTCGAGTCGGTGCCCGATCCCGCCGCTCCGATGTATTTCTGCGTCGACGAGACGAGCGCGGTGAACAAGATTGTCGCGACGGAGCTGGCTAGGGAGGGAAGGTATGAGCTGGGATGGTGCGTTGCGGCGTGCGAGGCGACAAAGGGGGAAATGGGGAGGGCGAGGGAGTGGTTGGAGTTATGGGCTAATGCGAAGGCGTGATGGGATCATGGATTGACCCTAGATTCGTTTTGGGGACCGGGGAGTTTTTCCTTTTTTGGCGTATTCAATAGATTGGGGGTGTGGGTGGGTTGTATGTGTTTTTGGGAATGGGACGATTTAGATGTGGCTTAGATTTGGTTTTATAGATCCGCGATACATGGACCCCTTGCATAGGGTAGTTGGGCAGCATCTTCAGATTTTAGATGACGTCTTTCGAATCTACGAGATTAACGAGTTGACTTTTGTTTCCGGGCAGGCGGGTGTGCTGGGGTCGTCATTGGGTTACTTCGGAGGGTTGATGACGAGCGTGTCAATATCCTGGGGAGGTGACGTGGCTCATGATCTCATTAAACTGAGCACTGACATCTCGGCCTTCGTCACTCGAGCTTTGAAGGTTGAAGGTCGTAGTACGGAGACAGTCTTAGTTTCGAGCACAGAAAGGAAAAGGGAGGAAAAAAAAAAAAAAAAAAAAAAAAAAAAAAAGGAGAGAGAGAGAAGTAAAAAATAGAGAAAAAAGCATAAGACATTTTGAGTTAAAATAAATTTAGTACAGCAGCAAAATTAGAAGCTCTCTCAAGCTATTCTCTCCCTTCCTTACGTTCTCTTCCTCGCCCCCAAAGGCCCCAGCCTTTCAATCGTCTCCCTAACCTCCGCCTCCCTATCCGGGACCTCCAACCTCCCATACTCATCCATGACATCGAGCTTCAAAGTCAAATACCTCACAGCGTCATCCTCCTCCCCCAGAACCCAGTGCACCGTCATGAGGGCCTCATAGGGATCCGCCAGCAACGAAGGCATGTCCTCCTTCTTGATGGTCTCGACGAGCTCCCTGAGGTGAGAGATGCCAATGTCGAGGTCGTGGGCCGTGATGGCTTTGGTGGCGGCGTTGCGGAAGTAGTGGATTTTGGCGCGGGCCGCGTCGGAGGTGGAGATGCGCGTCGGGGAGGTGCAGAGGGCGCACTTGCAGGTGAAGCCCCAGTTTGATTTGAGGCGGTTTTGGCGGCCTTTATGAGTGTCGAGAGGGTTGATATCTGGGATTGTGTGAGCCTGAGAGGGAACATGGGGTAGAGAGGAGAGGAGGGGAGGCCAAAGGGGACGTTACAGCTTATGGTGATTTCTTCACCTGGTTGGATGTCGTGGAAGGCGGCGATGCCGACTGTGAGGCCGTGGGATGAGTAGCGGAGGAAAGAGCTTCTCGAGTTAGAGAGTTGCAGCTGAAAGGTGACATTCTCTAGGTGACGGCATACTTACTTTGGTTTACAGGAATGGTTTATTCGCTGGAAGCAGTGTCCTTGAGTTAGCGCCTATCTCGTGTTATCCCCCACAAAAAAAAAGAGGAAGAGACACTCCTAGCACATACGGAGACGATGGGGTATAAGACATGATGCTGGTCGTCCCCATCCCCATACTCCCTCGTAAACACATTCGTCTGCACCACATCCTCAAGCAAATCCTTCGAAAGCCCACTCCTCGCCAGCGCCCTCACGGCCCTCGGTCCGGGTTCAACAAGCCTATCGACGGCCTCCTTCAGCAGTCCCACACGTTCCTTATCCGTCGTGGCCCTAGGATAGCCCGCGTGCAGGACGAGCGAGGCGTAGTCCACGAGGAAGGTGTCGCCGGCGGATATGCGGCGGGTAGCGACTACGCCGTAGCCTTTTCCGGGGATGCGGGCGATCTCGCAGGGTAAGGGGAAGAGATTGGGCTTGCGGACGGTGGGGTGGGAGGGGAATGGGGAGTCATAGAGGGAATGGAGGAGGGGGGAGAGAGTGGCGGCGAGGAAGGGAGTGGTGATGAGGCTGAGGCCGTGGTGGCCGATGTGGCTGGAGGTGAAGATGCAGTAGGTCTCGGGCGTGCGTTGGTCGGTACATATGGGCGGATGGGTGAAGGGAGAGAAGAGATGAGGCGGGGAGCTGTTGCTAGTGATGGGTGGGCATGAGATGTGTGAGGGGGGAGGGAGTATGAGTGTGGAGGTGTCCTTTGGCGGGCAAGTGTCTGATATCGCGGTGTTAATGTTGAAGCTGGCGTTGGCGTCGGCGTTGGCGGAGGAAGCACTCGCCAAGGCGAGACATGTCAGGGACGCGATGCCAATGGGCGAGGTTAAATGGTTTGGAGGCCGCATGCTGCAGCTACGATTGAGTGGTAGAGTCGACGAATCGCATCAAATGGACAGACAATTGACGAGACGGAGATGTACAACTGCCTCTACCTGTGTACCGTCTTCAAGATGGCCTGAGGCGAGTTGAGATGAGCTGAGATGAGATGAGGCTATCATCACCCTCGATAAGATCTACACTTGGTCAGACATGTGAGGCGCGGATTGCTTTCGGATGAATTAATTTTGAAATTAACGGAAAGAATTAATTCGATTAACCCCCTGCGGCGAAGGCTCGGCACGCACAGCCCAGCACGGGCGGGCAGAATGTGCCGATCGATCGTGAATGATCCTTCCAATAGCCCAATCGAGCAGTTGAGCGTTAAAACAAATTTGATCTCTTCGGTAAAGATGGACTCGAGATACACCCGTGCTCCGTAGCAGTCGGCCTAATACCTCAAGATCTCCGAATGGCAGCCTCGTTCGAAGAATCGATTTTCAGCCACCTCACTGGCGGTGAGCATTCTTGTGATGCCTTATTGTCAGTCAGTCCACACTCCGCAGTCCACGCTTCATACCCTTGTTCTTGTCATTGTCTGTCCTTGTCCTGGTCTCGGACCCTGGCTTCCAGCATCTGGACTCGGACACGGATGCAGGTAATAAATGATCAAGTCCGCGAGACTTAATAAAACCTGCAGTCGATCTCCTGGGGTTTGCCGAGACACCTTCTCCCGACTTTTTAGGCTTGACGCTTTAACACCTGGGCGACGAGCTCCAGAGCTACTGAACAACACACGCTACCTTCTCCTCAGCCGGTGGTTCCCCGGTCCAATGGGAACGCTGCTTATCTTGACTTTAATCTTTTCAGCTTGCTTCAGCAAGCGCGCAACATATCGCACTAGTCTAATTTTACACTAGGACTGCGCAGTTTCTTAAGTTTACCTTTTACACTTGTAGATCTATTGATGGGCGGTGTCTCTCTTGGTGACTTGGCTTGGGGGCTTGAGGGGGTCGATCGTCTCGTCTCGTCCGTCCCTGGCTCTCTGACCGCCTCTATGGCCTCGTCAACCATACGATGTACAAGTACGATGTGTTGTCCAGACGAAGGGGCTCGAAAGGTTTGGAACGAACGAAGTACACTCGCGCTAGATGCGATTTAAGGTTGCGTGTTCGAGCTTGATGCAGGTCTCTTAACTTGATCGGCCTTGACGTGTGCTGCTTCATGCTTGATGAAAGTTGCTACGAAACCCGTTTTTCTCCAACATGATGCAATCAATTTGATATCACATTTTCGTCCTCGATTATTTCTTCAAGATGGGATCTACGTCGTCTGTTTGTTTTTAATTTCATGTATTTTTAGTTATATTTATTTGCTGGTTTATTTTTCTTCCTCCATCCATCTCGACGATGCCCGACCAACGAGATCCTGCGACTCCAGCATCTCCACCTCAACCTCCACCTCAACCACGCCCTCCAACTCTCCTCCACGCCCCGGAAAACGATACCAGGAATCCAGATGCACCCACCACCAGCTCCATCACCTCTCAAGCCCGCCCAAACCCAGATCTCCTTACCGCACCACAACCTTCCCATCTCCGACCCAATGCCCAAACCCACGATAACCGCGCCTATGCCCCCTCCATCTCAGCTCTCTCCGATACCTTCTCCCTCGCCACGACATACACCGCCAACTCCCAACAACCGCAACTGCCCCCCAGAGACGTAACACCACATCCTCTAGTAGACTTGACATCCTCACATGGCCTCGGGAGAACAGGTACGAGGGGATCTCAAGTCGACGATGACCAGACGATAATAAACCAAGAGGCAACGGGGAGGTGGGCCAGAGGAAGAATGAGAATGGGTAGGCTGAGGACAAATAGGCCAATAGAGACGCGTAAGAAGTGGACTAAAGTCTTTCGCATCATCTTATACGTCATCTTGGCTCTTTGGCTCGCCTCGATGTGCCTAGGCTGGGCAGGACCTTGGCTTTCAGACGTGAAGTAAGAACAGAACATATCACTCTCTTCGATCCATGATGAGTACGGCTCCCCTCGTTAACACACATTCTCAAAATAGTTTCGTTGCAACGCTATCGTTGGGTCTGGGAGCTGCAGCATGCGAATGCATCGTCCTGTTTAGGCTGAGAAGATGCATCAAACGTCGCGAGCTGGAGCTTCCAAGTGCCTTGGCTTTCCTCATACTCGCATTCGCCACGACCGTCGCCTTCTTCGCTATTGCGATCCTCCATACTACCTTGCCGGAAACGGTGCCGGTTGTCATCTATGTACAAGCCTCTCTGCAGCTTGCACTCTTGTAAGTGAACAGTTCTTTATCTCTGTCTTCCCGTAAACGTGTTCTCTCTTCCATAGCAAGAGGCCACTGTTCAATTACCCGGCGCGCAATTGCAATCAGTTCATTCCCCTCGGTAAGGGCCCTCATCAAGGTTACCCTTGTGGTGTGGCTTTCTTTATTCCCCCTCATGCTTCTCTCCTCCATATTTCGCCTCATTGCCCATTACCACCTTACCTCACTTCCTCATTCAAGCCCACGCGATACGTAGGAACTAATGAAAACAACGCTTCACGCGCCATTGGAGCAAATAAATAGCATACTTGCGGGCGCCTCACTGCTTGCTGTTCTCCTAGGCTACGTCTCGATAGACCTGGCTTGAAAGGACCTCCTCGTACCCTCAGTAGATGGGATAACTTCAAACTTTACGTTCGCCGTGGAGATGTAATCTGGATTTTCCATGCTATCCTCCTTCTCAGTTCTCGCACTCTTTCCTTTCTCGTTCCTTCTACAGAGTGTCGAAGAGTGGAAAGATGTGGTGGGACCACGGATGTGAGACGGCCGCAGCAAGTAAGTAGATCGCGAGAACGGGGAGCGTGGCGGAGATGGAGCAACCGTTGACAGAGGCCGTAGATTTAGCTTCGTGAGACCGAGTATAGGTCCCGGTGAGCCTTGCGAGCACTGTCGGCTCCTCCTAGACTTGGCTTGTCAATGAAGCTCTGAACAGAACTAGAAATACCGCGGGGTTTCTCGGGTCCGTCCTTTGTGCATCCTCAAGGCTCTGTTCAGGTCTCGTCCCTGCCTGGCCCTGGTCTCGCTAGATTTCGCCTCATGAACCAACACTACCATCCCGATAAATCCTGCCTTCTCGACCGAGGGTCGAAAAAGCGACCTGCCTCTCTTAGAAAGAAGCCAAGAACTTCGACATCCGTCTTTCCGTCCTTTGGTGGATTCGGCCGAATTGGCAGGAAATTGAACACAGCTTGGCGCGCAATTTCCCGCTGTGGCTCGTGACTGGAGACTCGCGACTCGCGCAGGATTGAGCAGCGTTTGCGGGCCTGGGGAAAGGGCCTCAGAATTTCATAGTCGAGAGTCAAAAGGCCTATTTTATTTTCTCCTCTCTTTCCCCGGACTCGTGGTTTGGCTGTTTCGAAAAGATCAATCAATCCATCAAATCTCCACCATCGATTATCCGCACTAGTCCACGAGCCATGTCCCTGCTCCTGGGCCTAGCACGCAAATTCGGCGCTGTGGCGCTCCTCAGCGCGCTGGCGGCCACTAGCGCAGTGGCTGAGGACGTCCCGCATTTCGAGGTCGACTTCATTTTCCCACGCAACGGACCCTACAAGACCTCCGACGTGTTCCCCATCGCCCTTGCCGTCCAAAACCTTTCGGCAGCGCGCACCTTCGCTACCGACGGCGTCATCAGATGGGGTATTCAGCCTCTCCGCGACGGTCATACTGCCACGGGCGTGTGGGTTGATGAGGGCGAGTTTGAATTGACCGACATCCCCGAAACGAACGAGGAAAACAAGGGCATCTCCATTTTCGTCGCCAATTCGAACGTCACCAGCTGGATCGATAGGAAGTTTAACGACCCGCAGGAACAGTACATGCTTCAATGGCACCTAACAGTATACAAAATGACTGAGCGGTGCGACCCGATACCATACATGCATGGGGCCGTCAAGTTTTCCATCGAGGCGCCCTGGGAGGCGGAGAAGGACTCCGATGAATGGGACTGGCCGGAGGCCGGACTGGGAGTCGTTCCGGATGTTATGGATGTACCGGAATGCCCACTCCAAGGGTATATAGCGGAGATACGGCCGAACTCGACGGTTCCTGGTTGTCCTGTTGTGGTGGACTTCGACTTGGATTGGAAAGCCAACCCATGCGCAGTCAACCTTGATGAGAATACAAAGAAGGGTGTTGCTAGCCAGGCCTCTAGCTTTGCTACGGCATCTGCTACTCCTTCTCCTACGGAACAAGCCGACCAGCCCAAGGAATCGGACAATGCCGCCCGCGGCCTGGGCGCTCCTCTCGGGCTCGCGTTGGTGGCTGCCTGGGCCGCCGGTGGGTTAGAGTTTGCATTTTAACGGCGAAAATGCTATGCATGGCCGAGATTGGCGAGATGGATTCCTTCCCTCTTTCCTCTCATCTCCTCTTCCATACGGGTTGCATACATCACACGTCCGCAATTTTTTTTTTTCTCTTTCTCTATACTTCTTTCGATATATATTTTGTATACCTCGGTATAATTAGCATATATAAGGTGTTGGGGGTAACGTTTACAGCGATCAATTGTTTACGCAATTTCACGCCAACATTCCTGTCACTACCATGTCCTCCCCTCGAGGCTCCCAAGTGCTGGCGGACCTGGACCGTCGTGAAGTGTCGTCCAAGCTCTAATCAGGGTATGCATACACCCATTGTAGCCTTTTGGAGGATTCCTTAATCTTAGTGGGACGGCAGCATCAAGGCAGAGTCATGAAATGTATTGGGATATGTAAAAAAGGCAGGTCAATCGTTGCTTGATTTCGGGTTTCTGTATCCCTCAGGGTGGAGCAGCCTACCGTAGCCTTCGGGTTTCAGTGACCATGATGAAGGAGAATCTGAGTCAGAAGAGGCTCTGGTCAGTTCGATGGAGAGATGGGTCGCGACGCGGTGTTGGCGAAAGCCAGCACTGATAGCTCGGGAAACCGACCACAGAGACGGGTCCAAGCAGAACTCTACATTCTTATGCCGGACTTCCGTCATAGGTGCTAATATCTGACCGCGGGTCAGATGAGAAATACTCGATGGTGCCCCGGTTCCATGAATCTTGCAGTAGCATGGGGCGTAAACATGAACATGAGATACAGTTGAGCTTGCTCGCCTGGGATGGTCGCTCTGATCCTGTCAGTCCCTTAGCTTTGGGAAAAGAATGCTGGCTCTCTTTTGCTCACGTTTCTCCCTCCTTAGATTAAGAACAAGACCGCCTAAGAAATCATCTCCGTTATTGGAGCACTGCAACTGAGGACGTGGATTGACCAGAACCCGATGCTGGGGTGCACATTCTTTACTGTCTGCGGACTCGCGGAATCGGCCGGCACCTACTTCGTCCATCTACAATACCCTGCCTGTGCTATGGACGAAGTCGTCTTTGGGATTCGGTGATAGATGCAAATCCCCATCGAAAATATCTATAGCATTTTCCAGAATTTCCCAGCGTCGTATCCCACAATGTCGCTGAAGCATCCGGATAAAAAGGGAAAAAGGAAAACGTCCAAAGCATGCAAAGAAAGGCGGGGGATCAGGTGCGTTAATCCATGTCAAACGTCGGAACAGAGGTCATCGTCTTCTCTGGGGCTCATCATCATCCTATCGCTGCCTGTTTTGGTCTCAGTCATTTACCAACCACAGACCTCCGCCGCCATGTCTTCATCCGAGCGGGGGTCTCCGCCCTCCCCTGAAATCTAAAAGACCCGGCTTCCAGGGTCGCAGTACGCGATGTTTCCCTTCTTCATTTATGCTAAAGTCGAAATGGAAGCCTGGGAGAAGAACCATTCTACCACACCCGCATTCCTCACTCAGCTTGCATCGCCTGCGTATGCTTCATACGCGCACATCCAATGACTTGGAACTTCTTCTTCGCGGCTCAATGGCAGACGACTTGCCCACACCTCCTCCTAAGAAAAGGGAAAAACAAGAGTGGTATATTACCTTCATGCGATAACCCGAGATGAGAAAAAGCCGACGTGGAAAATCCTAAGCCACCTCTCTAAGAACCCGGTTTGGCGTGCAAGAGGAACCCATCTCGCACCCCTGTCTAGCTTTGGGCACGCCCTCGGGCACTGCACTAGACTTTTTTGATGTTAAACTGCAGAAGCTACTGTGAACGCACTTACACACCCACTCGCTTCGACATCACGATCCTCGACGTGTGTTCTCCCGAATAGGGTATCACCAAGGCGCGCAAATCCACGAGTCGTAGATCTTTTCTGTATTAACGTGACATCTTGTAGACCTGCGAGACTTGACTTTTGGACTTAGTTTGCTCACCCTTGGCGAAACTCCCCTCTTCTCCCCCCTCATGCGACCCTGGCCTTTCCCAAACAAAATGTAAAATTATGTTTCTATGGAGCTGGGTGAGAAACCATCATGGACCCCGGACTATAAAGATGTCAAGGATTCCCCAGAGTCGTTTTCTAGTTTCCGCTTCCTGCCAGGACTTCCACAAGCCCCAGTCTTCTCCCTATTCTTGACTCCAAGATTCTTAGAGAAACTTGAAATTACCCTACCCCCAGGAAAGAAGAATTTGCCCAGATCATGGTCTCCTTCACTACCCTCCTCACCGCCGCCACGGCGCTGCTCGGCACCGCACTTGCCGCGCCCGGCGAGCTCATGCGCCGACAGTCCACCCCCAGCTCGACCGGCTTCCACGACGGATACTATTACTCGTGGTGGACCGACGGTGGCTCTCAGGTCACTTATACAAATGAGGCTGGTGGCCGATACAGCGTCCGTTGGTCGTCCGGCGGAAACTTTGTCGGTGGCAAGGGCTGGAACCCCGGTGGTCCCAAGTAGGTCCTCTCTCTATCCTTCCTTCTTTTTACCCTTGTCGGCGCGTTATGTGAGACTGAAGACGAGCTTGAACCTACCCACTAACACCGTAAACCATTCAAGGACCATCACCTACTCCGGCACTTACAGCCCCAACGGCAACAGCTACCTCGCCGTCTACGGCTGGACCACCAACCCCCTCATAGAGTACTACATCGTCGAGTCCTACGGCACCTACAACCCTGCCACGGGCGCCACCCGCATGGGCTCCGTCACCTCCGACGGCGGCACCTACGACATCTACGTCTCCACCCGCACCAACGCCCCCTCCATCGAGGGCACCCGCACCTTCAAGCAGTACTGGTCCATCCGTACCTCCAAGCGCGTCGGCGGCACCGTCACAACGGGGAACCATTTTAACGCCTGGGCCCAGGTCGGGCTTAACCTCGGTACTCACAATTACATGATTGTTGCGACCGAGGGTTACTTTAGCAGTGGTTCGGCGACCATTACTGTCGGTTCGTCCAGCAGCGGCGGCGGCAATACTGGAGGTGGCAACACCGGCGGTGGTAACACTGGCGGAGGCTCCAGCGTAAGACTTTCCATCACATTCCTCTGCTGCCTCCTTTGTTTCTTCCTATCTTAGAGCGGTGCCGGTCCTTTTCTATAAGAAATCAAAAGCGAGACTGACATTTGAGATTCATAGTGCGCTGCCATGTGGGGACAATGCGGTGGCCAAGGCTGGACTGGCCCTACCTGCTGCCAGTCAGGCACTTGCAAGGCCTCCAACCAGTGGTATTCTCAGTGCCTTTAAGCCCACACGACAAACACTGAACCAGTCCCGGCCAGCGAGGCGTCAGTCTGCATCTACGCGGAAGGTCGGCAACTGGCCTGGAAGGAGGGATTCCCATCGGCATAGGGACTATGGGCAACGACTAAACCTTTCCTGGGAAGACTTGGCCATCTCGTCAATGGCATTCTGCTTCTGTACATATTTGATTCGTACATATTGACTCTTCTAGTAAATATCAAGAGATTGCACATGCCACTGTTTTCATGACCTACTGTAGGGGGAAAAAAAAAAGAGGCTACTTACGTGCACGTCAGTTCCATTTGGCTAGTACCATTAAACCCAAGTGACCGATGTGGCGGTCGTTATGTGGAATGTCTGGAATTGCCCGAGCTGGAACCGGTGTGCCCACCTCGCCCGGTCATCGGCCTAGAGTAAATGATAGTATCACTAAGGATTCTACGAGCAAAGCCTTATCAATGTCTTCAGTCGTTTATTTCGATCCGGCTGCAGATGATGCACTCTACGCAAAACCATTCCTTTCTCTTTTGATATTCCACATAAACCCCCTCACAACCTCGCGAGTCTCAACATGAGAGTCAAATCGCCGATGACCTGCTCCTCCTCCAAGATGAGCGACTCCACCTCCAGAGTCTCGACGACTGGCTCCAGCGGTCCGCGCACCGTACTCCTGAACAACTCCTGGCGAGACGACACCAAGATGGTAAAGTCGAGGTCGTCCGTCTTAGCCACGACCTTGTACTGCATGCGGATGTCGTCCGTGGGCACCAAGCCGGCCTTCTTCCTCATCTTCTGGATTCTGTTGATGATCTCACGCGCGATACCTTCCTCGGCGAGCTCGGGGTGCGGCACGGTATCGAGAAGGACAATAACATCCTCAGAAAAGGCAGGCTCCCACTTGGCTCCGTCGCTGGACTGCACCGCCGAGTCGCCGAGCACACGGACGATGTTGAGATCGTTCTCCTCGAGCTGGATACCTCCGACAACGATGGTCTTCTCCTTGAGGTACTGCCTCAGCTGGTCTTGCGTAAGGTCGGGCAGTCCCTTTCGGACAATCTGAACGTCCTTCTTCAATTTCTTTCCGAGAGTGGGCCAATCGACCTTGGCCTCGAGGACAATGTTGTATTGCGTTTCGTCGTTCGTGAGGATGATGTTGCGAATGTTCAACTCCTCCTTGACGTAGGAGCTCAATGACTCCACATCTTCAAGGATCTCGGGGTCGGCAATAACAACAAGGGAGAGAAGGGGAGTCTTGAGAGGGAGAGTGCATCGCTCTCGGACTGTTCGGCCAAGCTGGATGACCTTTTGCATCGCAGCCACCTTCCTCTCGACAACCTCATCGAATAGCGCCTCTTGGACGGTGGGGAAGGGAAGGAAGTGTACACTGCGGGGATCCTTGAAGGGCTCGAGAAGGAGCTTGAGCTGAGGCTTGAGAAGGCTGTAGATGTGTTCGGTCAAGAAGGGCGCGAACGGCGCCAGGGCTCGGACGATGGTGAAAAGAACTTCGAGCAAGGTGTTAAGAGCAGCCTCGGTGTCCTCAATACCGAGGCCAGCGCCGCCCTTTAGCCTCTTGCGGTTGAATCGAATGTACCAATTTGTAAGGTCGTCAATGATGTGGAGCAGTCTGGGGACCACGGTATAAAGTCGGTAACCTTTGACGAAAAAAAAAAAGAGAGCATCGGTTAGAAAAAAGTCACAATGACGCTAGAATTCACTTGGAATAAGGCAAACTTACCTGCCATCTCCTGGTCCATGAAGCGTAGCAAGCTCTGGCAGTTGGCGAGAATCCACCTATCCATGACATTGCCCAATTGGTCGCCGGATAGGGACTTCGCGCCCACAAACTCCACTCCCGTAGTCTTCTTGTAAAGCGCCGCCTGCTCGGAGAAGAAGCGGTAACTGTTCCAAAGAGGCAGGAGGACACGCGACACAATCTCCTTGACGCCGGACTCCTTGAATCGGATAGACTCCGCTCGCACCACAGGTGAGTTGATCAGGTACAGCCTCAAGGCATCAGATCCGTACTGCGAGAGGATGAGCGCGGGATCAGGGTAATTCTTGAGACGCTTCGACATCTTCTTTCCATCCTCGGCAAGAACGATACCGTTCACGATACAGTTCTTGAAGGGCGATACGTGGAAGAGCTTGTTGCCGAGAACTGTTAGGGTGTAGAACCAACCTCGGGTCTGGTCGAGACCCTCGGCGATGAAGTCAGCGGGGAAGAGGCCGCCTTGAAAGTTATCCTTGTTCTCGAAGGGGTAGTGGCATTGGGCATAAGGCATGCTTCCCGACTCGAACCTGTATCAAAAAAGTAAGCGAAAAAAATCTCCAAAAATGCTACAAGGCAACAAGACTTACCAACAATCGAAAATCTCTTCTACTCTCCTGAGTACACCCTTGCCCTTCTTGGATGGGATGGTGATGTGGTCAACTTTGTCTCGGTGGATGTCGTCCAAGGGTCCCTCGTAGCCACTCAGCTCCTTCAGTTCGGCAATGCTGCCGACGCAGACAACTTCCTCGTAGTCCTCGCTAACCCAGAGGGGGATGGGTGTTCCCCAGTAACGATTTCGAGACACGTTCCAGTCGTGGGCGTTAGCGACCCAGTTGGCGAACCGCTTCTCCTTGACGGCTGTAGGTACCCAGTTGGTTCCCTCGAGGTTCTCGAGCATCTCCGGAATGGAGTCGGTTACCCGGATAAACCAGGACGACACGGCCTTTCGGATAAGCTGAGTGTCGGATCTCCAGCAGAACTTGTCCGTGTGCATCGTGGTGCTGTCGACGATAAGACGACCAGTCGCCCTGAGGTCCTTTAGAATGGCCTTGTCGGCAACCTTGACATGTTGACCAGCGTACTCTGGAATTTCCTGGGTGAATTGGCCCTTCTCGTCGACCGGGCAGGGAGGAAGCCTTTTAGAGTGGATGAAGCCGGCGGCAATAGCGGCGTCGTAATCCTCCTGACCGAATGCGGGGGCTTGGTGAACGAGACCAGTACCCTCACCAGCCTCTACGTAGTCGGCACCAATAACCTGGAAACAGTCGGAGAAGTCCTTGACGAAGTACTTGAACAGCGGCTCGTATTTCCAGCCAATGATATCCGTACCCTTGAGCTTCTTGAGGACCTTGTACTTCGCCTTCTTGGGGTTCTTATAAATGGAGCCGAGGCCGGACTCCATGAGGACATATTTCCTGCCGGAAGCCTCGTCAAGGATGACAATGTACTCGAATTCGGGATGCGCGGCAATGAGGAGATTAGACGGCAATGTCCAGGGGGTGGTGGTGTAGATGAGGAGAGAGGTATCCTCCATGCCCTCGACGCCCACGATGGGGAAGGAGACGATGATGGCGGGGTCCTGGGTCATCTTTTCGTTCTGCTTCGCTTCCATCTGGCTGAGAGGCGTGCAGAGGGCGGTCGAGTAGGGCATGATCTGGTAGGCGCGGTATACGTGGTCCTTGTCGAACAATTGCTTGAAGACCCACCAACAGGTCTCCATGAACGTTGTGTCCATCGACTGCGAAAATAAAAGAGATCAGTGCCGCAGTTCTTCCTCAAGTGTGCGAACCTAGCTACCAGAAAGGGAGAACCATACCTTGTAATCATTGTCAAAGTCGATCCAGCGGCCCAACCGCTCGATAGTATGCCTCCATTCCGTCGCGTATCTCATGACGATGGCCCTGCACTCGGCGTTGTACTTTTCGATGCCCATTTGCATGACGGCGTCCCTGCCGGAGATGCCCAACTTCTTGTCAATCTCGTACTCAATTGGCAAGCCATGGGTGTCCCATCCAAAGCGTCGGATGACATGGTAACCCTTCATGGACCAGTATCGAGGAATGATGTCTTTGATGGTCGAGGCGAGAAGATGGCCATAGTGGGGAAGACCTGCGCATGTGCGTTAGAACCTGGAGAGTTGTCGGGAAGGGAAAGGGGTCCAGAAATACCGGTAGCTGTAAGAAAAGAAGGTTAGCATATCAAGAACAGGCAAACAGTCAGTCAATGACTCAAGGGATCGAGAGCTGGGTGGTGGGTTCACGACATACCGAAAGGCGGCCCATCGTAGAAAGTGAAGCGGGGTCCATCTTCAGTTAGGCGAAGTTGGGTCTGGAAGGCGTCGACGTCCCTCCAGAACTGGATGACCTCCTCCTCGGTCTTTGGGAAACTGATGCTCATGGTGACTATGGCTCCCAAAATCGAGCTGTTGGGAGGGGCCGCCGTGGTCGAGGTTCTAGGATATATTGTCGCGTCGAAGTTAAGGTGAGTCAGACCTCTTGAGACTCTTGTTACGAAGTACTTGTCGCCGCTTGTCGCATCAATTGCAGTGGCACATTCTCGGTTTGAAATTTTCCCGGTCCACATGGAGGGGTAAAAAGTGACTTCTGGACATTGAAGTTGGCGGGGTCCGATACAAGGTACAATGTACTTCGTACATACCATACTCAATCGGCCTGCCAGCAGTTGAATGCAACATTTGTGGAGGGGCGGATTAATAAGGAGCAGCGTTCCTGAATCACCACTTGCTCCCATTCGGTACCAATTGTACGCATATTCTGGCCTGGTCAACTTCCTTGGGCATTTCATCGTGGCAACTTGGACGATGATACTTCGTACATCAATTAATCTTGATCCTAGGCATAAATGGGTCTTATGATTGCTGCTTGTCTAGGTACTCGTCGAGTACATATTGAGACAGGGTACTCGAGACTATGGACTGAGTCACCGGTCAATACATCTTGGATAACGCCTACATCTCCCTTTTGATGTCTGGCTGCTAAACTCGGGTGACGCTGCTAAGGCGTAGTACTCACTACCTACTACCTATGAAGAGCTCGGCCATCCCAACCCTCAATTCATTCCCGTATTAGTCTGTGGTGGGCCCATTGTGATCTCTCGTCCTAGTATGTTCATTGATAACGCAATGAGCACCTCGACCGCAGGCGGAAGAGAGAAGAAGCGAACAACGACATGAGCCGTCCCAGGACAGCGTCGAGGCGTGTGCATCCATGTTACTCGAGGATGTGTAGACCGGCCGAAGCATATGGGAAGATAATGTTGAATGTTGTCTATGTAGTACTGGACACAGCTTGAACGACTTGAGCCGCTGTCAGGGAAGGTACCGTCCACGTCTGCCACTCCTTCCTTCCCTATTAACCCTCAGATCGAATTGAACCGGAGATGAGGTTATCAGGGAAATCGCGGCCCTGAGATATCGCTCCGTATGACTGGGAGCCACTGGCCAAGTGGTAACTGAGATAACGGGCTGTGGCGCCTCGGGCGAGATTGGCTTGGTCGTGCTTGTTCGATTCACCTTCTAGACTCCCCCTTTTTCCTATAACTTCTAGTTATAGTCGACGGAGCTGGGAACTCTTCCGAAAAGGTTAAGACTCAACAAGTAACTGCTGAGAATCAACCCCGAGGGGCTTCAATTTTTTTTCCCCTATTCCTATTCCTATTTATTGCCTTTTCAGATCGTATTCCCTCTTCTTGTAGCACTCTTAACAGCATCATCCATGTTTGGATGCAGACAGTGCTTCCTTGGATCACGATTGAAATGGATTAAGAGATCATTAACCAACGTCTTGGTTACCTGGAAGCTTTTATCTACCACCCTTCTCGCCTCGTCGTGCCGTTATCTGGATTCCATTCATGGATGTCTCAACTGCTCAAGACTCTAGGCTCCAGAGACCTGTACACTTAAATTTAAGCAAGTCCTTCTCGACAATCTCGTCCTCCATCTCCAAAAGCCTTGGGAGATCCCACCGACAGCTCAGCCATCGGCCCCCGAGAAACTCTCTCCGCTTACTTGTCAGGAAAGGAATGGAATGCGCCGCTAATTCCGGCGTGTCTCCCAAGCGGACTGTCCTCACCATCAGCCATCCGATACAAGCTCACATAAACCACTTCAAAGAGGAATATGACAACTTACACCTGAACTTTTCTGGTAGGCGTGCCGATAGATCCGTTGGCGTGCCACAAGGGTGCAGAGAGTATGCAAGCACGCCCTAGCCGAACTGGTCATCAGTCCTCAGGCTCGGTGAATGACTCACAAAACACAATACATTGATGGAGGGAGGGGGGCGATTCGCTCACCTGGCTCGCGTATTCCTCTTGAACAAACTCGGTGAATCGCGCCAGCGCAAACTTGGAAACATGGTACGCCCCTCCCCCGACGCCAGCAAAGTGTGCCGCCACGCTCGACAGGTTAACAACCGTCTTGTCGCCGCCTTTAAGCATGAGCGGCAAAAAAGCCTTCGTCGTCCGGAAGACACCCCAGTAGTTCACATCCCAGGCGCGCATGTATTCCTCGTCATCCACGTCTAGTAGGGATGCAAACTCCGCCATGTATCCGGCGTTGTTGACGAGGATATCCAGGCGACCCCACGCCTCTTCTATCTTCTTAGCAGCGACCTGGATACTGGCCTTGTCGCAGACGTCCATCTCCAGGATTAGCACGGTGGGTTCGGCTCTGCCAGCTGCTTTAGCTGCTTCTAGCACCGCAGTTGCCGTCGCTGAAGCGGATGACCGCGCGGCTAGGGCGATGTGAGATGCACCGGCTTGAGCATAGCCGATGGCAATGTGGGACCCGATGCCCTTGCTTGCGCCGGTTATGAGCACCGCCTTTCCCGTGCAATCGGATTTAGTGACGGGATCGATTTCCGGATAAGTATCATGGTGAACGATGCCAGTGAAGTGGTCGACTGGGCGCAAGGTGGGGTTAGTTTTGATGGCGATGAGAGTGGGGAAGGTTGGGAATGCAGTTTCGGGCGGTTTCTGCTGGCACGATTGTGTCAAAATCCCGAGCTCTCTTACTTTTTTGAGGGGGCATCCCCTTGGCCTTTTTCTCCTGTATAAGGGTCATTGTTAAGTTCGATTGTGTTTTGGTATGTAGAGCATGTCGAATGCGGATTGCAAGGGAAGTCGGTGGATGATCGGCGATATGGAAGCTTATTTGTGTTCCGCCTCGTCCGGACATTCCCCAACCGAGCGACAATGGAGCAACACGGCCGAGGCCCGCCCAGTACGCCACAAGTTTTGGGCAAACACAAATGCGGATTGGGATATTTGAAGCTTGTAGAATACCAAAAACGAGTGTGCATAGTTTGGTCCATGGGAAAGCTCTTCCGCCCAACAAACTTAGGTTCTTGGTGCACAAGAAGAGTCCAAAAGCAGGAGTGATCTCGAGAAGAGATGAAAGAGCATTACCTCGACCGCCAAAACAATTTCCTTTTAAAGAAGTGGAATCGTCAGGCGAAGAAACGATGAAAAGGAAATTTTTTGTTGTCGAATTAACCAATCTATGAATCCAACCTGGTGAAAATATGAAGATATAAGACTACAAAGGCTCCAAAGTACAGCAGTTCGAAACCTATTCCTAGTATACGAATCATATATAAAATCCAGGGGATCAGTCCGAACAATAAGAAACAGGAAAATAGGAGAAGGCGAGGGAGGAATTCAGTGCCAGTAGATGCACTTATAAAGTTCCATCCTGATGTCACTCCGCTACCGGGGTAGTGTCGGTCGTAGTCGCAGCTTCTTTAGCCTTAATCGCTTCCGTAAACTCGGGATCCTCGAAAGGAACAGCACCCATATTCCTCCAGGCTTGGGCAGACATGAGAGCGGGATCCTTCTCCTTAGCGTAGAAGGCGATCTCCGTCTTGTGGTCACCAAAGTGCGTTACAGAGCGATCCTAGGCACAAGGTTAGCTGTGAACGATGGTCTAAAGGAAGAAAAGGGGAAATGGGCCCTGCATCCACTTACCATGCCCAAAGTCAACTTGATGACTGCGTCGGCCCAAAATGGCGCATAGGTATGCTTCAACTCCTTGCCTTGGGTGGCAAGTACCACGTTGTCGGCGGCAATCATTGCCTTTCTCATCGCCGACCGCGCATTGGGGTTCTTCTCGCCGTGGCCAGCTAGGTCTCCGCAGACGAAGACGTTCGGGAGGGAGTCGTCGTCGATCTGGAGAGTGGGTTTTGTCCTCACGTATCCTCCTTCGGTGATGGTGTCCTTCGAGATGTTGGCGATGATCTGCGAGTTGGGCTTTTGACCTGTGCAATTGACCTGCGCCGTGAGAGAGATTCCGTTAGCGTTTTATCCCTTGACAGCGGAAACAGAAGAAGAAAATAACATACGACATAGTCGTATTCTACCGTCTTGCCAGACTTGAGGGTAGCGACACCAGTGGCTTCATCCTGCCCGATCAACCTATCATTAAGAATAACCTCAATGCCCAAGTCCGTGAGAGCCTTCATCCCCGCAGCCTGCATCTCAGGACCGAACCGATGCAGTACAGAACTTCGAGAGTGAATCAATGTTACACTCTTTTCAGGGTACAGCGACTTGGCATCAGTAGCGAGCTCGACACCGGCAGCTCCGCCGCCGACCACGACGAGCTTCTTGGACGCCTTGATGCGCTGCTGCATCGCCTGCATGAGCTTGACGCCCTTTATCTTTGAGGTCTCGCCCACGCGGGAAGGGAGAGAGTCATCCGCGCCGCTGCCCGTCGCAATAACAAGGTACTCATAGGGGATCACTTCACCGGAGCCAAGCGTCACGGACTCCTTGTCGACGCTCGCGACCTTGCCCTGCACCCACGTCGCGCGCGCACCGTTAAGGTAAGGGCCATAGGGAATAAAGGCCTTATCCTCGTGGTTCTCGACGACACAGAAGCGGGGCAGCACCCATGTAAAGTTGAAGTGGCTATTCGGCTCGATGACGACGACCTCGAAGGGGCTATCGGCCGGGAGGTCGCACGCAATGATGCGCGCAGCGTGATAGCCCGCGAAACCGGCCCCGACGACGACGATGTTGCGTTTCGGAGCCTTGGATTCAACGTCGGCGTCGGCACCGGCAGAAGGCGCGTCGCTGGCGAGCCGGTGAGGTTTGGTGTTGCGGGTGAAGAAGGAGACGTAGACGCGGAGGATGTAGCCGAAGAGCTTGCAAACAAGCACGGCCTTGTTGATTGCTTTCATGTTGAGCAGCGTGGACGGTCCTGTCAAGAGTTCGCTGTCAATGTTACCATCTGTTCGAAGGATTGAGAGATGTTCCGGGGAGCTTTACAACTTTGCACCGCCAAGCAAAGCACACAGGAAACTGCAGTGAGGGTAGGCCGGAAAGGAAAGTCCAGCAGTCTGGTGACTGTCTTTTTTTTTTTTTTTTTCTCTTTCTCTCTTTCTTTTCCAGTCTTTCTCTTTGGGGTGGGGGCCTCCCCGAAACTGAGCATACTTCGATGTTCCTACCCTGGGTCTGCGGAGCTTAGCTCGTGGTCATGGGTAGTGTACTTCGTCGTGTACTTCGTAGCTCTGCACTTGACTATTAGACACTAAAACGAACTTTTCCGTCTTTCTCTTCTTTTCTGCCCCTCTTTTCTGCAGCAATGGTACATTAAACGGAATGGAGGTCTAGTATAGTGTAGCTACAGGGATCCAACACCAATTTACCGACAGCGTACACTAGAAAATATCCATATATTTGGACACTTAAGTACTCGAGATCAAGCCACGGAAGGTGGGGGAAGACTCTGAAATGGAAATGAACGAGAGTCCCGCAGCGGCTTTGGGTACCTTTAAGACCGTTAAAGTCCGTGGTCCGCTCAGCATGAGGTCCTTGTCTGGTCTTTGTCTGTCCCTTGAACCGAAAAATCTTTTGGTGGAAAAGCGGATGATCGAGATGATCTGATAAGATAATTTCCCCTGAAGGAAGGTGGGGTACATGTGGATGTACTATTTCGTACTTCAGTTGATCCATCACGCCAGAAGTCTGGCCCGTCCAGATGCCAATGCAAGGATCCCAATCAATTAGGATTACATCGCGGAACTCTTGGAAAGCGTACGAGCCACGAGGGAATACTGCGAAGTACTGTACCTCGGCACGGAGACACAATACAGTACACTACAGCTCGAGGTTCCCAACCATTCGCGAGCAGTCCTGAAAACCAGGGCGGAATCATTTTGTTGTTGGCGTTGTTCAGCTACTTGTTCGGGGATCGTGTCTCTGTGGAATCGAAGCCACCATTAACCCTAGTGTAGACCGAGACCTAACGGTGCGAAACCCCGCTTGGCCTGCCAAGCACAACCAGACGTAAGAAGAAATGTGGGAGGTGAAAGCGATATCGGCTTCTGACCTTAAGAGCCAAACTCCAATACGAGAAAAAGGCTGGGGGTTCTTCACACCCACCCAAGAGAGTGCGTCCCATCCACTTGTGTCTGCAGGTAATGCATCACCATCGTGATGCACCCTGCAAGTACTCAGTAGATCAAGTCAAAATGTGACAATAATAGTGGTGCACATACTCGAGCTAGTTTCCTTCATTTCGCTGAACCCTGTACTCAGCCAAGAAATGATGCAACACGGAGGAAATGGAGACTCTGAACCGTAAAATCATTATTATCCTGGACAATAAATCCAACTACATACATCAAATGCTGCATTGGTTTCCCTCATGCGTCCCAGGTCCCCTTGCCCTGCCCTGCACCTCGCTGCGCTGCCTTCAAAGCGCAAGAAAAATAAGGAATATTGAAGCCCAGAATGATGGGCCGACAAATCACAAAAGAGACACAGTTATCAATCAGCCACTTCACACCTCCGGAATCCTTCCACCAAATCCGTCCATCTCGCTCTCTCCATCCATCGTCCACGAAACTGGTGGTAAGAGCGAGACACCCGAAATATCCGAGTTCCCGCGAAAAAAGCGAAATTAAGCCAAATCCTTGGTGGACTCGCGCCATTGCTCAAATGTCATACCGAGCGACTTGGGCATGATAACCATGAGCGGCACATGCACGTCTTGCGGGGTGCCGAGAACCTCCTTCTTATGCACAATCGTCTCCTTGAGCTTCTCGAAACCCATCTTCTCGTAGAGGCCCACGCTGGAGGGCGACGCTTCGAAGTAGAGAGGTACCTGCCATGCCTCGGCCATTTCAGCTCCCCATCTGCAGATGAGGGCGCCGGCCTTACGGCCTTGGTGCTTGGGTTCAATGGCAATTACATGCGTATCTTTTGAGATGATTAGCAAATGACGCCGAGTTGGTGATTTCAGTCTCAGTTGTAATGCATTGATGCATTGACGCATTATTCCAAGTCATGAGAGTCTGCATGAACAGCAAACGGAACAAAAAAAGGTAAAATTTGGTAAAAGGGGAAGGGGAAAAATAAAAGGAGAACAAGAAAAAGAAAAAGAAAAGAAGAAATAGTTGATATCACTCACAGATGTACGGCCTGCCACCGAAAATCTTCTCCCTAGCCTCCCAGAGGGGGTTGAGAATGGCCTCGGCCTTCGCCCGGTGCTTGCCCTCAAGCCAGGGTACACCGTGATTCACCCGCTGCTCTGCCGTCCTGGGCGCAAAGTATACATCGGCAAGAACCATGCCAATAATTTCCATGATATCCGTGTCCAGCACCTTATAAGTGTACTGGTTGTCTGTCTTGCTCCAGTAGTCAATGGTGGCCTGCGTGTGCGCCTTGCGGAACTCCTCCCCCTCGAAGCCACCGGGGAACAGCACGCTGAGCATCAGTGCGCCCATGGGGTCATTCTTGAAAGCGGAGAAGTAGACATCGTAGATCTTCTCGATATCCGGAATAAGAGCGGGGGCGATTCCGACAACCATGGTGACGGTAAACTTTCTTGCGTATGAAAAAAAGAGGATCAGTGGGGGTGAAAGATTACTATGTCTCGGGAATGGAGGATCTGCACCCGACGACGATGTTGGATTCTTGCGGGAACAGTTAATGGGAGGGCCAAACTTGAGAGTCTGTCTCTTCACGGCGCAATTCCGGGTGTTTCTGGGGCAGGTGTATACTGGTTGTGGGCTATAGTGTAGGGTAGAGATAGTAATGAAACACAAAGGATATCAAGCTCAAGTGCTCAATATGTTGGCTGGATTTAATGTGGGGTCTTGTTGGTCTAGGATTGGGGGAGTGGAAAATTTAGATTTCCTGAAGAGATTGATAAGATGAAATCGTTCCCGGGATCCGATCGGCTCCCACGAGGAATTATATACTTCGTACACATTTGGTCCGGGATCAGAGAAGAAAGGCTCAAGACCTTGTTCTGGCAGTCGCTAACCCCTCCTCCACGGCGACTCTCACCAATTTTCCCGTCTTATCTCCCTCGTATTGTCCTACTATTTTGTGGTGGTTATCCTGGTGTCTACACTACGAAGTACTACTGCTACGGGTACTACCACGAGACGAGTCTAGTGTAGTGGTTGGCCCGGCTAGCCAGCACAAAAAGGAACTATTCACTGCCATTCTCTCGCCATCCATCAGCCTCGACGGGTGCTTTAGGGCCGCCAAGAAAAGAACGAGATGTTCAGGAGTGGGGGCAGGGTCCAAAATGTCGTTGAAGAAGTCAAATTCTGCAGGCACCCTGGTCATTTCATGAAGAACCACTGATTGGTGTGGGCCCTGCTCGGAATCAATTCCATTCTCCCGTTATTCTGCCCTTTCTTGGGAATATTGGAACTCTCTCTCCCAGATCCTCACAAACGAACCCTGTCTTGGACTAGTCCCCGTACGATCTGGTGTCAAGTGCATACTTCTCTAGTGCGGAAAAGTCACGTCCACGAAGGACACGGTGACGCTGGATGGGCAATGTTCTAGCAATGTCCTGGTAATTTTCTAGAGGCTTGAAGGCTCGAACTTGGCCTCAGCCGATCTGGAAGGACTCTGGGTCCATCTCCATCCCACATGCTGCTGGCTTCACTTGACCCGTTACCCTTCCCCACTCTATTAGTAGTGGAGCAAAGTGCTACTTTGATTGCTGGGTCCTTGTCAACGGACTTATACACTGCTTCGTAAAGTTGGGACGGCTGGTTTCGACCCAGAGAACAAGACCGTTTCATGCAATCTTCCTACAGGTCATTTCGCGTCTTATCTCTCTCGCTATTATGCAAAGGACACTATCGAGTAAGTGCCTCACCGACAGGGTAGCGTTGAGAGGAACACATTTCGACCGGGGTCCCGCCTCCCTCCTTTGATTATCCCGTGTCCGCTACGGATATATCGGATGCGACTGATGGAGGTAGTGTGTTAGTCGGCAAGCTACCGGAGCACATTTCATCCCTTCTAGTCCTAGTCCGGGGTACATTTCAGGCACCCTGGCGCGGGGGCCCTATTTGTGGGTCTTGACGATACTCCTCCATGCAGCGGTTGTCATCCACACTGCTAAAACCATGTGTTTTCTCTACCGCTGGCGCTGCGTGGCAAATATCAAGGGTCCAGAGAACTGCAACATTGGCACGATACAAGGCCATACGAGTTGTGAAGTACGCCACCTTGTCTCTGCCAGAGCGAGGCTTCATATAAGCTAGCTACTCGAACGGGAAGCCTTTCTCCTTTCCCTCCACACAAGCTGAAACTGATCTCCAGCCGTCCTTCCTACCATTCACTGCTATCTTCCTGTTTGTTGGGGGATTCGTGCCGCTTCAGCTGCATTTAAACAGGCAACCCTGCTCATCCGGGGAAGGCAGCTCGCCCCTCACGCCGGTGCTGCAGCAGGCGAGCCAATATCAACCCGCAGGGACCTAAGGGTTGCAAGCGAGGCTCCGAAAGCGGGCGCATCCAGCCGCATTCCGCTCCCGCTGCCGGGATACAGCGGCGCCAAGGCACCCCGGTCTCAGGGAGTGAGCTTGGGCTGGCGGAGGGTACATATACTCGGAGCAGCTGAGGATTGCCGCTTCATGCCGTTGATACTACTACATACATGTCGTTCGGACGAAGAGATTGATAAGGACATTGAACCCTTGACAATGATTCATCCAGTTTCCTACCCCACAGTGGGGGTCGAGTCGTTCATTGTTGTCCCCTTCTCTGCCTAGTAGGGAAATAAAACCACGTTACGCGTATGTTACCCCGGTCTCTGAATGACACACAGTTTACGTTTTGCCCTCCTGATGTAGGTACGAGGTAATCTGACAGTACATGTAGATGAACTTCAGCCTGGGCTGTGAGGTCACTGTCTGTATCCATCTGCATGCAGTTGACCTGACCCGGTACCAACATCAGGCTGACAGTAGACATGCCTCCTTAGAGCAGCTAACTTGGGCCAGGACTCAAGGCTCGAGATACGGGACTCGAGAGGGGGTTCAGCTAGCCTGAGAAATAAAGAAGCGATTTGATATAATTACATTGCTTAAATAAAAAAATCGACTCGGAAAGACTACCAACTCTAATAAACTGATCTCTGTGCAAGAGTCGCAGAGATCCACCGCAGGTTGCTCTTTCCTCACTACAGTCTCGGATTACGTACATGTGATGGGAATTCAAACTCCATTGATCAGTGCTCCTTCTCTGTGGCTTCTCCTCTCCAGGCTCCTCTTCCTCGTAGTTTCCCTTCAAGGCACCCACTTTGCTGCCTAGCAAAATCCGCTCTCAGCAGATGCGATTTTAAAGGGGATAGAAGAAGAAAATGCCATGCGGTATTGGTATCAATGCTCGGACTATCACGTCGAGTGTCTTTTTTTCATTTTCTTCTTCTCCCTCCTTTTTTTTTTTCTTTGCCCCCTTTTAAAACACGGTTCCCTTGACCTGCTTGACGTCGCTGAGCTTGATGTCACGCCAGATCCAGGCCATTGCCCAGGAAGCCGCTACGGCGGCCGTACTGACAATAGACATAAGGCGCTGGGTGTCGGCATACGCATCATTGATTCCCGTCCTGATAGGGTTGCCGACCCTGTACGCCAATTGGGTGTACATACTGCCGTAGATGCTATCAACCGGGGTACCCGGGGGAGTATACTTTTCGAGATTGGACTTGAAGTGGCTCGACCACACGGCAGTTGCGATGGTTGAACCGATGGCCGTGCCCATGCCAGAGAACAGATCCAGCATAGCAATGATAACGGCAACGTACTGGTGGCTGAGAGGCGCCATCATGGCCATCTCGCCAGCGACAACGATCGGCCCACCGGCAAACGCGATGAAGATTTGCGTCATCACGACGTAGCCGATGCTCTGGGAGGCCATGCGGAAGTGGATGAGGAGACCAACACCGAGAAGCATAAGTGGGAGGCCATAAATTGTCGCGACCCACTTGAACCTGTTGCTCAACTTGATGAAATAACCGATGAAGATGGCAGCGAAGCAGGAACCAACACGGTAGATGTTGCTGATGTAGGTTGCCTTTGTGACACCTTGGTCCCAAACCACGATAAGCATGGAGGTGAAGTAGCTTCCCCATACAGACGAGTTGATGAATAGGAAGAAGAACATCATGCCACCGAAGAAGACAGTTCGGTCAGCGAGTAGGGGCATGGGAATGAATTTTATGGGCGCCAGGAACGCTTCATAGAGGACGAAGCTGATGAGGAGGATAGGGCCGATGACAAGCATGGAAATAATCATGGGCGACCCCCACGACTTGTTCTGCTGAGAATAGAGGGTGAAAGGCAGCAGCGTGAGAGCCATGCCGGCAGCGAGAAGGATGATGCCCAACAGATCGACCTCGATGCAGTAATCATAAACGCTCTTGAGCGTTGCGGGTTTCTTTTCGATATGATCGAGGAGGCCGGCCTTTTTGGCACGTCGCTGACTGAGAAGGAAGAGCACAATGAGAGGGACAACGACGACGGGCGTGACAATGGCCCAGATACCAAATCCCCATCGCCAGCCAGGGCCCGCAATCACGCTGTCGGCGATAGGACCGCCGATCCAAGTTGTGACGATGTAAGGGGATGTGGCGAAGGCAAGCATGAGAGGACGATTCTTCAGAGTAGAAGTATCGGCAACGAAGATGGTGATACAGTAGCTGACGGCTTGGGCACCCGTAAGGGAGAAGACCTGCGCAGCCGCGTATGTCTCGACGTTCTTGCACGCCGCCATCATGATGAAGCCGATGACCCAGAGGAAGAGCGAGAGCGCGAGACCCTGGGGACGGCCCCAAGTGTCGAGAATCTTGGCGAGCGGGAGTTTCGAAAGACTGGCAATCATGCTGGACATGATGTTGGTGGTGGCCGTCAAAGAGTGCTTGCCGAACGAAGACGTCACGAATGGCGTCAGGGAGCGCACGACGACCTCCTCGGTCGAGGCGACAAAATAGATGAACCAGATACTGTACAGGAACATTAGCTCTCTGAAAGGATGGCATTTTCCGCAAATGACTCGAGCTAGTAACCCCTGATCCGCAGCCGACATAAACCGCAGAATCGCGAAGAGACTCACATAACATAGGCCATAATCAGGTGCGTCTTTGGCCAGGCCAGAGTGGTAGCCTCGGCAGCGGCGACACCACCCTGGAAACCAGCATCGATGTCTTTGCTTTGGGCGTCAGAGTTCTCCTTCGAAGCATCAACAGGCTTCGTCGGCTCGGGTGGCATCTCGTCTGCAAGCTTCTCAGACATCGTGGGTTCGGGACTCGCGGGCTCTTCGGCCGCGGCCGCCTTGCGTTTGAAAAATCCCATTGCCAATCAAAGGTGTTAAAGCTTTCTCAGCCCTGCGCGGAAGGTTGAACAGAAGCTAACTTGGTAAGGGTATAAGATTTTCAGAAAGTAGGGCCTTGCTTTATATTCTCTTGACCCTGTCGTGACGGAGGGGCGGGACAAAACGAGGGACGAGGCCGCACCGACTAGTAAGGCGGGTGCGGGAGTTCTTAGCCGGGCGTTAGATTACTCTTCTAAAGGGCCACCTTATCGAAGGGGGAAAGAGACAAGATCTTCTCGGATCGAGGAGAGGATCAACACTCTCTAAAAAGGGATCGGATTCGATGGTCTGGTTGCACCCGCGTTCATCTAATCCAGGGTTTGCTGCTAGCCGTCATATTTTTATCATTTAAGCCAAGATCGAAAGCCTCGAAAGTGTTAGGCGAGGACTACGAAGCCACTGGGATGCTACACTACGGAAGTATGCACCAGCGAGAACGGTAGATGCCCACGCGCCCGTGGTGGAGCGGAGTCAACGAGACGAGTACACTACGAAGTAGGCTCTCTCATCCTAGTATAGCGCCATGTACGTATTGCCCGGCACGCAGGACGGAATGATCGAGGCAAGTTCCACTGCGACCACGGAACGATGAACTGTCTCGCTGCAGCACAAAGTACCCACGCATACTTGCCCATCGTTAAAATCCCACGCTCGGTCTCTGCGGTGATCATCGTTGTCCTCCATGATCGGCCGATCCTTTGGAGATTCCCTCGTTCCTGAAATCAGTTGGTTGGATCTCTCTACTTCGTGTGCATGCCAATAAAGCGCAAAAACACTAACTTGACGGGAAATAGGCTAGGCCAAGATCCCTGTCCAATGGACCGTGATGGAGGGTTAGGTTTGGCTTGATTTTTTTTTTCTTCTCCCTGGGTCTCCAGTTTTCCTGCAATGCCGAGTGTTTCTCGGACATAGCAACCCGGTCCATTTTCCTTCCTGGGAAGTGGTGGGTTTCACTGCCTTGGGATCCTATGAGACTCGCATCCGATCCAGGAAGAGTTTTCTTCTTTTTTCTTCCCCCTCCCCTCTTTTTCCCCCACCGAATCGTTTTATCTCATCTTATCAGATCATCAGATAAAATTGATCCAATTTTGCTAGGGTGCGCCACCGCTGTACCTCGTGTCCAACAACCCAATCACCCCCGCGCAATTTCCCGGTTTGGAACGTGGCGTTCTCGTCTACCCTAACTAAACGACACCACCCTACATATTATGCACACCACACCGCACAGGGTACACAGCTGCTTGTTACTCGAGAACCAACGGATCGCCTCTGGAGCTATGGGAGTGTTGTGATTAAAGCTGGTGGATAGTATCGGGTACAAGAATGAGAAAGTACCTCTCTATCAAAACACGTCCACCACCAGCATCACCACTTTGAGTACTGTTGTGGTTGCCCAGCTTACCCCCACCTTTCGCCAACAACCCTGCCTGCCCAGACCAAGTCCTGTTCTTGTCACATTTCCAAGTGCACGCCTCCCAAAGCTTCGGGGGCTTCCCTCACCTGCATCGCAGCCACACCTGGCGCTTGGGATTCGATATTTCCCAGGTCCAAGAGCTCTCCGGAGTCCCACATACACAGATCCACATGGCTGTAATCCTTTCCTGTCTGCCCACCGTCATCACTTCGTACTCGATGCTGTCTTCTCAACCGAGGGATCTCCTGTGTAACCTCTTGCGCACACCTTGACACCTTCCTTGCCAAGCTGCACTGGTGGACGGAATGCGCTATACCCTCCTTGGAAGATCAAGCACCTTATATGGGCTAATAGATGCGGAACCCCCCTGGCATATGAGGTCAGGAGACTCGTCAACAATCGATTCTTAGGGCAACCAGTTTCTGTCTGAATACAAGAGGTACTGCGAAGTCGGAGCTCACAATTGACCCTTTCCAGGCACACTAACACCTTGGCCAACCCCTTCACAGCTCGCGTTTTGTCACACATCTAGAGACGAGAGCGGACTGATCGAAACAGAACTCTGATCATCAGCCTAGCCCGTTCAATCTCCCCAATTTGGACAGAACAAGGATACTCCGCCCCAACTCTCCAGCCTGCGAGATCGCGATATACTTCGAATACGTAATATGCAACCCACTCAAGCTGGGCAAGGGCCCGTCCCTCCATCTGTCGGAGAGCTTGAACCCCACATATTCACTGCCCAGCACGCACCCAAGCTATATTTCCAGGCAAGAATATATAATCGTCCCACCATGGAGCCGAGGCGTGCCAAGACGTACACGCACACGCTCACCTTCTTCCAGGGGTTGGGGGCGAGATAGACATGAACCGTCAACCTAAGTCGGGTACGGCGACGGGAATGGATCGCATTTTCATGGCTTTGGTATCGGAATTGGAGACAAATGTACCTGTACCTTGCGTGAGAAGCCACTTTCCTAGAGTAGAATGCCAAGAATGACTACTTCGTACCCTCCCACCCAGCAGGAGGTGGACGGACTCGGACTTGGTGCTGCCGTGGACCTGTACTGAATTTCCTTAGTCTCACAAGGAAAGAAAACAAAAAGAGCCCCTAGTCCAACCCCCAAAGGTCCCCGAGAGGTAGTATCTTCCTTGCTTGTCATAGCAGGGCCTGCACTACTGGTAATAGGTAGCTTCCATTACTAGCTCCGAGGTTGTTTAATCTTAGGAGCCCCTCTAGTCCTGCTCGCACTTGGGCTTCTCGAAATCCTTTTATCCCGCCCTCCCGCTGCTTGTAGTACTCCACCCCCCCAAGCTTTCCTGCCACTATCTTCCCCCAAGAACATATAGCTACCTCTACATCAATCTTGCATCGCAAGCTCCTTTTCATACTTCACATCATCCGACCTTAATCTTTCTTCCCTCTTCTCACCAATACCTCCCAAGATGAAGATCTCCGCCGTCGTCCTCAGCGCCGTCGCCCTCGTCGCCGCCCAAAAGGCCGAGGATTACTTCCCCGAGTGCTCCATCTCCTGTCTCCAGGACTCTGTCTCCGCCGCCTCGGACTGCTCCTTCACGGATGCCTGGTGCGTCTGCGTCCAGGCCACCTACGAGGCCATCACCGGCCATGCCACCCCTTGCGTCATGACCAAGTGTGGTGCCGATAAGGCTATCGGTAAGTCTCCCGTATTTCCTGTCGCGTTACCCTACCCCATGTTTCTCCATTGATCTACATGGGAAGGTGGATGCAGTTGCTTCGGAATGTTCCGAGATGCGCCCCTTCTCTCAAGGACTCCATGATCCTTGGTGGCCTCCTCCCCCAGAATAATCTACAACGCAAGACAACTTTATTTGAATGTTGACGATCAATGTGTGCTAAACGCCAAAATCTCCAGTCGAGGTCCTCCCCGCCGCCATCCCCTACTGCTCCGCCGCCTCCGCCGCCCACAGCGCCGCCACCGCCTCTCCCTCCAGCCCCTCAGACTCCCAGAACACCGATGCCCCCAAGGCCGACACCACCGACGCCCCTACCTCCGCCGCTTCCGCCGTCGACGCCACCTCCAGCGGCGCCGCGCCCACCGGCAGCTCCGAGGCGGACAGCGCTGCCGCTGGCCTCGCTGTCCCCGCCATCCTTGGCATGCTTGCCATTGGTGCCGTGGCTGCTTTCTAAGCTGGATGACCTGGCTGTGTCGATCCGGATGCGAAAAGTTCTTTCTTTCTTGGGGGCTTTTGAACTGGCCCTCTAGGTGGGGGAGGGGGGATTATTTAATGAATCTTGGGGAGGGAAATTTGAATGGCTCTTGTGTGAAGCTCGGAACCATTCCCCCCTTGAAGCCGAATTTGGATGTCGGATGTACTATTCTTCTGTATGCCCTTGCGCATGACCATGTCCTGGGATGCTGTCTGTGTATATTGAGGCATTGTAATACAAAAAGTGATACCAGACAATTGATCCATACCTGTGTGTAAATGCATGGTACATACACATCTCTTGCGAAATCTGGTTCGGCGAAGTGACGCACAGGGGATGAAAACCAACATGATAATGCGAGCATATATGTGCCGAGTATCAAAGCTGTAAGAACTTTTTAGTATTTACCTTCCAATCCCAACCCGAGCCATCGCCAACGTCTCTTCGTGATAGATCCGCCCTCGTAAACGAAAGTAAAAACACAAGGGAAAAAAAAGCAAAGAAAAATATAACAAAAACGTGTCGGTATCTGGCCCATCAACCCGGGCAAAGAACGCCCGACGCCATATTCTCGTCCAAAACAAAAGAAACGCCGTCCCTTATTCGTGAAACTCCCGGTATGGGGTCGGCAGCGGAAATATTAATTGGTGTCCCTTTCCATCGTGTTTCCCTTTACGCCTTCCTTTCTTCTTGGGCTGACATGGTCTTTTCCCCCAATTCACATGTGCCGCCGTCATCCTCACCGACTCCTTTCTCGCGCAGATGGCGCAGAACTGCCCACCTGGGGTCGTCATCCGTGACTCCTTCCACCTTGCAACTTGCGCTTATATTCTCACATTCTGGTAATCTTGGGGGTTGTAATGATAAGCGTTCTGTGCCTTATTAGGAATCTCACCCGGGTCCCTCTGTGACGGCAATTCAACAGCATATCCCTTGTTGTCGATGGGCGGCGTCGAGAACCTCGCCTGCGGGGTTTGTTGTTGTTGTTGCTGTTGCTGTTGACTCCCATCATAGGACGGATTGTGCTGGTGACTCCACCTCTGGTCGGCGGCTCCTTGGATCGACGATCGCGAATATGAAGATGTGCCCGAATCTCTGTTGGGATGGTGCTGGAAGCCGGGAGAGACCTGAGGGTGGTAGAAGTCACCAGGCATCTCGACGGGCATGGTCTGCTGCAGGGGCGGAGGCGGGGTCATGCGCTGTTGGTTGTGGAGGGATGAGGTGCCCGTCATCTGGTAGTACAGCTGAGGGGAATGTTGCGATTGGCTCATGCGCGACTGCAGGCCGGGCGACAGAGGCGGCTGCTGGTACTGCAAGGGGGGAAGACCAGGGGAACCTAGATTCGCGGCGTTGGATCTGTCGTTGGGGTTGATCGTCTTGAGCTTGCCTTCGTAAATCATGGCTTTCAGGACGCCGGCGTCGAGGAGTTCGGCCTTCTTGATGATGCGCTGGACCATTTCTTTGCTGGCGGCCTTGAGTTGGCTCTTGACGAAGCCCACGACAGCGATGTTGCAGCGGATCTCAATGTCTTCGCGAAGATACAAGCCGTCGGAGGGCACGCCCAGTTCGGACATGCCGATCTCGAGCGGCTCGGGCGGTTCGACGCCCGGCTGGTTCCCGGCAATGCGATACTTGTTCCTGAGATCGACGCTCATGGGGGCGTAGATGTGTGTCTGCAGGCCCCAAGGCATGTCGTGGAAGCAGCCGTTGAAGCTAATCTTGCCCGATCCCATCTTGCCCATGCCGGGGATGTATTGGATGCGCTCGGTGATCTCGTACCATGTCGAGTAGAACTCGTCGGCGGCAGCGTTGCGAGGCGCGGGGATGGGCTTATGCTCGAGGACGAGAGGGTTGAGGGTGATGACTTCGCTGTGGCTGTGGAGAATGTCGATGGCGAGTTGGCGCGGGATGAAGCCCGGAATCGGGGTGATGGTCGTGAAGACTTCCTTTTTGCGCAACATGGCTGCGGCGCAGAGATCGGTGGATTTGCGAGGGGGAGGGGTAGGACCGGAGGAGAGGAAAGAAATCGCTAATCGTATCGGGCTCGATCGATTTACAATATATCGGTCGGAAGCCTACGAGGTAAGGGTCGTTCGGTGGTATGGTATGGTACGTAATGTTCAAGAGCGCAAAAGAGGCGAGGTGGAGGAATAAAGTTAGGGACAATGCAAAATGCACCTGGGGCAAGTAAAGGGTAACAATAACGGCGTCCGCGTTGTTTCACGCAGGGGGGATGGAAGGTAGAAGATGGAACATAGAAGATGGAAGCAAGCAAAGAAGACCCAACGCAGGGGCGGTGTACGAAGTAATGGATGAAACAATGCCAACCTGCCAAGTCGGGGTCGATCACAGCCGTTGTTGGTCCGGGGTAGTATTCGCTGCCCTATATTAAGGTTTTGTTTGCTGGTCCTTTGAAGGTTTGGCGCAAGGATTTGCGCTCAGTTGGTTCGAGAGAGGGAACGAATAAGACGAGTCCGAAGGAATCGAGGAGAGGAAAGGAAAGCAAAGGAAAGGAAAAAAGGGATGCAGCTTGAGGACAAAAAGGCGCAGCGCACGACGACGCGTGGCGGCGAGACCCGGTCGAGGGTTGGACCGTAGGAGCGACAGAGACTTGATCAATATGACGAGCAACCAAGCGGTTGAATTGTATTGGAGAGAATCCGAAGGGCTCAAGTGCTGCTGATGCAACTCCAATGCCCGCGCTTGCAATGCAACTTGAACATTGAAAGTTAATGCCAGGCGGCGAGGAGCTACTGCACTACGAACTCCACACACTACACTTGACTAAACTGCACTACCTCGCTCGTACCTTACGCAACGAGGGAAGACCGGGAAGACCTGCAGTGGATAGTACAGCATCAATGTCACCAATGTCTCAGGGAAGGTCCAAGGCGGGCGGGCGGCGGGCGGGGAAGAAACGTGAACGTGGACAAGGCAAGAGCAACCGTTGAGGCTCTCGGAGATGTCTTCCCGGTCGTCTCACGTCATCAATTGCCCAACATTTTTCTGAATTCGAACTTGCCAAGCCGAAAAGGCATTCGCACAACGCTAGTGTCGGGGAGGGAGATGTCCGCTTTCAATCATCATCATCATCATCTTCTTTTTCCATTTTATTTTTCGAATTATTTTATTTCGGACTTTAAAGGACAGAATTTACGAGGCGGAATGAGTCTGGATCCTGGATCCAGGTGAGGGGTGACGGTGAGGGGTCGTGGCGATTAAGACATGCCATCGTGTTGATAATAAGGTTCGGCACGGTCGGCACTCTATCTTGTTAGGTTTCAATGGCTTGTTGGTGCTAGATTACGACTTTGTCCGCTTCAGCATCATGTTCGATTGCGGGGGGAGATTGTCGAGGATTTGCAGGGTCCTTGTTACCATGTCGCTGGTTTCGATTCGGAGACCGAATGCTATTGATATTGATATTGATGCTTTGATCTTTTTCAAAGAGCCCATTTGATTCATTTCCTTTCCGTGGAACTTATTTCGTCCTTCTTTCTCTTGCTGTATTAGACTCTTGGCCGTTCGTATTCAGTTATTGTCTTTACAAAGACCCAGAATAGACTCTGGTCATGTCTTAGCCAGCTTGAGTTATTGATTTGACGCCCTACGAAGCCACCAATAGTGACGTTGGTTTCCTAAAGCGCCTGGCCAAACACACAGTTGATTGATCAATAAATCGTGCTGTTGCAAACTAGGCTCCCGGAAAGGTACCAAGATATTACGTCGAGATCCATATCGAGTGTTGCAGCTGCGAGTGAAGGACGAGGCGGAGCCGGGAACATGTGTAGCCGAATATTCCATTTTGAGGCAGTGTATGCTCTATTTCTGGAACTCGTACAATACGATTTTATTTCACTTTTATTTCATTTTTTTTTCTTCCTCCTTCTTCAGTTTGTTTGTTTGTTAGCAGTTCCCGGTCGGAACCTCTCAAATCAATTCCTCCCCTCATTCTCATGCAGCCATGATGTCTGTCAGACATCGACCCGATGCGCCGGCTCAACGCGAAGCTCAGCACCCTACTTGTGCCTCGTCCATAGTTGGAACCAATCCCCATCAGATCGGATCCCCCATTCCGGGACAGCCTGCTAAAAAGCAATGTTGTGATCGTCGCTCTCCCCGGTTCTGTCCATCTTTGGAATCTCACTGCATGCATATTCTTCTGTGCCACCCTTCTACAGTTTCGTTCACCCATAGTTTCGTTGGTCGATCAGAGCTACTCCTGGGTGCGGCTGATGAGATATTTGACCGCGCACGTCTATCTTGGGAGTCGAGAATGAATCAGATGAGATGAATTGAGTCCTTTACGCCTGCCCCAGAACACCCAAGGTGCCAGACCTCCGCCCGTCCTCTGCCGCCCCCTATCCACCTTCAGCCGTCTAGCGTGTCCATCTATAGGTTGCCGTCTATTAGTACAAGAAAAAGAACAAAGGGAAAAAAAAAAAAAAAGGAGAGAGTCCAAGCTCCCATACATGCTCCCGCAGGCCCATTGACATAACCGTCCATCTATCTAGGCCCCCCCAGCCTTCGTTGTAAAACAGTTGATGGGATACAACCGACTGTAGTGACATGCAACAACTGTCCAAAAAGCCCCATCATGCCATATCCCGATGCACATGTCTGAAATGTAGTAATAACGCATGTTGTTTGGGGTTTTCGCGATTTCAATTTATACATTAGGAGAGAGGAGATCATATTTCACGCATCGCTCGACCTATCAAGGAACAAATCGTTAGCAAAGACAGGGGAGGAAGAGGCGGTGAACAAATTAGGGATCGTAGGTGGGCTTACATCTTCAACGCTGGCCTGTAAGAAACGTCTCGTCTCTAGGCCCATCCATATCAAAATCACAGAAAAGTCTCCCGACTTCGCCATCTCCGCGCCGCTCTGCGCACTAAGCTGTCTCAAGATCGGCAACGAGCTGCGCAACAGGTCCGCGTTGGGGTTTAAATTCCTGCCGATGCCCTCGAGCAGCAGGATGCTAATGACGACGTTGACGAAATCGCCCTCCAACCGCACGTGGTGGTTCCTCACCATGGCGAGCACGCGCTGCAGGATATCACCGAGCTTAATGTTGCCCAGCGCCAGCGTTCGGCCCTTGACGTCCAGCACGAGGTGCTGCATCTTGAGAGCGAAAACGTCCTGGTCGATGACGTCCTCGGGCTGTCGGCACCGCTCGCACATGAGATTCCCCGCCTTGTACCCGTCGAATTCCGCCACCGCTCGGAAGAGGTCGAGAAAGTTTTGCCGGTTCGTCGAGTTGAGCTCCGTCACGAGGCCGGCGTCGATGAAGATGAGCTGCGGTCGATAGCCCTCCTTCTCGAGCTTCTCGAGCTCCGACAGCCAGGATTTAGGATCCTTGTTCCGCAGGTGCGGTTCGAGGCGTGAGCGAACGTGTTCCGTTGCGTCGTCGGATGGTGGACTCGGCGGTAAGTCGTCGGCCGCCGTTGCCGGCTTCCGGAGCCGTGGGATCTCGGGCTGCGCCGGCTGGTAGAAACGCACCATAATATTTCCAGGGTGCAAGTCGGCGTGAACAAAGTTATCTAATAGGAGCATCCGAAGGAACGCGTCGAGTCCTTCGTCAGCGATGTCCGTCCGGAAGACGCCACCACCATAGTCGAGGAATGCCGAGAGCGGGATGCCATTTGCGAACTCTTCGACAAGGACGTTTCTAGTCGTGAGCTCAGGGTAAGGGTACGGAAACCACGCCGTTGTGCGGTCCTTGAAATTTTGACGGAAGCGAGCCAAGTTGGCAGCTTCTATCCGCAGATCAAGCTGGAGTTTCATCATATCCCCGAAATTCTCGACTTCGTCCGGTAGGGACAGCCATTCTATGGACGGAATGAGGTTGAGCACCCGCGCGAAGAAGCCCATGATGCGAAGATCTCGTCGTACTATTCTCTCGACGTTGGGATGTAACACTTTGACGGCGACGTAATGTGACGGTACCCTCTGCGGAGACTGCTTCAAGATATGCTGGACGCTGCGGACAACATCCTGCCGAAGGTTCCACGGTTCTTCCTCGAGATCGGTGTCGCTGGGCAGAGCCAAGTCCGGCTTTAGCTTGGCCTTGTATACTTGGGCAATGGCGCCCACGCCCAGCGGCCTCTCGTCGAACTCGGCAAATATATCGTCAAAGTCTACCCCGCCAAACGCGACCTCGATCATTCGGCGAGTCATGGGCATCGAGTGCGCGGGGGCCTCCGAGTGGAGTTTTGACATGACTTCGCACATTTGCGTCGGGAAGATGTCTGTTCGTGAGGCCGCCCATTGCCCCAACTACGATCCATCACGGTTCCTTTGTCAATTCCTCCGGCTCAATATGAACAAGAGATTCAACAGGGGTCCTGGACTTACCTTAATGAATGCCGGGCCTGCCCACTCCATAGAGTGTACCAGAAATCCGTACCACCACAGCGCACCGCTCCGCTCATTGTCGCGATCGGGTTGCCGTTTTCCCAGCCATATCGCTGGCACCGCAGCCAACACTGGGACGAAGATAAACGTAAGGTGTAGGAACCGCGCGCCAGTATTTATGGGCTCCCAGATATAATAATCAAGAAAGTAGAGCACCCGGTACAGCACCCTTAATATCGGGTTTTCCTTGTTCTTTCCCCTTTCTGCCTTTTTCGTTTTCAATTCGGTCCGCGACGACTCGAGAAGTCGTGTTTCCCAGGTTATGTCAACCGGTTCATCGCCATCTTCCGAAAGATCGACGAAGGCGAGCGCGCCGAGACCCGCAACGTTCGCGGTCGAGAAGAGAATAGTAGAGGCAAGTGTTGGCCGTCGAGGGTTATTTGCCCACCGCCATCGCCACGTGCTGTAACCTCGTCTACAGCAGTTGCGTGAGCGGAGCGACCGGAGGGAGAAGTTTAGGATCGCGGTCGGATGCTTTCGGAGAATTGAGCGAGGGAACACGCGGCAAAGGAGAAACGCCGGCCCCATCTCGTCTCAGGGATGAGGGTGAACTGGGAGGAGAAACGAATGTCCATCGAGTGTCACCAAAGCTTCGTCATCGGGTGCAACATGGGACTCGAGAAGAAATGGGCACGAATATGCGTTTTTCGCAGGTAGTCAGTCGCCGCCCTTCGCAGTGAAGCGTCTCCCTCGTCATTCCGAAGGCAGCGCCCAATAATCTGCGTTGCGTGTCACATGGTACTTAGAACCCTGCAGGAGTGACGTAGGAGAATGCACGTTCTTGGGTAAACAATGGGTAATATTCGGCCAACTTTTCTCATGTACTTCGTACTCAGTATTGCTTTGGACTGGACGGCGAAAGAGCAAAGACAGGGGCGAAGTGAAGAGAGAAACCTCACCGAGCGGTTGAATTCAATTGTCGAGATGTCCCTTTCTGGAGAGCACTTTGGAGATTCTAAAAGGATTGATGCTGCCCCCCTAATCATAGCGAAAACCTGGTTGGGCACTCTTTTCCGCGTGCGTACTCTGCGATTCTCGCCATGTGTCGCGTGTACTTGGCGTGTGAAACTTCGAGCTTCCTCTCTTACATGTGGCGCGCGGAACACTGATGCACTCTGACAATTCAAGTCTACTTCCAACAATGGCATCTCCATTCTCTCAAACCAGGCAGCGTTACACGTATTCATAACAAAGATAACCCCCCCTTGTATCCATAACATCACCGATCGTGGCATCCGGAATGACGCCTAAGGTCGTCAGGATATGGTCCAGCGTAGTCTCTCCGCCCTGATGGCTGTTATACTTGAATTGCTGCAGCTTGCGGATCTCTTCGCTCGGCGAGCCGAAGACAACAGCATCCTCCTCCTCGACGGTTCCAGGGTATTCGGGGAATCCAATGTCGGGTGATTGAAAACTAGGGCCACCCACGGCGTAAAGACGATTTTCGAGGTCCGCTTCTTGCCAATCCCACCAGATCTTATCAACCCAGGAGTGGTGGAGATAGAAGATGGGATCGGCAGGGGATGCCAGTGGGTCTCGCATCTAACGTGGGATGATGATCTCCGCTTAGCTTTTAGGTCTAGGAATTTCAGGGAAATAGGCTTCTAGGACACATAAGACCCTTGGGATGGATAGAGATCCGGCTACTCACCGATCCACCAACACCGCCGTGGCCCCCTCGATGAGGAGTCCCGTACACGCAAGGAAACATGTCTTCATATCTATCGAATGTTTGGCACTTATCGACTTCCTCTTGGGCCGACCAAAGCCCTGCCGTCTCGTTGACCATGCGGGAGACGCAATGCTCGCCAAGGCGAAATCCCGGGCCGATGGGGCTTGTGAGGTTCGCGAAGGGTCCGTCTGAGACACACTTTTTGTCGTCGATCCCGTAACCACCAAAGCCGAAATCAGCGTCAAAAATCGACGAGTTTCCGAAATTTCCCACCTCATTTGATTCGTCCCAGTACCTACAGAGCTCGTGGCCATCGCGCTTAGCTGGGGGAACACATTCCAACATGGCGAGCTACGTCATGGCAGGGAAAGCCTAACGAAATGGGACGGGATTTGGGGGATCTGGGGGAAGGGGGGCACGCACGGAAGTCCTCCATTGTAACCACATTCTTTGAGTAAGAGTTCGTGCGCATGGAGAAGGTAGCGATGATATGGAAAGAATACGCCCGTGGCATGGGTACCACGAGCATTGGCTTGATGGCTGAAAGCGAGCTCATCAAACTTGGTCTTGGCAGCCGGTAGGTTAAGAGATGCGGGCGTGTTCATGACGCATACCTCGGCGTTGAGGTAGGATTTCTTTTGATCATTCGACAGTGTGTGCCTGGAAAAGAGAAGAAAGGGGCTTTTTAGCAATCTCGACTGGACTTTCGTCTGGGGAGAGGTCTTACCAAGCTCGGCGTTGTGTTGGACTTGTACAGGCCCGGCGCCTAGGGCCTTGGCTAATGAGGACCGCTCCGGCCTCGATGACGAAGAGTATGACAAGAAGCAAGGCTACTGGGATCTTCGTAGCCATGTCAGCGACAGAGCTTATGGACCAAGCTTGCACGGGGAAAGTCATGTCAACCTTTCAGGGACCGACAGCCAAGGGCCTGCCACTTATACCCTTGAAAACAAAATGGCCCCGAGGATCTCCGAGAGAAACCGGAGGTGTGTAATGGCCCCAGGTGGGATTTTGTCAATAGTAAAGGACCGAATTGGGTATTGGACAGAGGCATCCTTCGTATGTCCGAGATCCGTGTTTTGGATCTACCTGTAACGCGTGGTGCAGAGGTATGATTTGACAAGCTGCTGGCCAAACTCGCTCTTGAGGCCAAGGCACGAAGACATTTCGGCCCATAAACAGACGCATTGGTGACTTCAGAGTCGCCTGCTCTGTCAAGTGCAAAGCCATACTTCCAGGCTAAGACGGTGGAAAACAGGCGGCATGATAGGAGTTATTCATGGTTTGCACGAATGGCATCACCTAGTCTCTCTAGGATCGTGCCGGACGAAGAGCTATACCTGCCATTGCCGGGGTGACGATGGACGGATAAACTTTATATATTAAGCGAGCTGCTGGCGATGCATGGGGTCCATGTATTCCTGTGTAGGTGTCCGAGCTGCTAACAAACTCTCATCGTCCTCCAGCTCCATTACGAGCCTGGTCGGCGTCTTCCACGGCACCAAGACACGAGACAAGAGCATCTAGTCAAAATATAGAGGCTGCCAGCCGGAGATCCACGGATCTGTTCCTGAGGCTACCGCGCCTGGACATCGGCCAGTCCCGGCGTCACATTGGACCTAGCGGAGCTGACAGAATCAGCCCTGGGCGAGGCTTGTAAAACTATCCCGAATAAAAGGCAAGGACCTGGTCCTTCTGCGACTGACAGAAACCTAAGGTGTCGCCATGCTCACGCTAAAACGGCTCGAGATGCTGCGTCATTCGATTTTGTATCAATGGGAGCATAGATGACGAGGCATTATTAACTCGAGGAATAAAACTCTCTCTAGGGGAAATCGTGAAATGATATCAACCATCGTCAATAATCCGTTAGCGGAACATCTATTGTCATCAAACTGACCTCGGTCAAGTCAGTATCGGGAGCGTTTGTGAAGGTGAGATGGAAAGGTCAATTCACATTGAATTCTGTAGCTGGTATGAGACAAACGATTCCACTGTCCAGCAGCTCGATCAATTAATCGATGGCACTGTACAACAACACCAGCGCCGAGATTTCCCCTGGCAACGACACTGAGCTCCCCGACAACGTAACTTTACAACCACTGCGAAATTAGTTGTACTGCACAAGTCCAATTCCGCCCAACAAACTCACAACCATCAATATTAACAACCGCCCCCAACAACCTTGGAACCAGACCACGCCATGGACACTCCAGCCAATGCCCTCCCCTCGACCATGAGGTCATGGATTGTCGGGAAGAACGGCCCGCCCGCAGACGCTCTCCAACTCGTGCCTGATGTCCCCGTACCCACCCCTCAAGGAGCTAACGCACTGATCAAGGTGGCCTACGTCTCTCTGAATCCAGCTGACCTTCAGTTCATGAAGAAGATCCCCACGCTTCTTCCCTTCCGACGGCGCCCTGTTCCGGGCCTTGATTTTTGCGGTGAAATTGTCGCGCTTGGTCCTTCAGCTACCGCGACAGCCGCAACCCACAAGTTCGAAGTGGGAAGTGTCGTTTGTGGAGCTATCCCCGCGGGGAGCGTCGCCGTTGGCGTTGGAACGCTAGCAGAGTACATTACCGTGCCGGTCGAGATCCTCTCGTTGAAGCCGGATGATCTGTCAGATGCTGCTAGCTCCGGGTTAGGGATAGCTGGGCAGACGGCGGCACTTGTGATGAGCGAGGCCAACGTACAACCCGGCCAGAGGGTCCTCATTAACGGAGCTAGCGGGGGTGTAGGGACATTTCTTTGCCAGATAGTTACTGCTCGCGGCGGAGTGGTCACAGCAGTTTGCTCCGGCTCCAATGCCGGGCTGGTACGGAAGTTGGGAGCGGTTGAGGTATGCTCTCTAGCCTCCGGCCCTAATATGGCTGCGGCACCAACGGTCCCTTTGGACGTCTATTAAACGAACAGCAGGTTGTGGACTATATACTGAACAGCCCTGTCTACTACCATCTCGAGACGGAGTACAGTGATAATCCATTTGACGTAATCATTGATTGCGTCGGCAATCAGTTCCTCTACGACATGTGCGAACCTTACCTCAAGCCGACTGGCATCTTCTTGAATATCGTCGGCGGGGCCACCGAAGGGGTTGTCCCTTGGGTCAAGGGAACGCTCTGGCCCAAATTTCTTGGGGGTACTCCCCGCCGGTACAAGATCCTAGCTCTCATGCCGAGCGGTAACCTTCAGCGCGAGGTAGTGCAATGGGTAAACGACGGACTCGTGCAGGACGTCCCCATCGACTCCCAGTTTGCCATGGAGGATGCTATCAAGGTGAGACCCCGGAGTTCGAAGATCTCCCTGCTCCCAGTGGATAATATTTTCCGGTGATGGCATTAATTGACAAATGATCCATGGCACAGGCATATGAAAAGTTGGAAACAAAAAGGGCTAAGGGGAAGATCATCGTCAAGGTGGCCTCTTGAGAAGGACTAGCTGGCGACAGAGAGGGGTGAGACGGACGAATTTGACAGTGTCTATCAGAAAAATCGGGAAACACGGGAACCTGCGTTCATGACCTTGTAATTTGATTCTGTATTTATTGTATTTATTGCATCTAATGACTATCCGAAACTTTGTACTTCGTAGTCTCTATCCAGCGATGCGCATCATGGCCATGGTTTTCTTGCACGGTGCTGGAACGCGGGATCGCTGGAACTATTGGTGAATTGATTCATCTCTCGATCATGCTCTTCGACGACTGCACCCTAACACGCCCCAATTAACATTCCATCACAGCGTAAATTGTCTGGAACCCTTCACGAAGCCGATAGCTTAAATACAATTCGGTGGGCCATCATCACAAGGAAACAGGGCATGGATTGCGACTCGTTTTTGGGTGCTCAAAAGCTGTATATAAACCGATAAGTAATCGGGACCTCAACAAAGTGTGTCTGTGGGGCGTGTGGCGTAGTGGTATCGCGTTTGCTTCGCATCAACATCGGAAATCCGATGGCGTCTGTAAAAGGTCACCGGTTCGATCCCGGTCACGTCCAATTAAGTTCTCTTTTTGCCTCCCAGCTAGAGTCTCCCACAATTTTTTTTTTCTCGACCAAATTCTTACTCTGTTCTTCTGAGATGGTTTATTGATTTCTTTTCATGTTCGGCTCCATTCTCCTTCTCTGGGTCATTCAATATCTTTCCATGTTTAAGAAGGCCGTGATCTGACACGTCAATAATAGCTATTGACCTTAACAGCCAGGCTTCATGTCCAACGCAATCTTCTCATGTAATTAATCGGAGGTGCCATAGAACCGGAGTATTGTATCATCTCATCAAATCTATGCATGAGGATCGATGAATACTTAAATCTAGAAAAGGCCCAAGACGCTTTGTCTGTGGCGTTGAGAGACGGAAATGTATCAAAAAAAGGTATGGGTGATTTGCCTGACATGCCCTTGCTCGATTATGTGCTTCAAGAGGAACTCAAATCTTCGGGGTTTACTGATGTAACTTATAGGTGGCAGCAAGCCAGGCTCACAGAGAATACGCTGCTACAACAGTCCAGCTTCCCATGTCCGCCAGTCCTTAGTGTAAGAGCACGGTTCTTGCAGTCGACCAGCACACAGGTGGGTGGGGCATTTACATATGATGTTGGGGCATAGCACATGTGAGTTCAAGATAAATTCTCCAGAACGGTGTGTGGTGGACTAATCGTCTATCACATGTATATTATGAATATATGAAATTCATTTAAGCCACAAGATAAACCTCTCGCCTTCGATGCGGTCCCTTAGCACATTTATACTCCCCTTCACAAACTAGTAGGAATAGCATCTCAGGAGTTTCTGTCAAGATACTGACTACGAAACGGACAAACGTACACGATTCAGGCGAAAATCAACATGGCTAAACCAAGGGCTAATGCTGCTCGAACACCGACGACGACGGCGACATTCGTTGCTGATCCTCACGTCGGATACAGGCTTCGAGTCCTCCTATACGACTTCAGCCACGTCTCCGAAAATCCCCTTTCACAGACTCGGCTATCCAAGACAACAGACCCGCTTTATATCAGTGGCCCCTACTTTACCGAGAGTGAGGCTACTTTTATCAAAGAAGCTATCGTTGGCACATGTACAGAGAATGATACGAATCTCGCACGCGGTAGAGGTAGCAGCGCACATCTTTCCGACGCACAACTGACTGTGCAAGACATGATACAAGCACAACTGGCCAACTTTTTCGACAAGCGGAGGGCGAGCGGCGACTCCCGGCCGTGCGGCCCGCACGATTTAGCCCCAATTTACGAAGAAGTGTTTGCCATCAATCGAGCTGAACTTGAAGAAGAAGGATTTTTGAGGCGGTTAAGAAAGCATGGGCTACGGACTAGCGAGGAGGTATTATCTGAGAAGACACTCGACGGGCAGCCTTCTGAAGGGAAGGGCATACAGAGGAAGAAGAAAGGCCGAAAGGCGAATAAAAGTAGGTGACGATTATCGAGATAGCTGGCTCGAGTTGGAACGGCGGGATGTATACGGTATCATAGAGGTCATGGGATAGCAGGAATATAGAGAGCATATATCCTCGCTAGGGCCGCATCACAGCTCACGCCATTGTCTTCTTGCCAACTCAAGATCCGGCACTGCCCATTTTTTCACCCATTCTGACCTCAAGACCTCTGCCGCAGAAGCCCGTCGCTCTGGCCGGAAGATTAACATCGACTTCAGCATAGCTAACAGCGCCTCTTCTTCCTGCTCGCACATGGCCTCCATGCCATCTCTCTGTCTTGGGTTTCGGATGCACCGAGCAAAACAATCGTCCCAATTATGTCTTACGGAGTCGTACCGTCGATTCGGAGCCGTCGTATCGAGCTGCCCATCCTCGGTGAAATAATCTCTACGAGCATTCCACTTGTTCCACCACTCCCCAGGTAGCTTTCCCAAAAGGTCAACCTGGTCTGCCAGGATGTCGTCGTCGGTCGCAGCCCACGGTTCAAAGAGGGGTTTGTGGCTCAGGACTTCCCAAATAGTGCACGCCAGGCTCCAAATGTCGGCCGGAAACGATAGGGTGTGCGGAGTCTCGATGAAGCGAGCTTCAGGTGGTGCATACGATGCTGGTGTGTTCGAGTAGGTGCGTGAGGTTTCTGCCGGTATGTACGCCTCTCCAAAATCGGCCACAACGATTTTGGTATCCATGACTGTGGCCTGCTTTTTACCATGACCAAGCCAGATCGGGGTTACGACATAGGGCGGCACCCCCGGAGCGAGAGGCTGGCCGTCGCGACGTCGTACGGGTTGCAGGTCGGGCTGCCCATAGTCTCGGTAAATATCGTCTGGGCTCAAGGAGTGGAAGCTGTCCGGTAATAAAAGAAGTACGTTTCCCGGATGGATATCTGCAGAGTGTGAGTGCTTTTGAATCGAACTGGCACATAGGTTACCAACTAACCACCATGCACGACTCCTTGGCCATGTATATACGCGACTGCTTCAACTAGTTGTGCGGCGATAACTCTGAACCCAACCGGAGCTAGGGACGGCCAGGAATAGTCCTCCTTCGCATCTCGCAGACTTAGCCTAGCCGGAGTCGTTACCAAGCAAGAATGCCGTCCATTCGGTCCAGTTATGGTGAAGTGATCCAACAGTGGGCGTATGTATTGCCGGCCAGGGTCCGTGGAACTGAGAAGTCTCGTGACAATTGGATTTTCATGCTCGCTGGCAGGTGCATCTGCTGCACCCACTTTTATCGCAACGTAATGATTAGACTGTTCATCCTTGGCCAGCCAGACGGTCGAGTAGCCGCCGAAGCCAAGCTTATGGACGACGCGATAACGCCCATCACGAAACGTGTCATGGATGCTGACGGGATGAAATCCGCCAGGTTCATAATCCTGCGGGTCCTCGACATCTTCCAGAACCTCATACGGGTAAGGTGGGGGGGTAGTAGGGACCACCATTGGTTGATGTGAAGATGTAAATGAGCGCGTGAAGGGTTGAGGTACAGAGGCCACACAGGTACGAGCGGGTCGCCGCCAAAGACGAGTGGGCGCTTTTCCACACAAAACGGCCCGGAATTGGCGCCTCATTGAGAACAGCTGGGATGAAATAAAAAATGAAAAAGAAACGACCAGAGAGGGTTGCCGACTCCTCCGTGCGGGCTGGGACTTAGCGCTGCCTTTCTGAGGAGGAGCAACGAGCTGGGAGAACAGGAGGTTTGTGGATGTTGCAACATGCGACTGTGGTCACAAAAGTGGGTCCAAGCAGGCGACACTCCAATCGGACGAGGAAGCCTGCCCAACATCCATCTTGATCAAACAACATAACCGCCCAACGCCCAAATCTGGGTCTTAGAGAGAAGATCCGCCAGGAGACACAATCATGGTTTTCCCTACTCATTTGAAGTATATTAATTCGGGCAGGTCCCTCGAACACAGGACGATGGTTTGATTTCTCAATTCATTTCCCACGCATTTATCATCATTTCCCCTACACACAGCTTGCTCAAGATGTCGACTATCAACATGGTGAAGTACTACTTCTACAAAGACATGCTCCCCAGCAACCAGCGACAGTTGGAGCAGCTAGTTGCCCTAGCGTACCAAACTGCAAGAGACCGCAAACTTCACCCCAAGGCTGTTCTCATTAGGTATCGCAATATGAAGCCTTGCTATCTTTAGCTTGCCCTAACCTCGGAATATTCAGATCCGGCTTCCACGACACTACCACCGCTCGAGGGCGACGGATAAAAGATCCCAAGGGATGGCATGTGACGATTTGCTACAAGGACTCCAATCAGGTCCTTGGTGGCACCCATGTCGCTTGCCACGCTTATACTCCGGGGAAAAATATATTCGAATTGGTCGAGTCGACGCACGCTGGTGAGAAAAGCGACGACGTCCTGCGCGCTCGCAACCAGAAACCGGTGTGGCCTGATACTGAGGAGTTGGCCGAGGCGCCAGAGATTGGCTACGGACACTTGCCCGAGGACTGGGAATCTTCGGCCTAGCCGACATTGCTCGGGTAGGGATAACCTGGGCTGAAGTCGGAAGAAAGGGCCTTGTGATCAGTAGTTGCGCGTTGGATGGTCAGTCGTGGTTGTCGTGGTTGCTTTTAGTGTTTGTATTGGTTTTACTTGTGGACGATAGTCCACAGAATGCATTTAAAGACTGGCAGCGGTTTTTTTTTTTTCGTTTAGGGAGGTGGGAAGTGACGAAACACGCACTTGTCGATACTATGCATGTCAGTACTTTAGAAGTCGTCGATATAAATTCCCTGTATACTTCATTAAAAAAGCCTTCTAATAAGGGCTTTCCCCTTTTCAACTCTCTCGCTATCGACACTATTATAAAACAATTTATAGTTCATGGCTTGACGGGCCAATTCTCTCGCCCTCTGCTTCTCCCCTACCATCCAGTATAAGTCCGCGAAAAGAGCGCAATATTCCCCTATCTGTGTATGTAAGGACTCATCTTCCAAAATGCGGAGTAGCTTAGCTGAGAGGTTGTCAATATCGTCGGCTGTGAGGCTCTTCCCTCGCTCTCGAAACTTGCCGAGAATTGTCTGTATACGACGGATATTTTCATCTGATGCTGCTCGAGCTTCCTCGTTTGCGCATAACTTGCACCTGCACTCGAAGCCTCGCTGGGCTAAGAGCTCCTTTCGAGCCTCTGTTGGGAGGCTTTGTGGAATGTCTATCCAGAAGGGTCAAACACAACTTTTTATTATTCTTTTCTCTTCTCTCCCCTAAAGTGCTCTTGCATAGATGCAGGTAGGAATGCTTACAAGTTAGGCTAATTTCTTCTCCAGGGTGGATATCTCGTTGAGCAACAACCTCCATTCGGAGCGTCGTTCTTGAGTACCGGGTGAAGGCGCTGGGGAGTTTCAGTTAGTCCGTCAACTTCTTTGTCCTTGATCTATCAGGATCGACAAATTACTTACTTTGGTCTACAGTCATGGTTGATTCTCTTAAAATTCGATGAAGAATTAACATATATATCTCGTTGACACGTATATAAAAGCCGGGACAGTGGAATCCGTACCGCAATGTCGGGGAAGATCGCTGAGAATCCAGCGCCATCTACATCGATGCTAAACGCATTCGTTCTCATGATGTCCTCATAGTAATGCCCTCCAGTAGTCCGAGCCAGGGCCTCCAGGCTAGTTTTCTGTTTCTCCGGCAGTTGTTCAAAGGCCAGTCTCAAGAGGTCCGGATTTGACGCCATCGGGATTCCCTCTAGGGTCGTAGCAAAGCTTATCAAAAGCGGAATCTCGTCGAGGATTACATCCCCTTTCTTGATCATCCTCTTTGCTACGAGGCCCTTTTCTTTACCGGGAATGTCTGCCACCTCGAATGGTCTATCGGAAGACGTGGTCTTATACAGCGAGGATTGTCCCCATGGCTCGGGCTTTGTCTTCAGAATGCCGACGGAGAATGCCGCCACCTCCGGCGTTGCAATGAGACTCATTGCGCTTTCTGAGTTGGGGGTAGCGTAGGTGTAGACGCAATATTTCTGCGGGTTTCCAGTTCCTCGCAGTGCTTGAGCGCAGTAAGGAGGATATCTCCATGGTTCCCAGAATCCCGACTCAGCCGCGATTATATTGTCGACTAGAGGCGGGCACGTTGGACTTTCTGGAGCCTGGGAGAGTGAGGTTGGATTCTGTAGATGTAGCAAGCTATCCTGGTTAATTCGTGTTGTCTGGACAGATTGGAGGAAGGCCAGGACGCAGATAGCCACCGTAACGACCTGAGTTCCAAGATGACGGACCATCGCCGATTTGTATATGTTATCCGAGCTATCAACATGAATGCTGTTGATGATCGTTATGTCCATTCCTACCCTCCTCAAGAAAGGACCTGGTAGCTTTAATGCTACTGAGATCATGTTCTCAGAGAAGGACACAAGCCCAATGGTGACGCAACAACCCACCACATGTGCATTTAACCGGAAATGCGAACTGGGGGGTCGGCAATATCGGGATCTTGGACCAACCCAGGATCTTCTAGAAATGAGTCCAATCTCCCGGTGCGGTCCGTCGTCGTCTGGTGTTGCATTTGGTAACCTGGGTCGCAAGGTTTAATAGATGCATTAGTAGGATTGGACCCCAACGATCACAGAACAAGTTGCTCAGTATTCCGTTATAAGTTCCCAAGACCAAGGACTATCAAACATAGTCGGAAAACCTGGAACATGTGATTCGTTTATACTCGAGTGCAATTATTCATTGGTAGAATGACATCAATATATTGCAGGCTCTCATCGACTCTAGGACCAAGGCTGATTTCGGTGATCAATCAGCTTTGGGAAACCCCCTCCAATCAAAAACACATCTCAATGTATTGATTCTTCCAAACTCCAACAGAAGATCTACCTTGTTCCCAATCCTAGGCACCTACGCATATGTAGAAGCAGGAGATGAGGGCCCTGCATTCCTTGCCAACTTGAGGGTTCCAAGCGGCAAAGTCATCGTCGGAGATCTTGTATTGGTTCATGATCGTGAGGCATGTCTCGCCCTTTTTGACTTTGTGATACGTCTGGCAGCTTTCGGTTGTGCCTTCCAGGGTTGGGCGTGGCTTTTGCGAAGAAGAAGGTTCGTTAACAGAAGAGTCGACACCAATGCAGATGTTTGTACGTGGGATCAAGTTTGTGCAGCCGTCCTAGAGGATGTAGAAATGTCAGTGATATGGTCCCTCTCCGGAAAAGATGGTTGGACTAGGTAGCCAGACATTAATGTCAGGGTTCCATCGAAATCTAGGTCCAATTAGTTTCTTCATAGCTTCGTGTTGTAAACCAACTCCGCCGAGTCCGAATGTATCTTACATGTCTTCAACCGGAACACCCTCCGCGCCAGATATAATGAAGCACGATTCTCCCTCTTTTACCTGATGCCACGAGTTACCTAACTTCCGTTATTAGTGTCTTGATTGGAAATCAAGAGACGGGACTGGTTCGAACATAGAGTCCACGCAAAAGAAGTACGCACAGCCACCAACCTCACTAGGAAGCCGGCTCCTTGGTTTTTCGTCAGCTTGCCGTGAGGAGACCGCTGCTGCGGTAACAACTGACGCGGCGGTGGCCGCAAGTGCCACGGTATTTATAAGTCTCATTCTGGGGGGGAAGGCTCCTATCATATATCAACCTAGTTTGTATGTGAAAAGGTGGATTAGTCGCCACAAAAGGCAAGATGAGAGTGAAGTTGATCTGCTCTAAGCGCCTCTTTCGGATGACACAATAATAACCACTCACTCCTACCTGTAGCGAGTTTAAGAGAGCTACAGGGATTATGGTTTATATAGCTATCCGGGCTCAACGGTTGCCCCGTCTCGGCAGGACGCGTTTGTTGCCTCCGAGATCGAGTATTAAGGCTGTTTACTCGTCCCGTGAGGAGGTCAACAAGCGAACAAGATTTAATGTTAATCGATATGGTACGACGGGTAAATTTCAGTACAGAGTAACGGCAGGCTAACCGCACACGGAACTTACGACTGTGATATCTCTAGTTTTAGTGCGTTCAAATGAGACACTTCCGCGAATTTATGGGCCATATCTCCTTTGTAGTCTCGGTAGAACCCATTCGCTCTCCGCAATACTCTCCTTTACTCAAGGAGGCACGATACCCATCAAGAACGGTTGATACTGAGAAGTATCACCAGCATTAAAGCCAGGATTTATTTCCCAAACTCATGTCTACTACTCCGTAGAGAATCGCTAACTTTCCGTGGCGTCAAGTCGTATTACCTGTCTGGATTCGCAGCCACCCACGGCCTGTATGATGTCGTCTCATCATGGGCCGTAACCTTAACCCTAACCTCGCTTGGTCTTGCCCGAAACGGGCCAGCCAAGAGAGTCTCCTTTAGTGTAATCGAAGAATCGCAACTCCAATATCAGACCATGTAGCTATACCACAGCGAGATTCGCTGTGAGAGATCCTCCTCCAAGCTTTCAGAAATACCGTCGTTCGGATTGCTGCGCTGAATACCATGGGGCAGTTTAGGATTATGTTTGTTCAGTGGGGATGATAATAATAGTTTCAGCGAGGCGGATACCAACAGGGGCTGGACCCTTGACTTGCGAGCCCTCTGTGCTGCAAGAACATGCCCATTGAGTGTCCAATTTCGACGAAGATGGTAGGAAGTGTATCGGATTCAAATTTAATCAATTGCACTTGCAAATTCACTTGCAGATGTTTCTGAAAGAATACGAAAAGCCCAACGCACCTGCCGTCTTCTCGTCTTGCTTTCGGGGACCGTTAATACGACCTTCTCGTCTCCCTCCGTACTGTCTTGTAACTGTACATGCAGATCTCGGCACCCTGGCCTCCCCCAGAATTTGGAACAGGTACGAAGTAGTGGCGACAGCTCATCGAACTAGGCCAATATGCGTCTCTGTATGTAGCTATTGCATAGACCTTGGTCAGTTCTGCTTGAAAAGTCCAACAGTGAATTGCCTACGGTCTTGGCTCATCTACTGCATCATGTTATTTGTTGTCGTCCTTGTTGCTGCCCGCCGTTGCAATGGAGTGGGAATACGTACGAAGTACAGTATATGTACATTGATTGGTGTCTTGCTACCTGTGTACAACGCGTCAAGCGTCTCATCGAAGATGTGTCAGCAGCTGGCATCGAGCTGAGCCAATCTATTCCCAGCGCTGCATCATCACCTTTTCTCCCTCTCTCTGTGTACGACGTAAACCTGCCTCGACAAGCCTTGGGGTTAGATCGACTAATCGCCACATCATCGTTCCCTCCGATGCCAATCCATACCCGCCACCGACGTGACGAGCTCGAGTACCGCAGATCGCCGCCAAAGGTCAGCAGCGTCCCTCTTGTCCATGGATCGACAGCTCCCATTTCCTTTGTTGTAGTTGCACAGGAAGGCCCGCTTCGGGTCGTGACGCACGACGTGCGTGCGTCCACATAACCCGCGACGTCCATCGTTCGGATTTCCTTCCAGTTCCCGTTCGTGCGACCTAAATTACCATGCTGTCCCACCTCCGATTCCACCGACGGGGCTCGTCGAACCCAACCTCTCCCATCCCCGAACAGCAGCCCCCTCGCGACTTCTCGCCCCTTAGCCAGACTCAACAGCATGATGCCACCCTAGGCGCCGACCCGCGCCCTGCGTCTTCCCACTCTTCCTCACTCCCGCCGACATTACCTCCGATTACTCGCGTCACTTCTGCCGACGCTTCCCTCGACTTTCCCGACTTCTCTGCCCATAGTCCGCCTACGTTAGATCCGCCCCGACCCTCACCTATTCGATCTCCCTATGGCCAGAATTCCAGCTTCATCGGCGGCGTAGCCCTTCAGAACTACCGCCGCGGCGAGCCGCCGGCCCTTTCCACCGACTCTCAGCCTGCGACCTCGCCTCTCCCTCCCGCCCAGACTCGTCCAGACAACACCCTTCAGCCGCCGCCGTTCTCGTCAGGCCCCAGCAATGCCGTCACATCTCCTCAACTTAGCCCTAACCTGCCGAAGCTCTCTCCCTCTTTCATCACTCCGACCGATCTACGAAATTCTGCGGCAAGTCCCACGGGCAGAACGTCTTCGGCGAGTACACGACAGGGCGAACAGCAAGCATACCCCTCCGCGATGATGCCTGCGGAACCCCCCAAGGGAAAGAAAGGTCTTCCTTTCCTCAAGAACCCCATGTCCACCTTGCTTATGAGGAGGAAGGCGAATCAAAACGCTCCTGATCTCCTTCCCTTGCCCTTACAGACATCAACTGAACCGACGTATGACCCTCGAATTCGAGGAACCCGATTTCATGACTTTAGCGCTCCAAGACCAAGGCGGCCTGTTAATCCTAGCTCTGCCTCCACAGCTAACCCCTCCGCCCTGTCTAATCAACCTGACTCTGGACCGCCGCCGATACCCGACAAGAGCAGGCTGCGACGTCAGCCAACGGAAACGGTAGATGTCGCCTCTGGAAAGGTCTGCGTGGAGCCACATAACCAGACGCAGACGGGCAGCGGCACCGGTTCAATGCATCTTTCCTCAACCACTATCCAAGGTAGCCACGAATCCCGGCGGGATATTTCGAGGGCGCCGTCCAGCCAGTCTACCCAGGTGGCGTCGACTCTTAAGGACAAGCCACTGCCTCCTCAAGCCTCACCACCGGTTGTTCCTCCCAAGGACGACGTCATCACCGTTACCTCTCGATCCATATCTTCAAAAACTTCGGCCAGGACAAGTCGAAGCAGTCTATCGAAATTGAACCGAAATGCATCGACGAATCGTTCTCGTCACTTCCCCGCATCCGAAGGCTTCTCGAGCGAGGTCTTATCGTCCATTCCCAAACACATGAAAAGCACATCGTCCCGCTTCAGTTTCGACATGATTGGGGCAGCGAAGCAGGAGAAGCTCCTCGAGGAGAGGCACCGCCAACGAGAGCTTGAGAGGCAGACGACGCGAGTTCCTAGTATAAGCGATAGCCAGCGAGACTCAAGGTTCGATGATATGGACGACTTTGACTACGACGCAATGATGGATGACGACGGTCTTGAGGAGGCGATACCCGGCGTCAATGCTGACTACGAGGAGGACTACATTCCGGGCCTCGAGGACGACTATGGCGAAGAGGAGCCTATACCCGGAATCAACGTCGATACCGCTTTCGACGAACCCGTCCCAGCAAGTGACCATGATGACTACGATATAGATGATGTTGATAATGATCAAGAAAACTTCTCTGGCTTCGTCTTCCAGCGGTCTAATCCTCAATCATCGCTGGCCAGCCCCCACAGCGCCGGCATGCTAATAACACCGAGGGACGCTGAGGGGAGAGTCATAGGCTTCGCTCTGTCGAAGGACACCCCCGGATTGCCTCCCGAAATACCGTCGCCACTTCCGACAATACCTTTGTCAGCCGACGAGAGGCCCCTCATCTCATCGGAAGATCTGACTGGGCTCGGCATCCAAGGTCCTGGCATTTTGGAGAACAACGGGGCCGCTGGGGGAGAGCAGCCGCCCAACATCCAAGATAGACCAAAGGATGATCTTTATTTTGATGATGGGCTTTCGGGTTTCGACGCCGAGTTTGCCGATGAGCTCGACTTCGGGCCTGGTAGCAACGACCTACCCTTCGATGAGGCGCTGTTTGATCTAGACGACACGGACCAGTACGGGCGCCCTATACCAGGCGCCTTCCAGAAAGCCAAAGAAGCTCACGATGCGGCTCGTTCCCAAGCAAGGAGAGAGTCGGATGACGGCACGAGCGGTCCGGTCGACACATCCATCATGTCTCAGTCGACCACTCGAACTTCCATCAGCGCCCCTGGACCGCAGCACTTCGTCTCTAAAGCGGCTAGCGAAGAGATCTCGCCGCAGCATAATCTCACGACGTTCGCACACGCCGTTCACCCTACAGGACAGGATAGCATGGCAGCCTACCAAGCGGCTCTGGCAGCCGCCGCTCATCAGGCCGCAGCGGCGGGCAAGTTCCAACGCGAGTCTCCACCAGCGTCCCCGAGCCTCTCCGCCGGAGGCGACAAGCCCTCGCCACCCAACGAATTTGATGATGCTTACGATGAGCCGTCACGCTTTGATTTTGACGATTATGAAAGAGACGACCTAGATGACTTTGATCTTGACGATGATGATATCATTGCTGAAGCCAATGCCAGTGCGCTCGCCAATGATTCCGATGGGTGGTATGGTCGCGAATTCGGCTTCTATTCAGCACCAGGCTCCCACCAGACCAATAATTCGCTCGCGTTTGAGTACGCAAACGGAGGGTATTTCGGTCCATCGGGCATCGGCCACGGAATGAACGGGAGAATGGCGTCCCGAGAGCCAAACTTGACACCAATCACCGAGAGATCCGAGTATTCTAACCGCAACTCAATAATGAGCTTGGCCGTGCCGCCCATCGGATCTGGTGCATCCACCAGTATCCAGAGCCCCGGCCTCGCCCAGCTGGCCATGATGGCAGATAGTGCCGATGACAGCAACATGACGCTCTCGGCGCTGCTGCGACTTCGCACCAAGGCCTGGGGAGGTTCGCAAGCCAGCTTGGTCTCGAGCCGTGACGGCTCCCCCCGGTCAGAGCGTGGGGATGGAGCGAACTCGCCCTTGGTTGGGTCCATGGGCCATCTTGGAGCCGGTGGGTTCCACGCCCGGAAGAATTCGTCCTTTTCGGTATTAAGCAGGGAGTCGGAGACGTACAGCTCGCCGGGTAGTCCGACGCTCACAATGTCTCTACCTGCGGTTCTATCGTCGCCTCCTGTGGCCCCGCCGGCGCCGGGGCAAAACGCGGGGGCTGCTCCAATCCCAGGTCGTGCTCTTTCTCCCACACCATCAGCCCCCATCTTCTCCTCCCGGTCTCCGGAGCCTCCAATCCAGACCTCCACAGCGTCAGTCGCCGAAGACAGGGATAGCGTATCGAGCCGCCCCTGGCCTAACAAAAGCATGGGCGAGGAACGGCCAGACCCTTACCCTACGATGCTGCAGCCAAATAGGAGATCCGGAATAAGCGGACACCGTCACAAAGGATCTGCGGGCAGCATTTCGTATGTCAGGGAGGAGGAGAGTGGTGAGACGCGATGGATCATGGAGAGAAGGAGATTGGATGAGAACGGGGAAGTAGAGATCTTGGAGCGTGAAGTTCTCACGGGTGGAAGAATTTAAAGGACGGGATGGGGGATGAACTTTTCAAAGGAGTTTTAAATGTGTACGATTTTTTTGGGGTGGCTGTTTCGGACTTCTTTACTTGTAAGACAAACTCGGGCATTGGATAGGCAATCGGTTGCCAGGCTAGCATATGAGGACAATTGGATATTGGGAATAAGACGGACAGACGAACAAGTATGGCGTCTTTGGTTTATAGACGGACTACTACCTTTTTTTTTAAAAAAAAGATACTCGGCCTCCAGCGCCCCTGGTTTCCAGCAGTGCCTTCGCTAATCGAGGCAGTCTCGAGGATTGATGCTTTCTCAGCGTGTGATTGTTTTTCCTGCTAGTCAATGTATCAGACCTGACAGTCTGGCGACTACCTCGTATAAAATACAGCATCAAGAGAGCACTAATGGACACGATGGTATCTTGGCATGACTGGCGTAGACTTCATAAGGGCGAAGCTGGTGTGTCAATCAAGCATCGACAGCTCGAGACTTCTACGTTCCGAGCAACCTATATGTCGTTTTACCCCGGGACTAACTTTAGGAACCAAGAAATAATTCATGCCACCGGACACGAGACTTAGTTCAATCTAGATGTGCTATTACTGAAACTCCATCGGATTTTACAGTTCTCGGCCTTGGTCCGGCTCCGGCGAAATTATTCCCACCCCACTTAAATCATCAAATTGACAGCTGCCACAGCTCAACCTCTCCCCTCTCTCTTCCCCGGACTACTCCGACACATCACATCGAAGCGAGGAAGCATCTCCGAACATGGCGTCGAAACTGATTCCCACGAAACAGTTCGTATGCGCCAGTTGCCGCTACTCACAAGCAGCCTCTTCCCTCACCTTCCTCCGCCCGACAAGACCCTCCCGATTCTCAAGCTCCTCCTCGACAGCACGCGCCTCACAACCGACACCCTCGTCCGATCCCAATAATTCCCCGCAGAAGACATCATCAGAGGATGCCACTCTCACATCCCAAAAGACCGATTCCTCTCCAGACAAGGAGAAAGGCGCACTATACCGCCGACTCGAGCAAGCGACCGAGGACGCCCTAACGAGCGGCGGCCGCGCGGGCTGGCGAGCCGTCGAAGATGCCGGGTTTTCGGAAGAGCTCAAGGCGAAACTCTATGATAAGGTCGCTGCCGCAAAATTAAATTCTGTTGAGGGTGTCGGCGGGGTGAACATCGCGCCGGGCGCGGGAGCCGGAACGCGACTGCACGCCGACGGAAAGCACTGGACTGGTGAGGAGTCGCACGAGGACGCAGCTTTGAGGATGCTGGACGATTCGAAGAGGAAGCTGCCGCCTGAGCTGCGGGGACGGTCAGTGGTGGCACCGCCAACGTTGGGACGAGTTGGTGGCGGCCAGGTGGGAAAGGTGAAAAGAGCTGCGGCGGCTAGAGAGCTTGCTTCGAGCTATCGCATTGAGGGGAAGGGCTTGACGGAGGGGGAGAGGGAGGAGTTCCTGCGCGAGTTGAGGGAGAGGTTTCAACCTGGGGCGCGGGCGCTGCCGAATACAATATCTGGGCTGGCCTCGTTGGCGAATGAAAGGTACGTTGCGATGCCGGGAAGGGGTGTGATTTGCCTACGGAGCTGATGGGTTTTTCTAGAATCGAGGAAGCTATGGCTAGGGGGCAGTTTAAGGTGCGTGGATAGCGGTTCACATCGTCTCTTCTATACACGCCGTTTCTAACGATACGCAGAACATCCCCCGAGGACCAGGAGTCGAGCGAGATACCCGGGCCGACAACCCCTTCATCGACACAGTAAGCTCTCGCTCCGAATAGCTTTTGCCATTTACTTTTCGTCTCTACTCCCTGCAAGAAAGACCTAACTCTAGTTTTCAGACAGAGTACATCATGAACAAGATGATTAAGCGCCAGGACCTCGTTCCTCCTTGGATCGACAAGCAACAGGAGCTCTCCAAAGCCGTCTCCAACTTCCGCGCCCGGCTCCGCAACGACTGGAAGAGACACGCCGCACGCACAATCGCCAACCGGGGAGGATCGCTCGAAGACAAGATCCGCGCCGCGGAAGCCTACGCTCGCGCCGAAGCAGCGAGAAATCCACCTAAACAAGACCAACCGGACAAGGCTCAATCGGAAGGGCCTAACGCCGGCGGAATCGAGACGGGTCCCGTCTTCAGGGATCCTACCTGGGAGGCTACGGAAATGTCCTACCTGAAGCTGGCGGTGGAGAATCTCAACTCGCTCACGAGGTCGTATAACCTCATGGCGCCGGAACTCGCCAGGAAGCCTTACTTTTCTCTGGAGAGGGAGCTGGCGTCGTGTTTTGCCGATGTGGCGCCCCTCGTGGCGGAAGAAATCCGATCTAGGGCGCTGGCGAAGCCTGCGCCGTCGCTGTTTGGGGGAGGGTTCGGCGGGGGCGGAGCCGGTGTTGGTTCTATGGGAGGAGATGGGGTGAAGGTTTACGAAAGGATCGGTGGTGAATATGGGTTTAAGGAGATGTGGAGAGATTTTTGGGGTAAGAAGAAGGACAAGTCCTGAGCTTTCTGGACACGGAGGCGGCTATTCCGTAAGATAAACGAGTGCTGAGAGCTACTGAACAGACACACACCTAGCTGTACACTTAATTCTGCTTGGGATGAAATAGAATTGAATCGATGTACTTGTCCTAAACCACAATACTTGAAGAATCGGTACGACTGACTGCGATTGGACTGTTGATGCTGATGAGCTCTACAAACACCAGTCACAATTAGATTCCACAAGATCGCCCAGATGCGATAATCACCTTGCCAATACCCCATGATGATCCATGCAATCTAGACGGCTGGTCTCCAGACAGCCAGCCTCTGCCCCGAAGAAGCCCGCACGGTCCGTATTGAAGTGACCGGGATGGTGTCGGCCGTCAGTGAGCAAAGCCGGAGAAGCCCCGCGACCCGCGCCATGCCCGCCTCGAGGTTGCAAAATACCGTTACATGCCCCCCGACGATCACAATCAAGCCAGGCATTGTCTGGCCACGCGCACCTTGGTTTGACAGGTGCGGCTAATGCAATGCAAAGGGACGGGCTTTTTGACCACGCAAGTGCACTATTAGGACGAGAGCTTCGAAGTTTTACATATGACAAGTAGAAACTCCATGTATTGCTTGCAACCTCCACGAGGTAACCCAATATCGTCATCGGTGATACTACATCATATTACTTCACGGGAGACCGGAGAAAGCCTCCCTTGGGATTGGGGGCTTTCACGTGGGGTTCACTCCATGCTGAGGATGCTAATGATGTGCAGATGAATCGGCCAACCCACCGGACGCTCCGAGAACTAATCGTGCCACCGATGGCAATGACTGACATACCGAGGAGTTTGGTGTCGTTGCCATTACAACTCCAACGACCAGCGATTTGCCATGATCGTCAAGCACGACTCTCGAGATCTATGGAATTTAGCCCGGTTTAGTGGGAGCTTTGGAGGGTCCCTCAAGCCCAAGGCGACTGAGTGTTTCATTGCTGTTCCTCCAAGCGTACGAGAAAGGGGTGACCAATTGATTGATGTCCTTGTGTGTGAGATGTAAGCAGTCTCCCGACAGGACTCCTATCACAAGTCAGACGCAGTTTGCGACGAAGTGATGCGAAAGAGTTAACAGGTCTGATTTTAACGTTTGTGTCGCATTTGACTGGAATAACTGCATGTTGGTCCCCATCGCGCCGCTTCATGTTGTGGGATGGACTCCGAATCGAGTCCAACTCCTAGGATTTGAATATGTCTATCAGTTTATCGGTAGGAGCAAAGCACTCCGTCACACTTGTTGCGACGTTCTTGGTGCCCCGGACTATGCAGGTCAAGTAAACGCAGGGCAAGCAACAGCCATTGCCCCTTGCTTCCTTGCTTTCGAGATGTCACCAAACACCAGCGTCCTGTTTTTAGGGAATCGTCTCAGCTATTTTCGGGTCCCCTCCCATCCGGTAAGGGACGACGATATGGTTGACTGCAGAGTAGTATTGTGGAGACTCGTCCGACGCTGCCGCCGCTGGGTTGAAGTTGCTGGGAAGCATCGATAGCATCAAGGATGACTCTTGGGTTGTTTACAAGGACGAAGTAAGCCAGGGGCATAATACTGAGTCGCAGGCAGAATCCAATCCGAGAGAGAAGGTAGCTACCCGCACCCATGGCAAGGTCAGGGCTCTATGAGGCCCTGGCTGTCAACTTTGACGAGTCATCTCGGAGGAAACCGAGGTTGTTAAGTAAGGCCTGTGCTCGACAAGGTGGAAGGGTGAGCACTCATTCATTAGCATTTGATGCCACCCATCAACGCTGACAACAATTTCCTAGCTTTCTAATCATACTCTCCATCGCGAAACCAAAACAATCATGGAGGCAAACTACCTTTGTACACTACGCGTGTCGAGTAGGAAAAGCCTCCATAATAGCGTCTCCAATGCACTCCGTATTACTAGTCGAGGAACAGACTAATACTCTGCACTTCGTAAGATCGTAACACTTAGCAAGGTGGGGAAGAACGTGTTGGAAGGGATTCAGAAACCAGGAAATGCCTCTTTCATAAATCTACCCTCCCCGTAGGTAAACCGAATTGTGAAGGGATCGCGAGACCAGGTCTACCCCAGTCTCGGTATAATATGAGACGATATACCTCAGTAGAATGCTCCCACGCTAGTGTTCGACGAAGTGGACGCAGAGTGTATGTATACTTCGTACGAAGGGCTAACAATAACTTCATGGCGCAATCCCGTGGACTGGCTAGCAAAACGGTTAGATGACAGCGCGCTGGGGCACACGGCGTGGGCAGAAGAGCGTGGAACCATTCAAATGTTGATGAGCTATTCTTCGTCATCTGCATCTGGATATTAAAGGCCTAACCAGGCCAGGCACTAGGCCAGTCCAGGAACTGGAGATATGCAGCCGCCCTAGTTTAGTCCAGGGTTTTCCTCTTCTCAATTAAACTATTCCAAGGACACAACCAAGTCTTGGGTCATTGATCGACTTTCATGAAGCGCATCGACGTGTGACACGGACTCGGGAGGAAGAGGAAGACTCGGATCCCATGTCAAGTCGAGTTTCACCCCTTTGACTGTGAAACTGGGCGAACATGCGTCATGGCGGCGCATTTCTAATAAATTAATCACTAAATATATTTGTAGTATAATATAACATTCAAATAATGCGTGGAATAAATCTCGTCATCGATAGGATAGGGGAACCAGCTCCCAAGCTTTTTGCCATGGTCGGGATGGAGGGAAATGGAAGGATGAAATGATGAAAGGATCAACAATGAAATGAGGGGAACAGAGCAGCGGACTAGTTTAATACTGCACTAGTGCAAGAATGGCGCTACTCGATTCCACTTCCAGACCACACTAGCAGGTCGCGCCTCGTGGGAGGGTGAGCTTCGTCTTCTAGAGGCTCACGGCCCCCTTCCCCTGCAGGGTGGTGGCATAGGCTCAAGTGACAGCCCGAACCCGTTGCTACGGTCAGGGTCTGCGCCACCCGAGTCCCTGAGAGTGCCTTCAATTGCGACGCTGAAGATGAGGGGTTCTGGCTACAACACTCCTCCGTACGCCTTCGACCTTCCAACAAAGCGGACAAACAAAGACCTCTGCTGAACGTCGCTTTGATATGTCATTGCCCCGTAGCAGTAGCCTTCCTTCCCAGTTGGTAGTAGTACTTGTAGTCGAGCATGGATATTTGTTATCTGTAGTATGCCATCGCCCGCCGATGCCTCCGAAGTACATCCCCTTTTCGAGTTCAAGAGAACCCGGCTCAAGATGGGGCGAAGGGGGGTTCGGTGAAATTGCAAATTGCAAATTGTTCGATTTGGAAGGCTAGGCCACCTTGCAACAGTGCGCCTAGGATCCGATGATTGCGTGTTTGGAGTTTGCAATACCGAGCAATGATCCATGTGAATGTGCGCCGCCTTGCTTAGGGGTCCAGTGGCCACGCTTGAAGATGGGATGTGACTCCTTGTCCGTCGTAGTCAACGTCACCGAGACCCTCGTTGTCCGTGACCTAACCAAGTAATACACCAAGCCGGCGCCAATCTAAGGAGGATGACCAGGACTTGCAGAGTACATCATGGCCCTCTGCAAAACAACTTACCTCCACGTGCTGCTTCCCCAAGATAGTTTGGTCCAGAGTCCATGGCGCATGTCTGGGCGCAAGAGCTGACCATGCCCATCGCTAACATAGGGCAATGCCATGCCTTACATAGTATTTGATAATGTCAATCTGATGAACAGTCCCAGCGTCGCCTAGCGTAATAAGGCTGGCCTTGCATTGACCTCAACCCCTCGTCAGCTGCGCAGCAGATAGTGGAATGGCTCACTCTAGTCTGGCCTCTAGCCTGGCCTCTGTGCTTCTGGACTATCGCTTGGGGAACAGGCTACCGTCATCCATGTCCGTCATAGCTGCTTTAGTTTCGCGTAATAAAAGAAAGTCTTACAAAGTAAAAAGGGGGCGAGCTTTGGTGGATTCAATGCCGTCGTTGGGTGGGCTTAACCCTTGCTTCGGAGGGCCAACCATCCGAACAAGAGACAGTCTGCACCCCGCGTCTCCAAGGTTCAAACGATGAGCTGCGATGTCTCCAGTTTCCCTGGACGACAATTTGCTTCTGATGCGCCACTTTATGATTTCCCCCCTTATTAGTGAGAGGTCGTTTTTGTGGGATTTGCCAACAAACCAGGAGAGACCAATGAATATTCCGGGAGGGAAGCGGGAAAACCGGGTTCACGGAAGGACATCTGTAACACGATCGCCGTTCTCGTGGTGATCCTCAAACACACCGTGCTAATTAATGGGAGAATACACCTGTAGGTGTATGTGTATCCAAAGCTGATGCGTTGAAAAATCCCGGAAACAGCACGTTGGAGACCTGTGACAAACGATGCGAAAGATCAATGAAGAGAATCGGGGATTGTGGCTCTCTTCATGGGAATAGTCGACGTCGTTCTTTCGCACATGCTTGCAGGGCAATGAAGACTTTGTAAATAACCTGGCAGCTCTGTGCGTTAGCATGTGGTGGTTGCCTTCGAAGATCGACCGCCCGCGGAGAACACATTGCATGATAGATGGCGATCGAAGAATGCAATGGAGTTCCGAAGCCACATTATCTGCGACAGGCGATGTGCAATCCCATCCCTAAGAGCAAGTCTTCCGGCCCCAACCTGGGTTCACCGCCGCACGAGTGGTCGTTCATGGCGGACTGTCAAGGAGGAGATGTTGGCGATCGCCCATCGAAGGACGATAGCTGGCCTTATAGAATCCTATAGAAAAGTCTTCTCCGTGGATTTATCCATGGATGACTTGAGAGGCGCAGAGATTCCATGGTGCAGTGTGTCTGTTTGCAATGATCCAGTTCCGGTGGACCCGAAATTATGGATCGACCAGGTGCTTCTGCTGCATGGCTCCTGCTTTTGATGATATTCCAGGATGAGAGGTGGTCCCGAGGCCCCCAGGGATCATGGGATTTGGATCGATCCTGTGGCGATGGACACCATGGGAAGATACAAAGGGACTGTAGGTAACACAA